CTTGGCCAGTGCAGGTGAGTATCACAGTGCTCTAGAGGCCACCCGGTTCTTGCCTGCCCCTGCACAGGAAGGAGGGGAAGGCGGGGGGTCAGCACCTCCCCACTCAGGGCCCTTCTTTCATTTCAGTGGCTGAGCTCCCTCCCTCCAGGGTTTCTGGCAGGGGAGACGCATTTGCCCGTGCCCTCTTGCAGGCAGAGCGCATGGCGGCCTCCTCTTTCATGGAAGGGCTGCTTGAGACAGCTCTTGTGAGCGTGGAAGGGAGGGTTACCCCTCACAGCCTGTCCTGGGAAAAGCCATGTGCAAAGGTGTCTGCAGGCCCTGAGGCTCAGCCCCTCACCCCCTTTCATGCAAAAACTCCAAATAAATAAATAAATAAATAAATAAATAAATAAGATCGAATGTCTGATCTAAGGATTTTCTACATAGAAAATGTTAAATTGCAATTTACTGATTTTCATTATATAATTGTTGTTTGCATCCAAAAACTCTTCTGACTTTGTATATGGTACAGTGTTATAGCTATTATTAGATTCTGTGAATATGAATATTCTGTGTGAGCATCTTCATTATTTTAGTAGTAAACTTACTAAAGGTTACAAATTTATAGACAAACCTTTTTATCAGTGCTTAAACTTCAGCAATATTCTGCTTGCAATGAGTAGATAAAGAAAAGAATGAGGTTTTGTTTCTCATGATCAGATGCTATGAAGCTTGGGCCTCCCAGGGTCTCTTAGCCCAGGGCCTCCAGTTGCTTTAATCCAGGTCTTACTTTGAGTGATAGAAACTTACCCTTTCAAAACACGTTGTTGTTGTTCCTAGATGCTTGGAGTCTGGATTCCTGGGCAATGTGACAATCCTATCACCCACTTTATGGGTGCACTTTATCGCCCAAACTAAAGATGAAGCAGTTTCCCCTGAAGGGTGCCTCTGGACATCTAGGGTAAAAAGCTGGCTAATTTGTGCAGGAAACATACGTCTAGTCCAGGATGACAAGTGGAGGTGGCAGCAGGGACTTATTTATTTATTTAAAACATTTCTATGCCGCCCCCATCACAACAAAGCCTCGGGGCGGCTCACAACATTCATTAAAAAATATATAATTTAAAAATTGGTACCATCTCGGCTATATATATTAAAATCTATAAATACAACAATAATAAATTAACAGTTAAAATAACTTTTAAATAAAAGGGTCTTCGCCTGGTGCCGAAAAACAAATAATGATGGTGCCAGGCGGACCTCTCTGGGGAGTGCATTCCATAGATGGGGCGCCACCACAGAGAAGGCCCTCCTCCAGGTACTCACCCTCCTAATATCCTTCACAGAGGGTTCCCGGAGAAGGTTATCTGCTGCCGATCGTAGGGGGCAGAAGGGCATATATGGATGCAGACATTCCTTTAGATAACCAGGTCCCAAGCCTGTGACATGGGCAAGATTTTACGTATTCAAAACATTTGTATGCACCTGTTGTACCATAGCATCTCTAGGCAGCTCACAATCAAATTTAAAGCCACTATAAACACTACAACTGAAAACATCACAAGCCCCAACATGCATAAAATAACATCAGTGTAAATACAGATAAAAAACAAGTAAAGGTTTGTGACATCAGATATTAAATTGGTTTATTTTTTAAAAGGTAGGTCTTTGCCTGGCACTGAAAGGAGTTTAAAGAGAACACCAGGCAAATCTCCTTGGGGAGATTGTGGAGGTGTTTTCAGAAAATGGGCCTGGGATATATTCAACATGGTACTAAAATGTTGAATGTACCGTCTTTATTTGTTTTTCGGCGCCAGGCGAAGACCTTTTTATTTAGGCGTCATTTTAATTGTTAACAATATCTGCTTATTTATCTGGCCAGGGTGACTTCTTTTATATTGTTATTTATTATTGTTAATTTTATATTGTTATTTTTGTATGTTATTGTATTTTATTTTGTGTTGTGAGCCGCCCCGAGGCTTCGGCAAGGGGCGGCATAGAAATGTTTTAATAAATAAATAAATAAATAACTAAAATGCCTACAAGGCCCTATAAGATGTTTGGCATGGTAGTGGATATGTTTCACAGTGCTGGTATGGGAATTCATTCCAGCTCCACTTCCTTCTTCTGAAACTATTTGAAAATCAGGATCTATTTTGGAGTTGTCCGAAGGCTCCCAGGAGCATCCCAGAGCTTCTCAGTTTAGTGCATGAGGGGAAGAGCGTGTAAAGGCCTTGTCCTCCCTACCAGCCCTTGGGCAAAGTAGCCTTATGCCCTTGTTTATGCTGTTTTGGGGGACGGAGAAGGCCTTTCATCTTACTGTTTCTCGCACTTCAGTCTCCCTACCAAGCAACATCCATTAGTATAGCAAAGGACTTGCTTACTTCTCTGTCTACCACAGAGAAAGGGCAGTTTTAATACCATCTCAATAATAATTGTCATGAACTTTGGCGGCATCAAATGCCAGCTGTTTATTTGACAGCCAGGGCAGCCAAATGTCAAGGAGTCTGTCTTCTATGCAAGCCCTCTTCTCCCTGTAAGCTGGGGGGGGGGGGGGGTGCAACACTGAAACCAGCACCATGGTGTTTGCACCATGTTTGTGAAGTCAGGATCCTGCTAATGCAGCTTCATGCACAGACATCCCTTCCATCGGCCTATAAGGACACACACATTCTTGATTTTGCTGGATGTGCCTGCATGCTCCCTGCAGGTGTTCTGTCCACAGACTGAGGCTGCTATGTGGGGACCTGCTGGATGGTCCTCCCTGTTTCTCCCCAAGGTGCAATGTGCTCTGGAACAGTGGCTGGGAGGAAGAGCAGTAGCACCGGAGCAGCCTGGTTGTAGATCTTTGGCTTCATGGTCTTTTGAAAGTCTATTTTGATGGCTATATGGGTGACTTCAGGAGTGAAGCATATTTCCTAGCACCAGCCCACATCTGTTGGTCTGTGCTTATTTATTAGATTTATATCCCACCTTTTTTTTTGTTCAAAGAATTCAAAGTGGCATACATCATTCTCCTCCTGCTGCCCTCAGTCTTATCCCCAGAGCAACAGCCCTATAAGTTAAGTTGGGTTGAGGGTCTATGCCTGGCCCAAAATCACCCTGTTGAATCCATGACTGAGCAGGGACTAGACCCCAGATCACCCGAGTCCCAGACCCAGACCCATAACTGCTGCACTCACTGGTGCTCCAGTACTTGCCTGAATCTGCAGTGATTAGAGATCTCATAAGGAGAATGGAATAATCAACTCAAGTTGCAACAACCCAGATTCAGGCTAGATAGCAGGAAAAACCTCCTCACCGTCAGAGCAAAAGGGCAGTGGAACCAGCTGCCCAGAGAGGTGGTGGGCTCTCCCACAATAGAAGCATTCAAAAAGAAACTGGACAGCCATCTGACTGAGATGGTGTAAATTGGTGTCCTGCAGCAGCAGGGGTTGGACCCCATGGCCTTCATGGCCCCTTCCAAGCCTGCTCTTCTTCGATTCCATGATTCCTTTCCGGTGTGATAAGAGTACAGAGAGGCCAGCAGCAGTTCTGTCCCAGACTTTTTAAACAGCTAGTCCAGAGCCCTCATGCATGGCATTGGGAGCTGACTTCTCAAGGAAGAGAGGCTAAGTTTTCATTTTGTTCAGCACTATGCATGAAATGTTATATGGTCCAGATGCCATCAGCTTCACTTTGCTGTCCTTCCATTTTCTAGTTGCTGCTTTTGATGTTTATCTTACCATGAAAAATCCATTCAGGATGAAAAGCTGGAAGAGCCGCACAGGGGCCCACTGCCTGGAAGCGCCCGGCCCCTCCATCTGTTAGTATCTGTTGCACAAAAGGATGCCTTGAGAAGGGACAAGAGTGTGAGCCACCAAGGGCTACTAACATTTGCCTTGGCAAGTTCTACTCTGAAAATGCTTCCCTTGCCAAAGCAGTAGGAACTAGTCCAAATTATCCATTTGAGGTGACATTGATATTTGGAATTAATACTTGTGCTGTCTGTCCAAAGGACCATCTAGGAAATGGATATGAAAACCTCTCTCACTCCTCCTGTAGAATAGGCATAAAGGAGGACAAACTAAGGATCAGGGGTGAAATCTGGGGTTGAGGCCCACAAAACAGAAAAGGTTGCATATATCTTTTATAACTTCTTTTATATCTTTTATTTATTTTATATTATAAATTTTAATTTTATATTGTTAGTTTTGTATTGTATTTTATTGTGTTGTAAGCCTCCCCCAGGCTTCGGCAAGGGGCGGCATAGAAATGTTCTAATATAATAATAATAATAATAATAATATTTGCACGTACTAATTTATATTTGCTCTAAATTCTGTCCTTATGTGCTGTTTAAACAACGTTGTCTCCTAAGAACTTCCATTTGTAAAAAGAGAGGGGAGGGCCTCTGACTCTGAAGGAAGACCTCAGACAGGAAGATTCAGAGGTGGCAGCAGGACAGGAAACGGGGGGAGCGGGGAGATGGGGCAGCGCCACTAAGACCCTCGATTTCAGCAAGTGCCACGGACAAGCAGCGTTATGGGCAGGGAGCCTCTCGGGGATTCGGGGCTCCAGCCCCACTGGCTGTCTTCTAACACAGCCCTCGCCAAGAAGATGCAAGGATTTCAAATCGCCGCCCCGCGCTACGAGTGGCCAGCTTCGCCTTTGGGCCGCGACCGCCAAGCCGCTGCACGTGGAGAGGGGGCCGCTTCCTCCTCCCTGCCTCCCCCCACCGCCGCCGCCGGAGAGCGACAAGGAATGCGCATGGCTATCGCTGCCCACAGGGAAGGAGCACAGACGCGGCGAGCCCCCTCATCGCCCCCCGCTCAAAGCCTCCCTCCCTCCCTCCCTCCCGCGTCCTGCAGCTCCTCCTCCGGAGGGCGGCCTGCAGACCGAGGGCGATCGGAGCGGGCAAAGCTGCCCGCTCCGGTTGCCCCCTGCCGGGGACCTCCTCCTGCGCTCGCCCTCCCTTCCTCGGACCGGGCGCCCGGCCGGCCGCGTATAAGAAGCGACGCCCGGCCAGCAGCCGGGGAGTCGCACGAGGAGCCGCAGGGCTTGTTGGACGTGAGGCGGGCGGACGGGCCTCCCCCGCCTGCGCTTGGGTTTTGGCCGGCGGGGAGCGGCGGAGGGCGCCTTCGCGGGGTCGCCATGGAGGTGAGCGCGGCCCGGGCGGGGTCCGGCGACCCGGCCGACCTGAACAGGCACGACGCGCAGACGGTGCGCGAAGCGCTGGGCCGCTACGAGGAGACGCTCCGCGGCGCCGTCCAGGAGATCCACGTGGACATTCAGGCGTTCAAGAGCGGCGTGGACCGGCAGGTGGCCGAAGTGCTGCGGCTGGCCGGCCCGCTGGCCCACACCGTGGCCGAGCTGCAGGAGGACAACCAGCGCTTGCGGGCGCACGTGGAGCGCCTGGGCCAGCAGGTGGAGCGCCTGGGCCGGGCGGCGGGGCTTCCCGAGTCCGCCGCCCCCGCCGCCCCCAGGCAGGGCAGTGCCCGCTTCGCCAGCCGCGCCCAGCTCTCGCTGGCGGGCAGGAGCCAGGTAAACGACGGGGGGCAGGGGCGGCGAGTGGGGGGGCAGGGGCCGGGGGGCAAGAGCGACCCCCGCCGGCATCCGCCCCGACCCGGGCAGGGAGCCCTTGCCGTCCCGACCCAGCCCCCGCGGCTCGCCCGGCTGCCTCTCGCGGCCACGCGGTGCGGGCGCGGCTGTTCTGGCGGGCCTGGGCATCCCGTGGGGGATGCTCCCGCGCCGGGTGTCCCGGGCTTCGCAGGGGGCCGAGGCGGCGACCCCCCCCCCCCGAGTCCTGCCCGGGTTGCGTCTTGGAATACCCACGGGCGGCGGACGCCTCGCTCTTCAGCTGCCGCGTTGAGCACGCGCGGTTGGAGCCGAGCCGGGGCTGCCGGGTGCAGGGAAGGTGGTGGGCCGGAGAGAGGCAGCGGGGGGCGGGTGCGCCGGGCTGGGCCGGGCCGGGCCTAGGAGCATGAGCAGACAGTTTCCCTCACCGGCCAGGTCAGGGCTCTGTCCGCCCTTCCTGCCACCCCCGCAGGCTCCAGAGGGGCAACCCCCAAACTGGCCCGCAAGTCTCTTTTCAGGACGCAGGCTGGGTTTCCTTTGCAGCAAGGGCATGCACAGGATTGCCCTGACTCAGTGACTGGGGGCTGAGGCCATGCTTTCAGATGTACTTTAAGCTGAAGCAGTGTTGGTCAAGGGACAAGAAGTAATTGTGAGCATGCTCAGAGTCCTTTCCTCCAGAAGTCACCATAACCACAGGCTGAAAGGGCTCAAAGACCTGTTTGACTGGAGCAGGGGTGTCCATGCTGGCATAACCCTGGGCAGCTTTTTTAAAATGGGAAACTGTACTGTGGGAATGGCTTGTTCCAGCCCTGCAACCTCTCCAGCTCAAGATGATGCTTCTGTGTGGTGTGTGACGGTGGTATCTTTTTGCATTAGATCTTTCCTTGGCCAATGGATTGAGACTGATGAGGGAAAGGAATTCTGCAGGACTCTTGTTTCTCCTTTGAGTTCCTTACCTGCTTCAGAGCAGAGGCCAGGTCTGGGCTTTGGAGCTACATCTCAGGGCAAGGAGGTACAGGGTGTGCCCAAGCAGCATGTGGGGCAAGCACCTGGCTGTGTGAAAAGCAGGCATAGGTGTGGACTTGGCCTTTAAGGGCTCAGGGCTTGCCAGTGCCTGAAATAGAAGGATGAGCACCTGCTTGGGACATGGTGTCCCTGCCATCGGGAGCAGCACCTTCCAAGAGGGGGCTGAGATTTCTCTGCCTGGGTCCAGGATGTGAGCTGGGACAGCAAGTCCTATCCTGAGCGGTACTTGTCCTGTGCTGGGTGACAGGCGTGGGCTCTGGGTGCTTTCCTCCCCCTGCAAGCAATGTGCACTCTGGCAACACACCCTGATTCCTGGAAGTGAGCATTTATAGCCAGGGCTGTGCTCAGTCTCTGACCCGGGGAGCAGGGCCAGTGCAGAGCCCCAGGCTCTAAGGGCAGAGCAAAAGCCCTTCCCAATTGTCTCAAAGTCCCACTGAGCCCATCTTGGTGACTGGTGTGCAGTGGTTGCCCAGAGATTTGTTGGGGAAGCCCACAAAGAGAGTGGGACCCTGTTTTCAGCTAGTTTCCAGGCACCTCACCATCCAGATCTGCTCTGGGGCAGTGGCTGCCCCATTTGCTTCCAGGGCCATTTGCTGTGGGTCTTCCACACTCCTCCATGAATTTCTCTTCTCTCTGGCCAACTCAGGGCCTCTGTGGTAGCAGGTAGCCAAGAGTTCCCATCATTGAATGCTTTGTGTGTGCGCTTCTGCTCAACAAGCCTGACAGGCCAGTTGTCAGAGTCAAAGCAGAGGCCAGGCCTGGCCTGGCCTTGGGGTGGGCAGAGAATTCCCCCACCCCAGAACAGCTCAGATGGAACTGCCTTATGGAAGAAGCGAGGCCAGTGTGACATGCAGCCGGCCAGGACCTTAAGAGACTGCTGGAATCTGGTGCCTCTAGACAGTAATAGGTTCTCCTTAGTTTCGTGACCTGCGAAAGCTGCTGTCAGACATCTCTGGGGTTAGGGAGTGTTTGCTCCCCAAAGACCTCGAAGCAGGAAACTTCTTGGGCCGGAACACTGACTGCCCTGCTGGGCTGCTGTTACAGATCCACAGAAGAGGCCTGGCCTTTGATCCCACCTGCTCTGCTCACTAGTTGGCACAGAAGAGAAGGCTGCCCAAAAGCCACAGATCCAGCCGCTTCTCTTGACCTGTTTGGGAACTGGAAGTGAACAAGGACAGGGATGGCTGGATGTGGCTGAAAAAGCTCCCCTTGCTGGGACCAGGTTGTGCTGGGGGGATCAGAGGAGCATTGTCTGCAGGATCCCAACACACAGACTCCCCTAATGGGAAGTCCCCACCCATGGCCTTCTCGATACTCCTGGCTGCGGCTGAGATATGCCAGGCAGTTCTGCTTTCAGGGGTCCTTGGCACACAGCTGGCTTGCCCCAGCTCCTGCTCTCCACACCCAAATGAGAGGGAGTGGAGCAACTTCCAGTGGGTGCTTAGAGGTCCACATGGCTGGCAGCACAGGAGCCTTCTCTGCATGCTCTTTGGGACCAGCAACCCTTGGTCAGCCACCCGCCCACCTGTGGAGCTGTGCCCTTTGGCAAAGTGGCTTCAGCAGTCCTTTGCCCACCAGGGCAAGGTCCCATTCAGTTGCCACTGCTCAGAAAGTTGCGTGCTCCTTCTCACATTTTCCTCTCCTCCTAGAGATCTCTGCCCCTTCCCTGCAGCCACTGCACATTCTCTTCAGAGCTGCAGCCTCATACCGATTTCTAGACCTCTGGCAAAGGAGGTCCTGTGCTGGCTGAGTGCCGTTTTCATTCCAGGGAACCCCTGTGTGGGATGGCAGTTGGCTGGGGGGGAACAGCCATGACATCATCCTGGCAGCTGGGCTCAGAGAAGGCCTGGGGAGAGGTGTGGGGAGTGGCACTCCCCTCGCATGGCTGCCGTCAAGCAGAGCACACCGCTTGCCTCGCCCCCACGCCCGCAAGTTTTCTTGGGGCACGGGGCTGGTTTATGTTATGCTGACCCGGCGGGAGGGGGGTTGACAGCTGGGCTGGGATCTTGAGTAGGATCTGGGACTTGTGTTTTGTCCCTCAAATCTCTGTTCTGGTTCTCATATGGGGGATCCCTGAATTGGTCTGGATTTAATTTCAGCCTGACCATGACATGCTTGTTTTCTTGAGATCCTACACATGGTGCCTGCAGTCCCCCCTGGTATCCCAGAAAGAGACAAGGCGGACTGGGTTGCTCAGTTCAGGCAAAGAAAGTACGCTGCGCATGTCCAGACAGAGTTCTCTTTTACAATAGCTTGTCATGTTTCATAGGTCAATGGCCATAGGAGGAAAAGGGCTCCTATGCTTAGCTCCTGCCTGCGGGGCCTGCGTTCACTAGGCGGGGCATCTTCATAAGGGTGCTCTGCTTTTGGTCTCTGCCTATAGTATTGTCTTTTACTTCTTGACCATTCCTTTTTTAGCTGGGGGCTTGGAGTTGAGGCAGGGGAACACGGTTGTTTTTCCTATTTGGAACTTGATCTTGCAGGTTGGCTATTGTGGAGTTAAAATCTGGTAACCTTATTATCTTGGAAGGGAGCTACAACATGCTGGGAATTGTAGGCCTTTTTTCTGAACTTTCATAAGATTGTACCCTAAGTCAGAATTGCATCAAAGTGAAAGCTTCTGCCCCTACTGCCATGCAGATGTGTGTCTGGCTGGCTGGTCTTCTGAGTCACAAATGCACAAGGAGCTCCTTGTTACTGGTGAAGACAATACCTGGCTGTATGCAGTTATAAATCTGGTCCTAAACCTTTTCCAGGTGTCTATGATGCATTCTGTATGGATTTGCAGCCTGTCTGCTGTGCAATGTCTGTCCGTGACATCTGGGTTGTTTGCCTCCTCCTATATTTGACACTGAAGCGAGGCACGTGCTCCGTCTTTTGCCTTTAACAGCAGCTGCGGGAGCACAGGCAGCTTCTGGCAGCTGATGCCTGACCTAAAACAAGCTGAGGGACAGCCACGCATGCGGTGACAGTAAATTGAATTTAGAATCCCACACTTTGGATGTTAAAGTTGATAATAGGTTCAAAACAATAGGTTCAGATATGTGGTGTTGATACAAACTTGGACATTTTCTAGAATCTTCACTAGTGCTTCTCAGCTAAGCATCCCTTTTAAATAGACAGTATGCTGATCCCTTTTCTACCAGGAGTTGATCTTGCTTCCTGCTGGCTTCTCAGGTTATGGGACACGTTGGTGACTTGTATGTGGAGTCACTTACCTCCATTGGCATTCATTTGTTCAGGTGCTTTAAGATGCATTGTGACAAGGTAAGCAGACCACGTTGGAGCAGCTGTGCACCCTTCTCCCTGTGGGCATCGCAGTTACTAGCTGATCAGTGCAGTGCAGCCAGATCTGTGTCAGACAGACAGACAGGACCAGCATTTCTGGCCCTGCCCCGGAGGAAATCTTGTCTGGACCAACAAAGGGAGCACATGAGTGAACCTGAGGAGCAGCTCCTCCGCCCCCTTGCTGCCTTGCACCACCGTGGCTCTGGGTCACAGAACCGTGGTGCAGCATTTGCCTCAGCCGAATGTGGAAAAGGAACATGTCACAAGGCCCCACGGTGCCCCAGCTGGGGACAACCAGAAACAGTCCTGCGAAGTGCTGCACTGGCGAGGGCTGCTGCTCCAACAGAGCTCTCTGTTGGGGGCCATGAGTCAGGCGGATCGTCTTTCCTGGCATGCGGAGATGATCCTCGGGCTGGCCAGTCCATAAACAGCAGAAGGAGCAGCTGTGCTTTCATGCTGGCAGGCTGGAAGTCCCTAGGCCGGGTGTGAGAAGTGGTTGGAGGGCTTAAGCTTTGCATTGGCCGCCATGCCACTCTGGCAGCAGAGACCACCAGTTAGAGCAAGCAAGAATGGTTGAGCTTCCCCTGCATGCCAGCTCTTGCCTCACCTCACAGGGGTCTCTGAGGGCCTTGGCAGTTTGCAGTAAGAGTCTGAATCCGCATCTTGGCCTGAGAGGAGATCCAAGCAACCTGCCCCTCGTGCAGACAGCCCAAGGGCACCCACCTGATTGAATCCTGCAGCTGCCGGCGTGGCCTCGGGGTGCTGGCGCAGGCCCACAGACGATGGCGAGCAGACCTGTGGCCTAATGTTCCTCTTGAGCTGTGGAGCGCTCTGCTGGGAGGGCCTGCTGCCTGGCCCAGAGGGGGCTGTGTGCAGGAGATCACCGGCTGGCTCCCGGGGGCCCTGCTTGGAAGTCAAGCCTTCATTCCATGCATACAGTATCGCTTGATGATACAATCAGGAGCTCAAGCAGCCCATGTTCCTGTTCAGCATGCACCACCATCCCCAAATCCTTGCAAGCCCAGCCACTCCCCCCTGCCTAATTTCGAATGCAGCTGCCCTTAGTTCAGGGTTGGGAATGAGTCTGCTTTCAATTTCTGTCAGAAAGAGCCCCCAACCCCACCTTGGATGCATTTCCATGATGTTCTCAGCTGGGAAACTGGGCAGTGCCCAACCTTGAAGAAGAAAGCAAGCACGAGCCAAAATATCCACTCTGCTTGTGAGAGGCTGCTGCTTCAGAAAGTTTCAGTTACTTTCAGAGGAGAAGAAAAATGTGGACATTTTTACAGCCACTTGCAAACCCGTTTTTCCCCCTGAAAAAATGTATTGACATGTCAGTAACACCATGGATAAGCATAGCTGTGTGTGGCCTGGGGGCAGTTCCCTCCATTCAACAGGCTTGAATTCAAGCCTCCAAATCTGGCCATCACAAAGATGAGGCCTTCTGTTCCCTCCCCCCGTAAGCAGGGTGCCCTGCCCCTCCCTCATTCAGGGCAGTGGGGCTTGCAGAGTCTGCGGGTTCCAGTCCTGAGGCAAGGGAGGTGCTCCTCAGGCTTGCATCTGGGTACAGCCTCTTCTCTTCTTCTTGTTTTGGCAGAGTGTGGACTTTGAAGATCACAGTGACCCCGAGAGCAAACGAACCCCCAGTTCAGCCGTAACGGAGAATGGGCACCAGCTGCCATCAGAAGGTGAGGGAGGGGGGATGTCTGGACAAAAGCCCTTCCTTGAGGACGGTCCCCAGTTCAGCCTGTTGGTGACCTGGTGGTGCTGTCCAGGCTGTGGGTCCTGCCTAAAAAGGACCTCAGCCCCTGCTGCCCCACCCGGAAAGCTTCAGCAAAGGTCGGCTCCCTTCACTGCCATCTCAATTACTTGGTCCTGGTCATTCACCAATGGGAACCTCCCATCAAGAATGATGCTCCAAGAAATAACCAATGGCAAACTGCCTGGAGTGATTCCCCACATCCCTGAAAAGGCCCCAGCTGTGCCCCACATGACTTGAAATGTGCTTGCTCTCTTAATGCTAGTCTGTTCCTCTTTTTGCGGCAGAAGGAGGGCGAGTGCCCAGAGCTGCTTCCCTGGCAGGCCAGCTTTGCTCTCCTCCACCCCGGAAAGACCTTCCTTATTCTCATCTTCTGCTCCTCTGCCAGATCCTCCACTGGAGGCTCATGCTCCAGCAGTGTCCGTGCGGATGCCACATCTTCCCGTGACAGCTGTTACCAGGACATCCGAGACTTTCTCAGGAGAAACGGTTGGCTCGTCAGTTGCTCTGAATTCTCCTGGGGGCCTGCAGAGCAGATGCCACAATGAAGCACTGTCAAAACCACCAAACCAAGCAGGTAAAGGAAGCAGCAAATGCTGGGCAGACATGTTCCCTTTGGCCATTCATGGCACAGAAAGCATCCCGCACCCCCAGAATAATGCAGCACTCCTGTTTTGTTTTGTTTTGTTTTTTTTTTACCAAGTTCAGCTCCCAGCCCACTTCCTCGTGTTTAAAGCAGAGTTTGCACATGGGCGCCTTCAAACACATTTGGCTGGGAGGCATGAGTACATGGAGGAGCTTAGGATTGTACCTGCACAAACACATTTGTGGGGGGCCTTCACTGCATGTGCAGGGCATTCCCATCCCGTTTCTCTTCTGAGAGGCCCGTTCCTGCGCTAGAGATCAGTGTTCCGTGTTGTGCTGAATGCTCTGGCAGGGTCCATTTCTATGAAACAGCCCTTTGCTTTTGGGGAGGGGCAATAGAAGCTGGCCCTGCCTGGGAGCAAACGGTTTGTTGGAGCTTCTAACTTTGTGCCTTCCTTGGGGATATCCATCTTTTCTTTGTCTGGGATCGAAGACGGGGGTGGCTGACCACTCTGAGAATCAGGCAGGGCAAGATGTAGTCTTCAGGACCCATGTGCTTTCCAGGGCCCAAGTGCCCCAATTTGGCTGCGACAGCAGAAGAACAATTGGCAGTTTGCTTCCAAATGTAGGCAGCAATTCCAAACAATGGCCTGAAAAAGTCCACATCACCCTTAAAATGTGCTTCATTTGGCTTTTTTAGGCTACCACCATGCTTGAAATTCAGTGGCAAACTGCCAAATGTTTTGTCAACAAAAATTCAGCAAAATTCAACAATGCTGCCCTTGGGGGTTGAAATTGGTCCCCAGAAACTGCAGAGTTTCCCATCCATGAACTGGACTGCTCCAGCTTCAGGGCTGTCCTTGTGCTCTTGCCTCTCCTTAAAACCAAATGACACTTCCACCTTCTCACCAAAGGTGCTGGCATGTTGGTTGCAAGTGCTGTGAAGAACTGGAGCCCAAGCCCCGCTGGGACGACAAGCACCTCCGTCACTTCAGGTTAGACAGCATCTTTGACTATACTGCCCTCACTTTTTGGAAAACCTATTTCTGTCACAGATGAATTCGTGGCCCAGCCTGGAGAAGCCAGAAGGCCACATCAGCTGCCAGAGTTTCCCAGAATCCTCTCTGCCTGGGTCCCAGGATGGGAATTGTGTGCACAAGCCAAGGGACAGGGACTTTGCTAAAGACCCAGTTTTGATGGTTGGCCAACACTCATATCACGTTGATTCTGCTGGTGGAAGTTAAGTGGAAGTTAAGTCTGGAGGTGAATTAATTCATTTTGGGGGGGAAGGAAATAGGGGTACCACATTTAATAAACTTTTAGAACTCACTGCCATAGGGTGGAGTGACAGTCCTTTGCTTAAATCACTTTAAAAGCAATATCTGGCAGCCTCCATTCGATATCTAGGAGAGGAGAAGGAGCTCCCCAAGGGAAATTTAGAGCCATCTCAGGCCCCCTGTAATGTTTTTGCTAGGCACTTCCAGGACAAAATCTCTTGTATCTACCAGGACTTGGATTCTAATGTTACAGCAGAGGAATCAGGTGAGATATCCAGAGCACAATCTGTTCTGGTTGTTTTGGATGAGTTCCAGTTAATGCAGCTGAAGCACATCCTGAAGCACCGCAAGGTGCTTGGACAGGTTCGTGTGGCCACAACTGTACTGAATCCTTGCCCCTTTTGGCTAATAAAAGCCAGTTGGGAGGGAACTGCCAGGTGGGCCAGGCAGGTGAGTAATGCTTCTTTATGAGAAGGATGGTGATGAGGGTGGGGGTGGTGAGACCACTCCTGAAGAAATCTTCCTTGGACCAGAAGAACTCAACAGTTTCCTTTTCCTGGGCAAGGCTTTTGAGCAGGTGATGGCCATCCAGCTTCAGGCCCTCCTGGATGAGACTGATCCATTTCAGTCGGGGTTCAGGCCTGCTTTTGGCATGAAAACAACTTTGATCACCCTGTATGATGACTTGTGTCAGGAGCGAGATGGGGAGTGTGACCTGTTGGTTCTCCTGGACCTCTCAGCAGCATTCACAGCATTCATACTATTGACCATGGTGTCCTTCTGGGGTTCTTCCAGGCTCTTCTGTCCTCCACCATCCCTCAGAGTCCAGCCAAGCTCACACCCACCACCCCAGTGACCCCATACAGCCACCTCATTCTCTGCCGTCCCCTTCTTCTTTTGCCATCAATTTTTCCCAGCATTAGGCTCTTCTCGATGGAGTCCTTCCTTCTCATTAGGTGGCCAGAGTATTTGAGTTTCATCTTCAGCATTTGGCCTTCTAAAGAGCAGTCAGGGTTGAAGAGAGGCATTCGTTTTGTTTATATTCATTAACAGAACTTAAGAGTACTTCTTAGAACTTCTTCAGTTAGGGGATAAAACGTGAAAATGCAGTAACAACCATAACATATGGTTTAGCATTTTCTGTGTGTGTCATTTGAATATGAACCCTGCCTAGTGAAGAAATTGTTTTGCGCTTCGTATAAGGAACTTTCCCCAGTACTAGCCCCCTGCCAATTTGGCTCCCGTGTCTGCGTTAGGGTGGGCCAGAGCCCTGTAAGCTGTGCCAGCTGCTTTGACATCCATGTTTCATTTCCTCTGCAGAGAATGTCTCTTCCATGACCAAGCCCATGCCAGCTGTGAGCTCTGCAACTCCGGCCCGTGACAGGTGAGCCCCTGCGGAGGTGAAGCTTTGAGGTGGGAAGTGCCTGTGTTCTGGCCATAATCTGGCTTAGAATCAGACCTGCTTTGACTGGGAGCATGTGGGGTGGCCACACTTGGGCTTTCCAGATGTTTGGGCCTGCAATTCCCATCGGCCCTAACCAGCATAGCAACAGGAGTTGGAAGCCCAAATATCTGGAGGGCCACAAGATATCCCCCTGCCCCGGGGCAATTCGTGTGCTGCCCCATGCAGGGAGGTTCCCCTGGATCTCTCCTTGGCTGCCCTGTTCTCTTTGACTAACGTCTTTCTTCCCCGCTCCAGCAGTGCCAGCCAACCGGATGCAGCTCTGAAGTCCGGCTCCCCACCTCCAGCAGCCCGTCCACAGGTGGAGAGGCGTAGGGAGCTGGTGCGATCACAGACGCTGCCCCGCACCTCCGGGATGCAGGCCAGGAAAGCCCTTCTGGAGAAATTTGAGCAGGAGGGCAGCAAGTACGTGCCTCCCCCAGACCCAGTCTGGCTGCAGGGGCAGGGCAGGTGCAGCAGTCCTTCTGGCAGGGCTGGGCCTTCCCTCCCAGGACAGTCTGGTCGGCTGGCAGGGGTTTTCCCAAGTTTGGTGGACCCAGTGGGAGAGTCCACTGGTCTTGGCACAGCCAGCTGTCCCGCTGCCGTTCATGACTGTGCTCAGGGCATCACTCCTACTGGGCTCTGTGCCTGCTTGGCAGGCACTTGGTCTCACAGTACTTCTGAGCCCCGCATCCTGGACCACCGGGATGGGAGGAGGGCCCCATCTGGCACAGGCCGATCCCTGTAGTCTGGGCTGGGCTCAAGAAGAGGTCTCCCTTCAGGAAGAGCCCTGGCCCAGCTGGTTTCAGAAGGGCTTGCCTGAGTGGTTAGTCCGTGCACTAGTGGGAGGAAGAAAGCTTTGGAGACATGGGGAGTCCGAGAGCTGCCCGAGTGAGGGAGGTGCCCTTCTCTCTCCAGTACTGCCTGGCTCTGGGGCAGGGGGAAGGTTCTTGTGGGAGGGGATCCTGGTGCTGGAGGGGAGGGGGCCAAGGGGCCCTGTCTGGTCTGTCCTCTGTCCCTCCCTCCTTCCTGCCTCCTGAGAAATTCAAGGGAAGATCCCTTTTCTACCCAGCTGCACATTGTCCTCACAATGAGCCTGTGAGGTCAGCTTGCCCGGGAGTGGGTGATTAGGAGATGGTGGAGGACAGGAAGGCCTGGAGAAGCGTTGTCCATGGGGTCGCGATGGGTCGGACACGACTTCGCGACTGAGAACAACAATGGGTGCTTGGGTGCCTTTCAGGTGTTTTAGACTCCGCTCGCAGCAAGTACAAGCAATGGAATGGGATCATGGGAGCTAGAGCCTCAAGCACCAGGTTGCTTCTCCCTGGAGAAGGCCACTGGCAGCCAGGTAGCTTCTGTGTCTCCTGGAAGGTCCCACAACTGTACCCATCTCCTCTGTGCGACCTGAGCTCTCCCACCCCAGCTCTTTCCTGGGGAACGCTTTCCTTGAGGAGGCCACGGATCAGGTGCCAGGAGCAGCCAGAAAGCTGCGTTTGTCAGGAACTGGCAAAGTTCCCGGAAAGGGAACAGACCATCCCATTGCACCATCACATGCTGAGATGGGCCGGAGCCTGACCCTCCTTCCTGCCTCATTGCTCCTTCCTGCAGGGGCAGTGGCCAAGGCCGGGCCAAGCTGAAGAGATCCCAGAGCTTTGGGGTGGCCAGTGCCAGCAGCATCAAGCAAATTCTCCTGGATTGGTGCCGCTCCAAAACCATCGGCTATAAGGTAGATATTGCTCCCTTTCTCTGCCGCCCCCGACGCATCCCTTCCCTGCGATGCTTCCAGGGCCTTGGCGCTCCTGTGTCTGCCCCTCAGTACCCAATCCCCACTCCCATGTTAGAGCTGTTCCCTGAATGGCGGTGCTTGGATGCTCATCCCCCCACAGCACATCGACCTACAGAACTTCTCCTCCAGCTGGAGCGACGGAATGGCGTTCTGTGCCCTGGTCCATTCCTTCTTCCCAGAGGCCTTTGAGTACCACATGCTGGACCCCACCAAGCGCAAGGAGAACTTTGAGCTCGCCTTCACCACGGCGGAGTAAGTGGGGCGAGTGGAGAGCGCAGACAGGGGGTGGCTGTGTGGTGGAGCCAGGCATCGCGGGCATCCCAGCGGCTTGCGGTGCCTGTCAACAGCCCCCTTCAAGCTCTCTGGTCAGGAGAGCAACCCTTCTCGGTGATGCTGGGCAGTAGGAAAAGTGATGGGGCTCAGCCCGGGGGGCGCTCTGTAAGGTGGTGTGCCTGTGGCAAGCCCGTGAACACGGCCGACTTCCTGCAGTCCTTGACCGACTCCACCTTGCCTTTCTGGTAGGAAAATGGCTAACTGCGACCGCTTGATTGAGGTGGACGACATGATGCTGATGGGCCGCAAGCCAGACCCCATGTGCGTCTTCACCTATGTGCAGTCGCTCTACAACCACCTCCGACGCTTTGAATGAGGCTGCAGCGGACAGACCGCCGGGCCCACCAGGACTGCACGGCCCCCACGGCTGCTTTCGTGCCAGCATGCTGAGAGGGCCCAGGAGCCGAACAGCGCTGCTTCCATGAGCCAAGGTGAAGGAAAGCGGCGGATGCTTCCAGCCCCTGGGCCGTTTGCAGGGCTGACGTGCAAGGATGGAAAAGGCCAACATGTCCCCCACTTCTCAGTCCTGTGTAGGCTCTTGTGAGCGTTTCCTTTCCTGGCACTGTAAGCTCAGTTGGCCAAGGGGTTCCAGAGTCACCCAGAGACAATTCAGGCAGATGGTATCCGCACCAAACGCACAGCATGTCCCCCCTCAAGGTGGTTGGGTAGCCAAAGGCAGTGCGTGAAGCCTTGCCTGGGCAAAGAGCCAGGCTCCAGTAGAGAGCATAAAACCAGAATGTCTTTTTCTGGGAAGAACTCAGGGTTGCCACGGGTGCTGGTGGAACCTGAACCAGTTCCAAATGGTGTAACACTGGCACTGCCTTACCTGCACACCTTAGCAGTTCCTGCCCCAAACAAGTGGGCAGTACTGGATAGGGCAAACTAGACTTTTGGCCCATGTGGCCCTGGACCTGCCAAGCCAGTCTAGTCTTGCTCTTTCCAATCAAGCCTCAGTGCCACCCATTAACGCTGCACCCGAGGGTGTACATGCTTTGCCTTCAGACACATGAGAGGGGGGCTGGAGTGCCCGAGGGCCAGAAACAGCAGGGCTCTCTCCCTCTGGCTTTGCCACAGGAGCACCCATCCCAGGAGGGCCCTACACGGACTGCATCCCCCTCCTAGGCAGAATTCAGAAGGAAAAGAGACACCCAGGTCCGTACCCCGCATCAAATATGCAAATGAAGCAAGCGCTCCTGTGGGAAGGAGCAGTGAGGAAAATTGTTGGGGGGGAGGCCCCCCCCCCTGCAGGTTTGACTGATTCATCAGGAACTTCTTTTTTGCGGATGCAAGGAATCCTTCCATGCTGATTTTTGTACCAGGAAAACCAAGCTAGTGTTTGCAACATGTGAGGGGAAGGTATGAAACACGCACATGTCACTCAGTGGGACATGACATGTCACTCAGGCATGGCACTCAGTGGGAGCCCAGGAAGAGGTCATACTTTTCCTGTGTGGTGTTGCAGGTCAGCCATTACTCTTGAATCACATCTGGGTGGGGGGGCGCTTTACCTGCAAGGAAAGGCGCATTAGCCATGCTCTAAAATATGAGGATGCCCCCCAAGTGCTCCAGCCCTATTGGCCAATTCAGAGTGGTACTGACCGATGGCACCCCCCATTTCTAGCTTTGGGGTTTTAAGGTGGGAGGAGCCTTGGGAGTCCCTTGCAGATGGTCCCTGGAGCTTCTTCACAGGGAGCTGTAGCATTAAAGACACCTTCAGGCTGAGGAATGCTGTGAGAGCCTGATGCTTTCCTGACGCCTTGCGAACCCAAGGAAATGAGACCTGCTGTGTGGCAACCCTGAAGGGCACGGCTGCCAGGGTGGAGAAGTGCCACCTGTGCTACTCGAATCTCTCTTCTTGAAGCGATTGTGCCCCTACCTGCTTCCAGCCTCCCTGCCACTGTCACCCTTCCAGGCTCCTGGAACTGGGCTTCTTTCCTGATATGGAAATATATATAAAAGTGACTTGCTGTATACAGGTGGCTATTTCTAATCAAATATACTGAAGGCAGCTTTCTGTTTTAACCCTCATTTTTTATTTTTAGAAGCAATAAGTGTGTAACTGTAAATGGTATCTCGGCATTAAATTAGATAATAGCAGCCAATAGGCTTGAGACACAAACATCAGAATCAGCTGAAATTTCCTTCAAAGGAGTTGGGTACAGGCTTGGCTCCCCCGCTGGGGAAGCCAGCCACCTGAGGAGGAAGGTGGAGCTGAATTTTGTGGCTTTGCCACAGCCTCAATCTGGGAAAGGGGGCTTTTTTCCTTGCCTGTAGGGGCTGCAGCCAGAAGAACAATATTCTGTTGGGATTAGTTGTCCATACTTCTCCTTTGCAGGGGCATTTGCCAGCCTTTGTGAACTCCACACAAAGACGCTGGCCCCCAAAGGGTTAAATGAGCCTTGTTTCCGCTGAAGAGGCACGACAGAGAGCCACTTAGCTTCTGCAGCTCAATGCACTCTCAGGAGGAGAGGAAAAGTGAGACTCTAGCAGTGCCCAGCACTACAAACCAGGACACAGCTGCTTGCCCTTACGAGTGCCCAAAGGATGCTGGGTGTGGTGGTGAGAAAATGCAGCAGGGTAAACATTACAGGTGCTTTAGGGAGAGATGCGGCCCAGCCCAAAAGATGCGCACCAAGAGCATCTCTTGGTTTCCCAGACCTTGTTGAAAAGTTTCGTCGCTGCTCCAAAAGCCACATTTAGCTTGCCACATTAGAGAACACTGGCTCAGAAAAGGAACTGTCACCTTTTAGAACCTGCACAGGGAAATGCCTTTTGAAGCGAAGAGGCGAGCAGATGGAGAAGCGCTGAGCGACGTCCCCTCTTGCTCACGGCTGCTGCTATGACTCCCCTGCCGCAGTGGCAAATCCGGCAGATCCGGCTCCCCGGAAGGCAGTTTTTGATGCTGCGACAACACACTGGCACATCCAGCCATCCCTCCCCCTCACCTCTCTGTAGGCAGCAGAGGCCCAGTCTAGCCATCGTGAGACTGCTGGATGGAGAAAACCTGGGATTAAATCCCCACTTGACTGCATCCCCCTCCCTGCCTCTCAGTTTATCAGCCTAGTCTACCTCACAGAGTTGCCATTACCATAGCATGGTGGGGGGGGGGGGGATGTATGCCAATACAGTAGATTGAGCACGGGGAGCAGGGGCACACAGAGAGCACCCTGAACCCATTCAGTGTCTTGAGGGAACAGACAAGGAGCTTCGGTATCAAAGAAACCACTGGACCCCCCACTACACACACATCAGGACAGATTTGGACAAGTCTGAAAATACTACCTGACGCTGCCCATTTGCTCCCTGCTCGGACATGGAGCCAACTGGGTCAGTCACAGCCGCTCAGCCCAAATACCTTACAGGGTTGAGGGGATAAGACTTGGAGGAGGAAAATGATGCAAATTGCTCTGAGTTCATAACATGAGAGATAAATCTAATAAAATGTCCATATTACTGTCTACATCATTAATCTAGGTTAATCTAAATCTTGATTTATGATTTTTTCTTGATCAAAACACATGAAAAGGCTTAAATATATACTTCAGATGCAGTTCATTTCTTAAATTTCAGCCCTTTTAATTTTTACACCCTACACAATACTTTTGCTTATTAATTGGTTCATGAAAACCCTGGATGAAATTGTTTGATGCTTTTCCATTTCCCACATACCCTTTTTCCTCTCCAGTGCCGAGCTAAAGAAATGTTCTAATAATAATAATAATAATAATCTCTTTGGATATTAAATGAGCTGCTTTGCCAATAACATTTTTAAAACAATTGTCTAAAGCTCATTGTGAACTTGGCCTTACATTTCCTTTTTGCACCACTTTATTCCCTTCTTGCTAATTACCATAATTAGGGGCTGGCAGTTTGCTTATGTGTCACCAATCTTCATTACAAAAGAAAGGGGGCCTAAGGGGGGGCCACCGGCCGTCTGCCCAGATAAATCATACAAACCCCAGCATCCACAGCCAGCCATGGGGAATGCTCGGCCCTGGAAGGTTTTCTTCCGTCTACCAGGCATAGGATCGCCTCCTAAGAATGCCGATTCCTGCAGTGCCGCTTGGCTTCCTTCCCGTTTCCAGGGGCTTCTTCCCTGCTGCTGCTCTCGTCAGCGTGCTTGTAGGAGGCTCTCTCCGAGGCCCCAGCAAGCCGCTGCGGGCGGCAGGCTTTCCTTGCAGAAAGGCTGCCCGAGGCGCCGCGAGAACCGCTCCGTCTCCCGCCGCCCGTGCACAGCCTCGGGGCGGGGCTTAGCTGCGTTCCACGCCAGGGGGGCTCCTCGCGCACCGCCCCCCCATCTCTGACGTGCACCCAAGATCTGCCTACTGCCAGAAGGCACGTGCGCGCGGGCCACGCCCTGCGGGCCGAGCGACCCACCAGCCGCGAGACTCGCGGGGCGGGGCTTTCTCGGCCTTGAAGGCCCCACCCCCGAGTTTCATTCGTCCTTCAGCCCCCACATCCCCCGCTCTCCTAGGGAGCGTGGCCAATCAGGGTGCGCCCTGGAGCTCCTCCGCGCGCGGCGTCGCCAAGGCGACGGGTTTGTGTGCCCGCCGGCTCCTGGGCAGTCGCGCGCGCCCTGGTGCCGCTGCAGGAGGTGGGCGGTGGCGGCGGCGAGCGCGAGCGGCAGGGGCTCTTCCTCGCTCGGCCTCCTCCCGGAGCCCCGCCAGACTGGGGCCCCGCCGCCTCCTGAGACGCGGCCCGGGGCTGCGGAGCCGCCGTTCGGCGGGGACCGCTCCTAGGCGCCGCTCCCCCGCTGACTCCGCCGTCGCTGCCGCGAAGGGGTCCCTGGCCGGACCAGGGAGGCTGCTGTTGGCTGGGGAGCGAGCAGCCGTGCCCGTGCGGCCTTCCGCGGCGGTGGGAGGGGGCTCTGCTCTCCGGACGGACTTTAGCTCTCTGTTTCTTCGCAGGACCTGACCCCGATGGCCAAGTTGCTGCAGGCGCCCCCTAAATTCCTGCCCCCTGAATGGTACGTTGCAAACAAGGTCCAGTACAGTGGGGCAGAGGCTCAGCGGTCGCGCTCAGAGCGCCTGGTGGATGAGAGCCAGCGGCTGGTGGATGAAATCGAGAAGACCACCCAGAAGACCCAGAGTGATGTCAACAAGAAAATAGGTGATGAGGCTGCCTGGTTGTGGGGGTGCCTCTGAGGCTGCCATCGAGTGCACAGAGGCCCAACTGGAGGGCTTGGTCACCAGCCTTCTCTTGGGCCTCCACTACCATCCTGGTTGCCATAATTTCACCTATAAAATGGGTCCTATAAGCAAAGGGGCAAAAATAGGAAATACCCCACCTTGTACATTTTTGGGGCAGTGATCCAGAAGACTGAACCCAGGATCTCTATTTGGCCCGCAGTGTAAATGTTCTACTGTTGAGCTATGACTGCCTCAAAAATAAAGTCCCAGGCCTTGTAGTTATGCAAAAATGGAAGAACATGGGGCTCGTTTAAATAAGAACACAGAAAGCTGCATTATACCAAGTCACACCCCGCCTCCTGCCCCAGCTCCAGTCTGCTTCTTTGCAGCTTTCTGGGATTTCAGGTGCAGATCTTTCCAAGGTGCCCCTAGGGACTGAACTGGAGACCTTCAAGCAGGTGAAGCAGGAGCTCTGCCATTTGAAGTACAACCCTTCTCCAAGACAGGCAGCATTTCAGCAGGCATTATCTCATTCTATCTTTATGTAATCTGTCTGATCATGGATGCCCCCTAGATGGGTTAAAAAGGGTACTAGTGAAAACATCCAAGTACCCTGAACTGAGTTCACTATATGGAAAAGAAGCAGAGCTGCATCTGCTGGCTGGAAAGCACGAGGCTTCACAGGGGATTCAGACAGAGAGGCGATATTCCTGTGGTTGGAACGGAGCTGCAGGTGAGGGCCGGAGCCCCAGAATGCACTGCATGTGTGTGCTGAGGAAGGTTCTCTCTCCCCCTCCCTCCCTCCTTGCTGGGTGTAAGTCTTTTGATGAGGGTTAGATTTCACACCTTGCATCCATGGTAGGAAGTGCCAGGCAGGACTCCTGGTGTTTTCTTTCCACATCTTCCCGCTCAGCTATGGCAAAGCCTCCTTCCCTGGCACAGTCTGGACCCCTGAGATCCAGCCCTTTAACCTTTTTGGTTTCTTACCAGTTCTCTCCCAGTTGTGTTGAGAACCCCTCCTCCCACCCCCAAGACTTTGCTGCTTCTCTCATTTGAACTGATCTGTCATTCCTACTCCTGCAGAACAGAGACTCCAGGAGATAAAATTCTGGAAGCAGCAACTGAATGACAAGCTCGATCAGATTACAAAGGAGACTGAAGCGCTTTTGGCATTCAGGAGCAGGCTAGAGAAAGCCCTGGAGGGCTGTAAAGAGCCTCTCTTCATTGCCCAGGAGTGCCTCCTGAACCGGTGAGAGGGTGTTGTTTCTCCTTCTGTGAGGGAATCTGGACTGGATGGTGGCAGCTCTTTCACATTCAGCTCCTTTTCAGGGTGCTCTAAAAAGACTGGCAATTTATCCCTTGGGCTGAACTGCCCTGAGGTCATCTCATTGGGTGCCATTTTCAAAACTATGTCTTCTACGTAAAGGAAGTTCCACAGCTTCTCTAGAAGTCCCTTTGATGGTGTCACGGCTCCATTCCTCAGACAGGCCCCACAGTGAAAGGGCAGTTCATGAACAATTCCTGCATCCATGCTGAGGCAATAAAAGGGAATGGAGGAACAGAGGAAACTTTTAATTAATATTGCAGGAACACCTGGTGAGCACTGTGAGACTAGACATTGATAAATCAGCACAGCATTATACTAAGTGCTGTGTGGAACTGCTGTTTAAACTCAGCTTCTGACCAAGCAAAATGATGCTTGTGTGGAAATGGTCTTGTACTTGCTTTCACACACTCCTTGTAGGCAGCAAAATTCTGTCCACCCCTCTCTCAGAACACAAGCAAAGAATCCCTAAGAAAACATGCATCTGTCACAAGGAGGCCTCACAAGTAGCCAGTTATTGGACTTGTTGCTATGAACATATCTGCACCCCTGTCAACATGCATATCTATATTTGCACAATCCTTGTGTCGGAAAAAGAAAGCCAGGATTCTCCTTCCTTCATTTCAGGGAGAGGCGGGTTGGGATTGACCTGGTCCATGATGAAGTGGAGCGGGAGCTGATCAAGGAGGTTGAGGTTCTCCAGGGAGTCATCGCTCTGCTTGGGCGCACGCTGGAGCAGGCCAATGAGCAAATCAGGTATGGGACAGCCAAAGCAGGGCAGTGGGGAGAAGAACTTGAGGGGCTCTGGAGAGGATCTGGACGGCAGGACAGGGCTGAAAGTGTGTGTTTGCACAAACGCAACTAACAGTTCAGTTGGTGACGCATACTCTTTTCATAGCTTGGAGCCAAGTGATATTAACACGGGAGCCTGCCGTGCTGATCCAAGGGCCTAAAGTGGTGGTGGTGGTGGGGCAGCGGCGGGGGGGGGGGGGGATAGTTCTGCAGCACAGCAGAAAAGTGCTCGCTTTGATCATCAAAGGTCCTGGGTTCTTTGGCTTTTCCCCCTAGAAAGAATCATTGGTTTTATGGGTGGAGGTGTCTGGTCTGGACCCTGGGACAACAGCTTTCAAACAGAGTTGACAGTTCTGAGCTAGCTGGACCAGGGACATTTTGCTCTCTCCCTCCCACTGCTAGCATGGTGCTCTAGATAGACATGTACCTGAGACTGATGTCCTACCTCTTAATGACCCTTCTGTCTGTTCCTGTGACCTGCAGGGAAATTGCTTTTGTGCAATGCCCAGCCCATCATCTGTTCTGAGATGCGTTTCTAAGAGCACAAATCTATACTTGCAGATTAACAAGTCTAGGATTGTGCCTTCATAGGCTTTTGGATTGTTGGATTGCGCTTGCCCAAGATGGCTCACTGAGCTTGGTGAGGCAGAGAAGCCATTTTGCAAAGCTGTTCTCTGCTCTGTGCAGTTGGGACAGTAGTGTGTGCACACAGTACTGTACGTACACCTTCCCATCCTACTTGGTCGCAGCACCTTTTTGGCCCCAGGATGTTTCTAATACTTTATGCCCAGGTAGGATTCACTTGGTTTCCTTTCCTCTTCCAGGCTTAACCGCTCGTCCAAATACAATCTTGAAAAGGACCTGAAGGACAAGTTGACAGCCTTAAGCATCGACAACTACTGTTCCAGCCTGACCAACAACACTCCTGACGTTGCCTATGCCCAGAACGTTGTGAAGGTTGAGGAAAAGTGAGTCATAGCCGTGCAGTGGTGCACTCGGGCAGCCACCCGGGGAGAACCTGCAGTTGCGCCCTCTCTGCCAGGGCTCTGCTTTCACTGGGCTTCTGTTCATTTCCATCAAGTTCAGCACAGGAAGGGAACTGACCAGAAAGAGGAAGTCCTTTGGTCCCCCTCAGACAGTGCAGCCACCTTTCTTCCTGGCCTGCTAGGATCACCTCCCAAAACACTTGTATGATGTAACATAGAAACAGAGCGAGTCAGAAGGTGCCTCCGAGGCCATCTAGTCTGACCCCTGGCTCCAGCCATCTCCACTCATGACATGCCTACCAAGTGCATGTCCAGCCTGTCCTTGAACTCCCTCACCAATGGGGCTTCAGTCGCCTTCCGTGAAAGCCCATTCCATACCCCAGGCGTCCTAACTTTCAGGAAGTACTTCCTGGCATCCACCTTGAATGTTGGTTCCCTGAGCTTTGCCCTCCTGCACAGGGGAAAGCAGGTCTCTGCCCACCTGCATGTGGCACCCCCACCGCCTTCCCACAAATCCCTTATCAGAATCCCCCTCCAAGATACCTTCAGCACAACCCAAGTCCTTGTCTGTGGCTGAAGTGACTCTGTTGCTGCCATCTACATGCTCCATCTTCCCTCCCTCCCTCCAGTTGTAAGCTCCTTGGGGCAGAGGTCAGTCTGCATGCACATCGATGGCCTGATTGTCCATGTCCAGTCCTGATGGACATGGACTCAGGGACCGATCACCTCATCTTCGTTGGGCTGAGATCCCCATCAAGTTCCATCTGCTCCAGGGTGGGTTTTCACTCCGAGTGGTGCTTTCCTCCTTCCCCGCTGCCCCCCATGCTACCATCTCTTGCACTCCTTGTCCTCTTTAACCTTGGACTGTGCTTTTTTCTGGGGTAACACTAGCTGTTCATTTGACAAAAAGCAATGATGGCTGACTAAGAGAAGAATGGGAAGGGGGGCTGCTGCACCCAGAATGAGGGGAGTCTGGCACCATTCTGAAAGGTCCCTCCTGGAAATCAGTGTGATCTCAACTGATGGCCAAACAGGCCAACACAGTGGAGCATCCAGGTCAAGACAGTTTTAATTAAGGGGAAAGTAAGGGTGGGAGGTGAGAGCTGCACCTCGTGTGCAGCAGCTTCCATGTTCATTCTGCAGCACCATGGGCAGGTCGGAGGGGCTGGGAAAGACCCCTGACTCCCTAGAGGGCCACTGCTCCCAGCTGGCATCATCAATACAGGGCTCAAAGGACCGAGTGGCGTCTGGCTCTTCTGAAGGCAACTTCCTAACCAATGTTGTTTGTGGGGCTTGTTTGAAGGAGGTGCTTGCTTTTGCTATTCTGAAACCCAGAAGTGCTGCACTGCTTGGGATGGAATTTAGGGCAAGGAGACTGGGGCTCAAGCAACTGGCAGAGCCTTCAGAGGCAAAGTCACTTAAAAGAGTGCGTGGAATCGTTTGCCACTGCTTCTTGATCTGATTGCGGCTTTGCCACCTCTGTATTTTGGAACTTTCACTTCTTTTTGGTTCAGCATCCCTGAGAAATCTAGCCCTCCTTTTACTCATATTCTGTTGCTGTGAGTGACTTGCCTTTTCCTCACCTCTCCGACAGCTCAGTGAGCCCCAAGGAGTGGGTGGATTTCTCCAACATGAACGTTGAGAAAGCTGACAAGCAGAGGAACAATTCCTTGGCCCTCCGGGCCCTGATTGACACCATCCTCTCCCAGACTGCCAGTGACATGCGCAAGCAGAATGACGTGGTCAACACGGCCTTCCGGGCCCGGGTGAAGGAGACCGAGGATGCCAAAAGCAAGCTGGAAATGCATCTGGCCAAGGTGAAGTGTGGGTGAACAGGTGGCTGCGAAGCAGGGACTGGCTGATTTCTTTTGTTCTGTTCATTAATTGCTTCCAATCCATCTCCATGTCAGCACTTGACAACTTGAACAGATTATTAGTTCAGAAGAAAGCTAGGTGTATGCCAACATCTGCTGTTCGTTAGTTCTGATCATAAAAGTCCACCCCAAACGAGGCTGTCTTGCCAGGTTTTCACATACGGCCACCTTTGGAGAGGGAGGCTCCATGCTGCATTTATGCAGAACCACCCTAAGGTCATTCCCCAGCAGGCCAGGGTGCCAAGACCCCGCTAGGAAACCTGCAGAGCCACCAGTCGGAGTAATCAGTGTATGGCTCTCCAGGCTGTTTGACCGAAAGCTCACATCATCTCTCACCAATATGCTTGCTAGGGTTGACAGGAGCTGTGCCCCTCTGGGCGCTTTGGCCTGCAAGTTGCTTGCATCTGCTGCAGGCAGATGTGAAATAAAAGGGTCAAAGCTCTGACCTTGTCAGGGCAGCTTTTTTCTATGTCCCTATTAAGATCATCACTTTATTCAGCATTTTAAGGACTGGAATCTTACTCTCTCAAAAAAAAAAAAAAAAAAAAAAAAACCAGATGCAGCTCAGTGGCAGAGCATCCGCAGTGCCTGCTGAAGGCCCCGGGTTCAGTCCCCAACGGGGGTGGACAGGAAAGGTCCATCTCTGTCTGTCAGCAGAAAACCTCCTACCAGGCAGCACCAGTTCTTCATCCCAGCCCCCTGGGCTCCTAAAGGCAGGCCAGCACCCCCATGCTCAGGAGGCAGCCCCCAAGCCTCTCTTCTGGTGTTGGGGACATTCATGGGCTCTGATGATGCCTCCTGCAGCATCCAGGCCTGCTGCTCCAGAGAGGCTGCTCTGACTGGCCTCCCGCAAGACTCAGCAGAGGGGGGAGGGCTCTTCCTTCATTGCCTGGCTGCAGGTCCATCTTCCAGCAGGGAGGGCGGCCATAGCAGCATCCTGCACACACAGCAGGGCTCCCCATTTAGGCCAACATTTGCAGGAGCCATGGAGCCCGTCATGGGAGAAACGGAGCACTGCCTCATTCCTGGAGTAGCCTGTGCAGGTGGTGCTGGGTGGAAAAAACAGGCAGGACTGGGGGTGGGGTGGGGCGGGCTTCCTGCTCAGCCATCCTTGCCTGGCTCGTCACACAGGGGCTGCCCAGGGCACTTTACCCACTGACCAGCTGCCTTGGGCTGCAGGTGATGGAGGAGATCAGTTCCCAAGAGAAGAACGTGGAAAGTCTGTGGAAAGCCATCTTGGACAAGGAGGGGCCAGCCAAGGTGGCCCAGACACGCCTGGAGACTCGGACGCACCGCCCAAACGTGGAGCTCTGCCGGGACAAGGTGCAGTGCCGGCTCATGCATGAAGTGCAGGAGATCAGCCACAATATCCAGAGGCAAGTTCAGCCCCGAGAGAGCCACAAGGCCTGGCTCCCCAGCAGGGTTCTCCCAGGGACTAACCACCATCCTCAAGGGAGTGCAGGCTATAGTGAAGCCGTTTCTGGTGGTCTTGGAGGCTTTGCTGCATGATGCCCTGAAACCCTCTGGGTTTGGGCTCCATAGTCTGTTAAAAAGGAAAGTGGCTTTCCACAGCACACTAAATCTGCAGTCTCAGTATGGAGTTAGGTTCCCCCAGCTGTGCTGGAACTTGAAGGGGCTGTTCCATCGGGGGTTATCAGGGGAAGAGACCAGGATGGATCCAGCCCAGCTGGGGTACGCAGAGGCATCGTGCCCTCCAAATGGGTCAGACTTTTGCAGCTGGCCAGATGTCCCACCTTCTCCCAGAGAATGAACAAAACCTCCCATGCCTCTCGGAGAGCACGTGTCTAGTTCTTATGGATTGCTGTGAAGAGAAACATGAAGAGACAAGGGAGGACATTCAAGAATCCCAGGAAGCAGGGCAGAGCAAGCTGGGTAGGAAGGGACTGGCTGTCTTTCTGACAAACTATGATGCAAAAAGCCATGTTCATCCCAACTAGGTTTTATTTTTATTACTCTTTTGAGGGCTTTTGTGGTGCACAATTTAGACTGCCCTGTTAGCTCCCAGCAGCTATTCCACTGGACTGTGCGTACACACAGATACTTGGGAAGAGTTGGCGTACTTGGGACTGGAAAAGGGCTCGCCCTGTTCCCAGCAGCAATCCTGAGAAGGAAGTGGTCGCGATCCGGACCTTGCAGTTACCCCTTTCTCTGCTCCTCCCGTAGGCTGAAAGAGACCCTGGCTCAGGCCCAAGCAGAGCTGAAGGGTCTGAACCGCCGGCAGCTTTCCTTGGAGGAAGAGATTGAGGTCAAGGCCAACACCCTCTACATTGACCAAGTGCTGTGTATGCAGATGAGGGAGTCTATTTCCATCAACAACTACTGACCTTGTGCAGGACCCCTGCCCTAAACCCCCCCCCCCCCCAAAAGGGCCAGGCTGCCCTGAATCCTCTGGTGTCCGTAGCAGGTGCTCTGCTCTAAACTTTCTAAAGGACAATGAAGTTGTAAGCGAACGAGGGCAAAGTAGCTGATCATGAGATGCATGGCTTGATGCAAACTTCTCTCTGGTGCTTGTATTGGATACGCTCCGCACCGAGGCAGCAGCTGGGCCCCCATTTTGAGGGACCGTTTGCTTCGGGGAAACTGGATGGGAAAACCCTAAATCGGACACAAGTGGGTTCCCTCAGGCTTTGCAAAGCCGTGTCTCGTCGCACCACCTTTCACACATTCACAGCCAACCTGAACAGGCAGATTGGGGTTGCCCAAGCCACCTTTTACATCAGCATATATTAGTTTGGGCGCAGTGCCGTTTGGGAGGGAAAGTACAGCAAAGCTAAACTGGTGAGGGGTGTCAATGTGTGTACTCGCACTTTGCACAGGAGAATTGGTGTGAGCTACAAATAGGCAAGGGCAGTGAGATTAACGGGAGGGGAAGGCTTCTGCCTCACTGTGCTGGATTCAGGGAGTTGCTGTGGGGGCTGCCTGCACACAAGGAAACCCTCAAAGCCGAGGTCCTCCCACTGTGTGTCCCACAAGGATTTAAAAGGGCTCTTCCTGTCGGCTCTTCCCTCACAGTCGTGTGGGCTCTGTTCAGCCACACTGTCCTTCCAATCACCCCCCTTGCCTCTTAAGATGTGAAAAGGCTCCCCACCCCTCTCTCTGTGTTTTCCTTTCTCGAGGGCGGTTGAGGGGGAATGCAGAGCAGCCCTGCTTGGCTCTGTGGCCTGCAGCACCCCACTTGCCAGGCACTGCACACCCGCACGAGGGGCTGAGGGGCAGGGCACGTCTCTGCGATTCCTTCCCATCCCAGAGGTCACGCATTCCAGAATGGCTGCCTGTGCTCAGTCTTGGGCACAAATTGTAGCTCCTTTATTCTTAGTGAGGCAGAGCGAGGCCCATGCAAGGCCAGGACAGGACAGGAGAGGAAGCTCTCGGCCACAGGGAGGTGTTACTGCCAGCTGGCTTCTCCGGGGGCTGTTTGCGGCGACTCTCCTGCAAGATGAGACAAGGAAAGGGGTTGGTTCTGGAGCAGGTCAGCCCTTCCTTCCCCATTTAGAACAACGGCCATAGGGCATGCAGCTCTGTGGAAGGGAAGCCCCACACACTCTGCCCTCCCGGAGTGCACCTTGAGCAGGTGCCAGTGCCACCCTTTGGGTGGGTTCAGGGCCACTGCCTGGGATCAGTGGGACCAAGTGCTGCCCTGGAACAGGCCGATTGCCACAGTGTCCCCTCGTGTGTCTGCTTCCAAGGCTGCTTCCAAGCACGCCGAGCGCAAGCAGAGCAGCTGAAAGGGGATTTTGCATGGGGAGCTTTATGAAGCACCAGCTCCATCCTTACCAGCAGAGCCTCCCCATCAGATAGGAAGGGGCACAACAGGCTGCTGGGGAAAAAGACACCGCCTCTTCCCAGCCCTCCTGAATGGAGGCCCACCTCCCACCTGTGGCTGCCTCTGCCGCACCAGAGTGGAGGCAGGTGGCACTGGGGAGGTGGGTGTGGCTGCTACTGGAGAACTGAAGAAACCCTGGTGTGTGTGGGGGGGGGCACACCCCCCTTATGTGCCTTGGGGGCGGGAGCATCTGTCATGCAACCACTACCTTACAGCACAAATATTGTCTTGGGGTGGCTTTCTCATTCCTCGATGCAGAGAAGTTTGTGTGGCCACGTTTTCCCACCTGTGGCTAGTATTGTTTCTTAGACTGAATTTTCTCTTGCTGCTGGATGTGGCCTTATTGGGTGGAAAAGTGGCATGAAAAGGGGGGTTGGGTCAGGAAATTAACTAGCTTCATTCAAGTTGTGATGGTAGCGGGGGCAATGCAGGGGTGACAAGATAGGGCTACCCCACCCAACTTCTCTAGCAGCTAAGAAACGAGGAAGTGCATCCTCCTTAGATCACAAGAGAAGGACCCTCTCTTGGTCAGGACTGTGACCCTTTTGCAACTATTGGGTTCCAACTCCCATTCGCCACAACAAACTATCATAGCCAGTGATCAGGGATGCCAGGAGGGCTGAAGAACTGACAGTGGGAGGGCTCTGTGCTTGCCACAGCATGGCCCTTGCACGCGGCTGGGCTCAGCTCTGGCACAGCCCATCAGGAGCAGCAGCAATGGTACCTCCTTTTCCCAGAAAACGAGGACTCCGCCGAAGGCTCTGCAGGGATGCCGCCCGCTGGCACTTTTTCTGAAACAGGATTAATGCAGAAATGCACCAGGATGTGTCCACAGCTGCCACGCACGGTCACCTGAGGAATGCCCACCCCAAAGCGGAGCCACCCGGATCCCTTCGACAGCAGTGTCCACTGCCTGCAGTCAGCGCGGCCATTGGGAAGCACTGCGTTGGGGAAAGGGGATCCTGGGCTCACTCAAAAACAGTGCCGCTGTTTTTCTTTCAGGTTTTGTACACTTTTCATGTTTAAAAGACAGTTGAGCATAAACAGTTTCATTTAATCTAAAGAAAATGAACCTTCCTTCCCCACCGCAAGGTGCCACCCGCTTGATGGGCTCTGAAGGAAACCGCTCCCATCCCCCAGCTGGGAACTTTTTGGTCAGTTGTGCTGAGCAAACACGTCAGGAAATGGACAGGGCAATTATTTCAGCACAGGAAGGCTTGTGTGGACTCCACCAGAGAATGTGCCCCCATACTGAGAAACTGCCCCTGCTGGAGGCAGCTTTTGGAACTGTCCTGACTCACCTGGTGCTTTTGCAAGGTGGGCCTTGGGAGGAGGATGTTGCAGTGGGAGCAGCTCGCCAACTGGTCATAATCAGTGGAATCCAGGCACTGTGGCTCTGCTGAGGTCAGGGTGGAGGTGAAGGCCAGGTGGGTGGCCCCCTTCTTGCTCTTGGGGGTCTTCAGGGAGTGCCTGACGAGGTGTGGGGGCTCATGGTTCTTTCTCCTGGGCTGCACATCCTTCTCGGCTGCTGTGTCCAAAGTGGGGGGAGGCAGAGTCTTCAGGGGAGGGGGACTGTGCTTTGTGGGGTAGCTGGTGCTGAGCGTCTCCAGGAGCTGAGGAAGTGGGGTGCACGTGTTCTGCAGAGGAGAAGGGATGTCAAGGCAAGGGGACATAGTGAGCTTGTCAGAACCTGAACTTTCCTGCAGGATGTGAGAACTGACCAGGAAACAGAACCTGAAACAAGAAAGATTCCTGGAAGTCTGTGGTGAGCCACTAGGCTAACTCAGAGTGATGAGGAAGCACATGGTTTCTCCGCTCACGGATGCACAACCAGAAGTCCAGGGTCAGGACGCCTACTTCGCACAGAGGTCCCCGCCAGCAACACTCCAGTACAGCCAGCTGACTGGGCAGAGGCCTTTCCTTGGGCACCTCCGCCGCCTCCTGCAGGTGGCCATCCAAGTTTCTGTTCAAGGTCAGCCCTACCTCCCCCCCCACCAAAAAAAAGGGTTGGCAAAGGCAGGGGGCTCACGGGCTTACCAGATGGTGTAGATACTGCTCATCTGGAAACCACTGACCGCACTGTTGGCACAAATTGTTCTGTGCCGCTGAGGAGGGAGGGAAGAGTTACTGGCATCCTGTAGGTCAGGGACTAAGAGAAATGTTCTGCTGCTCTGGCAAGGACAGCAGCAGGCCTCCCCACAGCCAAGAGGGTCAGTGGCAGCTGCCATGCCTCTGTTGCAGAGGACTGACGTCTCTGTCGAGGTCTGGAAACCCAGCAGCCACATCGCCCTGAACAAGTATGACCCCTGTCTAGCAAGCTCTCCTGAAGGGAACAGATAGTGCAGTGGGGGGAACCCCCTCTCTCCACGAGTCTCTGGGCAGCCAGATGTGCTGCCAAAAATACCCCCTACCCATGCGCCACTTGTCTCTGTGTTTCTGTGGCAGGCTCTAGGGGAGCTCAGCCAGACCAAGGACCCCACAGTCGCTGCTCCTTCAGGTACTGCCTCTGAGAGGGTGCCTGAGGGACAAGACCTGGTCTCTGGCCGGGAGGGTGTGGGGAGACAGCAGCAGCAGGTCAGATGCCAACTCACCAGGGTCCCTTCTTAGCAGGTCACTGGCCAGGCACTTGACTTTGTGGCACTCGAGGACTCTGTTCATGACATACTTGCCACAGTCCTTGCACAAGGTGGTGCGGCTGCCACACGCATCCAGGTGGCCTGGCAGCTTGTTGTGGGGCAGCTCCAGCTCACAGAAGTGGCACCTGGAGACCCGAGCTGGGCAATCCTCAGCCTGCAGGGGCAGGAGAAGTGAGCAGCAGTTACCCTCACACTGAGGCAGGGGGGAGGGTTGCCCCCCCGGGCAGCAGCACTAGAGAAGGAAGCTCGTCCAGCCTCTCTCAGGTGGGGCAGAGTTCCTGGGAACAGGAGGGAGGCTGGGAGTGGGCCCTGCACCTGCAAGCGCCAGCCTGTGCGGAGGCCTGCTGCCCCTTTGCACATGGCAAGGCTGAGGTGTGCACTCTCTCCCATGACTGTTCTGGGCACAGATGCTGGGGCAGGGCTGCCTCAGTGCAGAGGCCTCACAAGTGCCTCAAGGGCAGATGAATACCCCAGGGAAGAAAGCCATGCTGGCACACCAGAGCCAAAGGGATGGCCTGTGCTTATGCGTGACAGCCTGGGGGAGCTCAGAGTCCGTTTGCCTGGAAGGAGGGAGAGCAGCAGCCAGTTGCCGATGGGAGCGCTACCCTCCTGCCAGGGCCCTCCTACCTCATGGCTCTCCAGCAGGTACTGCTGCAACAGCTGATGGCAGAGCTGGCACCTGACCTGCAAGCGGAGAGGATCCCGTTAGCTTCTTTGCTGGAAGGCCCCAGGCCAGCGCACTGACCTGCTCCTGGCGCTTCTGGGCCACTTCATGGGCTGTCTCTGGTTCTGCCTGCTCAATCAGGGAGCTTTCTCTCTTGTGCCAAACTCCAGGGCACACGCCACGTCCACTGGGGAAGCAGGCATGTGGAGTGCTGAGGCACAGCCTGTACGAACAGGGCAGCTCTGTTCTGGAGGAGCGGTTCCTCTCGGGGCTTTGGGGCAGCAGGACCTTGCCAGGCTGGGTCAGTGGCACCTGCTCTGCTGACGTCTCAGCAGATGTCCCTCCGCCAGGTGAGGGCATGGAGAGGGGACTGCTGGGTCCAGGGCAACAGCCAGCCTTTCCCCTTAGTGGGGAGCTCCTGCCCCAAGGCAGCGTTTTGACAGACCTCACCTGCACTGTAGGGGAAGGGTCAGATTCCACAATGTCGCAGAAGTTCCCTCCCACCCATGCTACCCTAGGTATGCGAACGGGAGGTGTATGAATGGGGTATGTGCTGGGTAGTGGGAAAGAGATGGGGTGCTCTCACCCACTGTGGACTGTAGCCCCCCTGCCTCCTCCCGTAAAGGAAATGTGGACTTCAACCCCCCCCCCCCCCCGCCCCCTCCCCCCATAAGAGGCTATTCTAAGGACACAAGCCATCCTGGGCCATCTCTTCCCTCTGCAGAAGAGAACATGGGCCTCATGGGAGCCTGGGGCCCAGCTGCAGCTGAGCACCTCTGCCCAGTAGGTCCGTTAGCGACAGATGGGGGGAAGGGGCTGAGTCGTACCTGCCGGTGTGCCTCTTCAACGTGCTTCTCCATGTCCTTCAGGGCAACCAGTTCCTCGCACTGGAGGCAGATGGTGAGGAAGCGCCTGCAATGAGCTTCATGGAGCGAGAAGTTGGCTGCAGCGACCTCCCGCTTGCTGGACAGGCAAAAAAAAAAAAAAGGGCAAACATGGCCATGGACGGAGAAACCACAGAGAGAAACTCCAAAGCCTCCCTTTGATGGGGGGCGGGGAGGTGGCCTCCTCTTGCAGAAGGGCCTGTGCCTGATTGTGGGTACCCTCCCCCGCTCGCCCCGGTTCCGAGGGCGCCTGCTTTGGAAAGCGGGGCAGGCAGCTCCACTTCTATCATCTCGGTTGATCTAACGTAAATGTGGGTTCGGCGCCATTTTCGCTTCTGATACAGGGTCGGGCGACTCCCGCTGGTTCTGCTGGTGAGGTCCCATGGAGACGGTAGGTCTGCAGGCCGGCTCAGGCAGCCCACGCACTCTGGAGAATGATATCCGAAGCAAGTGCGTGCGTGCGAGCGGGGTTCGGCTAAGGCATCGGCGGAATGTCAAGGGATGCTGCAAACAGGCCGCCACAAGGCTCGTGGGCGAAGGTTTTGCAGGCGTTCTTGAAGGCCCAAGCGGCAATGCCAGGCTTTCCTAAACCCCACGAGGGCCGCCCGGGCTGGCTGGAGCACGCTCGGCCCAACACAGATGGAGGGCACAGGGCTGAAGAAGGCGAAGCCCGAAGTTAAAAGCCGCCCTGGTACGCTTGAGAAGCTCGGGGTAGAAATATTGTAAGTAAGTAAGTTGCACTTTGCAGGAGGCCCCTAAGGCAAAGCGAGGAAAGCGCGGCGGCTTGAAGCCCCACCCGCCCCGCTCGCGCTGTGCTGGGGCGACCCTGCTGTTCCGTTTGGAGGGAACATCTCTCCCCACCGCCGCCCACCCCTCCGCTGACCCACAGCAGGCAGGCAGCACCTACCAGTTCTCGCAAAGGCACCTCGGCTCCTCCATGGCTCCGCCAGGCTCGCCCGCTTTCACTTTCATTTCTGCGACCTGCCGTGACAGAAGCGAAACTGAACCGCCGCGGGGAGAGGCGCTCTCGGGCGGGGGCCAGGGAGAGGCCATTCTCCGGCCGCTCTGATTTACACACCAGGGAGCCCCAGAGAGCAGTATCCGTAGTTAAGAGTGTTGGGAATTGTAGTCCCGCTCATCTGGAGGGAGGGGAGGCTGCCCTGGAGCGTTCCTCGGACGGAGCGCTCAACGGCAGCCCTCCAGCGCACGGAGCGCCGAGGTGGCCACGAGGAGGCGGCAGAGAGCCACTCTCGGGCCTTTCTGCCTCCGCTTTCCCGGGAAGGGCCCCGTTCCGCCGGGGATGCGCAAGTCGCGGGGGGGGGGGGGCGCCGGAGGCGTCTTCGCTTGCGCCTTCTGCATGCGGAGCAGGTGGTGCGCCGCGCAGCCCTGAGAGACGGTGCCTCAGAAATCCAGGCTTGACCTCGCCCTCCCGGGTCCCAGCGCCGGTCCCAGCTTTGCGCAATTGCTCTGCACACCCTTCTCCTAAATCAGAGCCTCGGTCTGGAGGAGGTTTAAGCGACGGTAGGCTGGGATTTCGGCAGCGCCCTGTCTGTCTTTATTTTATTTATTTATTTAAAGTTTTTATATGCCGTCCCCTTGCTACATAGCCTCGTGACGGCTCTTTGGCCCCGCCCACCGCTGGGAAAACCCGCCCCACTTCTTTCAAAGGAAACGTGGCCCTTGGGCTGAGCCACCGGCTGCACGGCTGTCGTGACTGAAGGACTAGCCCCGGATGACCTCGAAGCAGGCCCCCCACGGCAAGGAGCCTGGTCAGGACTCACGGGATCCATGCCAGAGCCTATGTGGACAGAGGAGATGAAGCTGCCAGCCTGGGTGCCCTGGACCTGGGACTGGCTCCAGTGGTGTCAGGCCTCCCAGGTTTGGGCTACTGGCCAGTGACTCTCCAGGGTGCCTGGCGGAAGGCGGCAGACTTGGCCTGGCCCCGCACCCTCTGAGCTCTTTCCCACTGGTGGCGCTGGAGAACTCCAGCACATGGCTGCCCTTCAACCTCCACTAAGCAGTGGCCCTCCCTGCTAGATTTTGGAAAGTTCTGAGGATCATGGAGATCCCTTCAGATCTGTTCAGATTTTATGAGGGAGGGATTACATGGCACCCTGCACTAAATTCTAGAAGCCTTCCTCAGAGCCTGCCATGAAAGAAACCTCTGTTTTGCAGGTGTATTTTAAGGAAAACATCAATATAAAAAGAACTCTCCAAAGCTGAATAGTAGGCAGCCACTGGAGGACCCCCCTCCCCTGGACACCCACACTGGCTAAGAGAAAAGCAGAGCAGTGGCACAGGGTGGAAGGGAAGTCAAAAGCAGATTTCTTAGCCAATTCTTTTTCATGGAAAATCTGTACATCACTCTTGTGAAATCCAGCACAAATGCTGAGGTGCCATTTCCTCTAAACCCCCCCCCCCATCCATTAGTGGTGGATGCGAGCTTTGGTTCCCCAGGGTCCCTGGCATCCAAAGCATCTTCAGTCATATTTCATATGGAGCACAAAAGGCTCTGCTCTGATAATTGCTCTGCTTTTGGGGGTCCCACGAAACAGTCTGTCTTTTTTGCTGAGAGTGCTTAACATGGTGGTGTGACAGCAGCTGCTGCTGGAGTACAAACACAGTAAGGATGCATTGGCTTCTCAAAGCAAAGCAGTTCATAGAAACATAGAAACAGAGCGAGTCAGAAGGGGTCTCCCAGGCCATCTAGTCTGACCCCCAGCTCCAGCCGGCTCTGCTCACGACATGCCCACCATGTGCATGCCCAGCCTGTCCCTGAACACCCGCACCGATGGGACCTCAACCACCTCCCGTGGAAGCCCATTCCATGCCCTCGGGGTCCTAACCATCAGGAAGTGCTTCCTGGCATCCAAATTGAACCTTGGCTCCCTGAGCTTGGCTCTGTTGGAGTGTGTCCTGCCTTCCTCTGCAGGGGAAAACAGGTCTGTACCCACTTCCATATGACATCCCCTCATACACCTGTATGTCGCCAACAGATCCCCTGAGTCTCCTCCAGGCTGAAGAGACCCAGTTCCCTCAGTTCAGACAGGAGGAGACTGAAGAGGGTGGAAGATGCAAAGCAGCCCCTCAAGAGCTTCTGTCCTGTTAAGAGTGGCAAAGAAGGGGGAGTTCTGCTGGCTCTGACACCTCAGCCCGGGACTGGCTTTTCACATGGTAGGTGCCAGGGCAAATTGTTGGATATGGATGTGGAGGGCACAGGCAGCTGATTGCAGCTATTGTGTCACCAAAGGCCAGGAAACTTACCTTTCCTTGGGCCACTTCTGATGTCTGGATCATTCTTAAAGAAGCAGAGTGTTTTACAGACCATCATCCCAGCATCTGGTCATGTAACAATGGGTATTGTTAAATCAGCCAGTCATAGCTGTTGGCTCCAGATAGCCAGACAGGCTGCAGCAGCCACAGTGGAACTCGTGCTGGTGGTCCTGTTTCTCAGGTTAGGAGTCTGCAGCTCAGCCCCACTTGGTGTTTTGGAAACCCATGTCATGTGGGGCTGACTGTGGTTACTCAAGGGAGAGGACTGGGGAGGAGAAATTACTCTGCACGTACACTTCACAGTTCTGAGCCTGGCACTGAAATGGGTTTAGGGGATGGATCCTGGTTCCATGTAAGAGAAGGAAATTAGTACCAATTCCCCTCCTGCTGGACGGCCTCCAAAGCCACCTCAGTTGTGAGGAGTTTTTACCCCACCTCAGATTCTCCTGAGATCTCCTGACACAAAGCCTCCCTCCCCAAGATGTGAGTCGGCTTCTTAAGGAGGGTGGGGTGAGTTGCAACCCACCAGGAAAGACGAAGTGCCACTGCCTGGGTCCATAGAAGAGGCAGGCAGCCAGCCAGCCAGCCAGCATCACCTCTATGTCATTCCATTTGTCCTTGCCCAACCCATGACTGACTCCAGGCACAGCCCTTCCTGGTACAGACACTGTCAGCACAGGGGAACTGCAGCTGAAGCACCTAAACCTCTTCTAAACTCCTTCTCCCTTGACTGAGGCATTCCGTAGTTGATGGCCCGGAAGGTGGCTCCTTGGAGAGACAGCGTAACCTCTTGTCTTATTCCACCAGGGTAGCCGAGGCCACGTTAGTTCCAAAGCTGGTCCAGAAGGATCAGGGTTTTCCAAAAGCAGCCAGGAGAGAGCGCCATCATCTACGACAGCGCATTACTTTGATATGCAGGCCTTGCTGCTAACATGCCTTGCCCATGGAACTGATGCGCCAGTCGGGTCAGAGAGGAAAGAGGAAGCCTTGGATCTGGGGCTTCTGCTCAGAACTCCTTGCAAATAAGAATCACCGTCCTGGCATAGAGCAGTATGGGAAAAGGATGGGACCTTGAGAGGCCCAGCCATGGAGCAACCGCCATGGATGCCCAGCCTTGACCCCAAAAGCCCTTGCAGTGTTGGAAGGCACGCGATGCCCCCAGCCATTGGTTGCACAGACAAGCAGCTTGCAGACAAGGCCGTCACAGAGCACTGAGAAGCCCATGAGAGGGGTGGCAGAGCAGACTCTCTTTCCCCACCCTACCACTTTTGGGAAGCAAACCTATTTGTGTTAAAAATGAAGGCAAAGGTGATTTTAAAAGGTGCCTTGATGATAAACTGGTATTGGCTTCCTGGTCTGAAGGATTCTGTTGTCCATGAAATTACTCTGTTCCATTGACCACAGATGGATTAATGTTGATCAGTTTGGGGTTAGACAATGCAGGGAATTTCCGGTGTGTTGTAAAACTCTGTTTTCCAGCAAGGCTACAGCTGAGAAGGTACTGGTTAACTGTATTGCATCTTCCAGAAGTGCATCTTGATATAATAAATGTGGCTTCCTTGTTTGGAAGAAACTTCAACTGAATTGAGCCATGAAGCTGGACAGGTACCAATCAATCAGAAAGAACAGCCAAGCCTATCCCTTCAAGCAGCAGCAGCCGAAGGCACAAAATTTGGCCTGACACCTTTCCCAGCACTGCAACGGTTTCCAGAGGGGTCACAGCTGTCTTACTCTATTGCAGCAAAAACAACTAAGAGTTGAGTGGTACCTTCAAGACAAATGCATTTATTCTGGCAAGAGTTTCCAGCTTCCTAGTGTGAAAGCTGCCACGGGTCTCCTCATGGTTTTTCTTTTGTGGCATGGATATTGCTAGCTGCAGATTGTGGCAAACCAAACTAAATTTAGAGGGCACTGGAGCCTTGCAGGGACTGGAAATTCCTCTCCTCTTCATGCTTTTCTCTTCCTGGTTTCTGTGTTACTCAACAAAAACATTCAGTGGCAAAGAGGATGGACATTTCTTGGAATTTGTGGCACAGATGATGTTGCAAAGCAGAGTTTAACTGAGGAGAACAGCTCTTTGGGTTCCCTGTTTGGAAAAGCCAATGTCCTAGCCTGCCAGCCTAAGGAGGTTAAAAGGGCTTTTCTCTAGCAAGCTTCAAGGCAACTTCGAGGGGGTCAATGCAGCTGAATTTAAGAGGTCTCACCCAGAGCAGTGGATTTGCCGTAGGTGCTCTTGTAACAGACGAGCTTGGAGTAAGGGACAGAGCATGCTGAAGAGATGGGGCACTCTGGGAGAAAGGAATTGGTGGGGGTGGCTGGCCACCCAGGCTGCCCCTCCTTCCCTCTGCCATGCAGAAGCTGGTTGGGCTCCCTAGTGCCATCTGGACAGGGCAAATCAGTGAAGCCTGAAAGAGGCCCTTAGCTTTTGGTGGCGTTTGCCTCCGTTCTGCCAGCCTGCCCTGGTAATGAGGGGCTGTAAGTACTTACCAGAGGGATGATTTATAAATCATCCAGAGGATTGCAAAAATTGTGTTTTTAACATGGATCTTCTGCAGAGACGCAAGCAGGGAGGGTATCCTGCCACTGTGGTTGCTGCCTAGGGAGAAGCTCTAATTGGAGGGCAGGCTGGTGAGAGAGAGGTTATGAAGGAAGTAGAGCAGAGGGATCCGTAACAGTCCGAAAGGAGAGGAAGCTGTTCTGGTGCCCTGCGTGGGGGGACATGGGGGGAAGGCTGCAGAGGATGGCTTGAAAGGGCAGGCAGGGCGAATGTTCAGCTGAAATACCTCTGCATGGGTTGAGTAGCAGTGTGACTCTCTTGCATCAGTAAACATTGGAAAGCTGCCCTCTGTCCACATGGGGCTTTCTCCTTGCTTCAGCCCAGAGTAGATGAAGAGATCAGACCCCCACCCAGCCACCAGGGACACTCCTTGAGTGGGTCTCTTGTAGGCCGTGGGCACCGCTCTTCCGGTGCTTCCATCAAGGGTTGCCTTGGACAGAGGATGGCCTCAGAGTGGGAGCAAGCCAGCTTCTCTTGGGCAATCCCACCAGGCTGCAGAGGCAGACTTGTGGTAACTTTCCAAAAAACCTGCTAAGAATGGACTGCCGTTTGGCTGGTGAGCCAGCCAGTTTGCCCAGCCAGAAAGCTCCAAGCAGCTGTGCCATCCCCTGATTAGGATGGAGAGACTCAATTCAGTTCTTGGGGGTCTTTCCAGAAAGGCAGGCTGGGGGATTTCTGTCCCTGGGTGGAGGTGTTCCTAATCAGTTCTGCATTCAGCCTGACTGCCCCACACAGACTTCCTTCAACCAACCTTGTTTCCTTGTTTTCTTTCTGTGATGGCTGCCAATCGAAAGTCCAGCTAAACCAGCCAGCAGAGCTGGGGGACTTTCCCTCCCTACTCCAGAAATGCTTCTGGGCTCTCCTCAGAAGACTGGGAAGGAAGAACAGAACTTCTGGCTGGCCTTGAGAGGACGGCTGTGGTCTGGCCCATGGCTGTGTCTATAGAAAAGCACTTTGTGTGTGCCCCGCAGTGATTGCTCATTTATTGGAAGGGATGCAGAGCTACTGAAAGCAAGCACCTGTAGAGGATGAACTGGATCCTCCTTTTTCCCCCAAGAAGAAATTAAGGCAGGTGGCTGGCCAGTTGAAGCTTCTCTGGTAACGCAAGGCCACCTGTAGGTTTCTGAGGCCCTCAGGACCCCCCCCCCAGTAAGCAGGTCTTCTCACTGCATAGTCAAAAGCTGCTGGGCCTCCTCTTCCTCACCAGGTTTGGCAACAGCACTCGGGCTGGCTGTCGCAACTTGCTCCGGCTCCTCTTTCCCCTTTCTTGCTTGGAGCAGAGCAAGAGGTAGCAAGCCAGTTGCAGTGGGGAGAGGAAGGTGCAAGGGGGCACTTGCCAGGGGTGGGCCCTTGGCACCTTCTCAACCACGTCTACTAGTCCTGAAGTCAGGCCACAGCCAATTCTGTGGCTGGAATCAAGTCCAATTTCCTGGTAGCACTCCAAGAACTTGGTGGTGTTCATTTCAGCTGCCCTATTATCTCCATCATCTGCTGTTTGCAGTTCAGCAACCTCACACAATCGCTGCTCTGGAGAGAAACACCGAGAACCCCCAGACGGGACACCATGCCTGGAGACCAGCACAGCCACCATGAACCCCTCGCCTCTCTCCAGCTGGACCCATCTGGCCTCTGAGGAGCCCTTCACGGGAGGGTGTTGTGCTGCAGAGGAAGCACCTGTTGCGTTCAGCTGCTTTCCACAAGTGCGGGTGCAGGATGCATAAAGCCAAGGGGAAGCCGTTTCATCTGCCCTACAGGCAGGCCTGTTCTGGAGTGTGAATGGCACTGGCACATGATCCGTGCCCCTTGGCAGGTTTGCACATCCTTTGCGGTCTCCACTCCTCCCTTGTCGTCGCTCAGGACTGACCTGTGCGGAGCCTGTGAGTTCAGGGGGAGGTGCCGGTGCCACACTCACCATGGAGATCAGAAATGGACTCAGTTGGATTGGCATCCCGCCTCACCCAGCAATGCAGGGAGGCTGGTTTTTCTGGTAACTGTTGGGCACTGCCCCTGAGTGCTCACTCCCACGTCACGGGCACATGCCGCTTTCCCCAGGCACAGGGGAAGAGAAACAGCCGCCTGGAGTGTGCGCGAGCCGCGGTGGTGGAGCCGCTGGGCCTGCTGGACTGTGGTGCAAGATCCTGGCCCCCAAAGCATGGGGGCACCCCCTTGATCAGCCCAAGTGGAGAGTGATGCAGCTGCCCAAGTTGGCCCTGACTGGGGGAGCAGCAGCCTTTCCAATTATTTAAAAACATACTTTCACCAGGTAGCAACCAGGTATGCCCATGGTCTCAGGTGCTCAAGCAGAGCTGCATTACAGATCTGTGCTAGCTTTTAGTTATTTATTTAAAACTTTTCTATACTGTCCCATACCAGATGTCTTGGGACAGTTTGCAGCCATTGTTTAAAAAATGGGCAGAGAAATGGTACATGAAACAGATCTATGGTGTATGTCATGTGTGTGCCTTCTCTTGCTGCTCGTCCCCGCTGTCAGCCCCTTCATGAAAGTAGCTGGGCAAAATTGTTCACCCATTCTGGGAGCCAGCGGCAAGAGCCTCTGCTTCCCCACTGCCCCACAACAGAAGTTCCATTTATGGGAAGAAGCCCTGCAGGCGCCAAGCAACAGGCAAGCATGCATGTGAGGAGAAATACTTGGAGCAGCCACTTCAAGAATTCTGTGCCATTTCCTTGTACTTCAGGGATCTTCACATAGAAACAGAGCGAGTCAGAAGGGGCCTCCCAGGCCATCTAGTCTGGCCCCCGGCTCCAGCCAGCTTCGCTCATGACATGCTCTTTATAAGAGCCATTTTCCCCATTACCGAACAGAGACGGATGGGAATATCCCCAAGGCCCCTTATCAAGTGGGGAGGAGACACACTTAAATCCAGCACATGGTGTTTTGCAAATGAAGCAAAGGTGGTTTTATTTCTGCCTTTAACACGTGTGAATCCCCTCAGAGCCTCCAAGGGGGAACTCTGACTTAAGAGGCTCCTGTGGCAATGCGTGGCGTTAGTAGCCACAGGTTCCAGGACCGGACAAACGTCATGGGGGGCTGGGGCAGGAATGAGGCAGCCTGGTGACTTGGCACCACCCGCCCTCTTCTGTGGTGCCCAGCAACGAGTGTGGAGGGCCACGTGGTTCTCCCAGGACGCTGTTCCCTTGCTCCGTGGGTGCATCTGCACCTGCCCGCTGCCGAGCTCTCCGGCTCCCTGGGTCCGCATCCAGGACTCAGGAGGAGAGGCTCCCTCCTCCGTGGCTGGAAGCTTCGGCCTTGCATCACCTTCGCAGTTCCTAGTCCAGCACGAGGGCATCCCGGGCGGCCTCCTCACTGGCGCAGAAGGGAGCCGTTCAAGAGCGCAGCTCTAGCTGGGTGACCCTCCTAAAGAGGGGTTTTGGGGGCGGGGGGCGATCAGCGGGTGCGCCTCGCTCCGTGAGAGCCCACGGGGAGAGGGAGACCGTCTCAGCGGGCTGCTCCCGCGGAGCGGGCTGCAGCGCAGTCTGCACATGGCCAGAGGCACGCTCCGTCAGCGATCGTGCTGAGCTGGCCCGGCGGACGGGCCGGGAGAAGGAGGCCGGCCCGGGGCCTGGGCAGCGAGCCCCGGAGGGAGGGGCCGGCTCGGCCCGGCCGGGGCGCGAGGAAGGGGGCGGGAGGTGGCCGCTTAAAAGGCTTCGCCCGGCGGCGCGGCGCTATCGCGTCCGCCCCGTCCAGGCGCTGCCATGGCTCCGTCGCCGCCGCTGCGCTGGCTGCTGCGCTGCAAGAGCCTCGCCACGCTGCTGGGGGCGCCGCTCGCCCTGCTGCCGCTGCCGCTGCTCGTGCCCACCCAGGTAGGCGCCCCCGCTCGCTTCGCCTCCGCCGCCGGGATGCCGCGAGCGCCGCCCGCCCAGGCGCCGTCCCAGGGGCCCCGTCGGGGCGGGAGTGGCCCTTGCCGGCCGAGCGAGGGCTCGTCCGTCGCCAGGTGGGGGCGGCGGGCGGCGGGCGAGCCCTCGTAGGGGACCGCGGGCGCGGGCAGAGCCGCCCCAGCCTTGCGCCCCGCGCCCGCCCGCCCGCGAAGCACAGGAAGACATTGGCGGCCGAGTGGGTTGGGGTTGGGGTTGGGGTTGGGCCTGGGCCTCGGAGAGCGCCGTCACCGGCTCGGCGTCCGGCACCCCCACGCCGTCAGGTCGGGAGCCCGGGCGGAGGGAGCGGCGGGCGCAGCCGGCGCAGCGTCGGAGCCACGCGGAAGGCTTCGCCCGTTCCTGGAAGCTTCACTCCCGAAGCGCCGGCGAACGAGCGCGAAACGGGAATGCCGGCAGTGCGGCCGCGGGTCAGCTGCTGGCCGCGGGTCGCCAGCCCCCCGGCGCCCGGTCTCGGCCTGGGGCGCCTGCCGCGTCCCGCGAGCGCCGCTCGGGCCCGCTTGCCCCCCCCCCCCGTCCTGGAAGGCTTTGGGCAGGTGGCACACGCAAATCAGCGCCGGTAGGATCGGCGGGGGCGAAAGCAGGACCGCGCTGCTCGGCGGGGCCTGGGAGGCCATCCCTGCTCGGCCCCGGTGCCAGAGGGGCGGGCAGGCGAGCGCTCGTTCCGGCTGGTCCATCTCAGCTTTTTCTCCCTCGGGAGGATCCAAGGGCTGCACCGTTCACTCTTCCTCGCGGGGGTGGGGGCAGAAGGGGGCACGTTTTCTTCCACCTCCTCTCCTTATGTGGGTGTGCGAAAGGACAGTGTAGTCCACAGGCCACCTGGTCCAGAACATGCCAAGGGTGACCTTCTCCACAGTACCCATCGTTAACTTGTGGAACTCCTCGCCACAAGGTGGCATTTTAGGGAACGTCACCTTGCCCGGGAACGTCACAGTCACCTCCCAGGTATCCAAGCTGGATACCTGCTGAGGCAAGCAGCAGGAGAGATTCTGCCGGGGGCCCCACAGCTGGCCACATTCTTGCCACTGCATCCTGTGCAGCTGAACAGGAAGCTGCCAGTGATTTCTCTGTCCTCTCCCTCTTCTTCGCCATGCGGCACCCACCATAGCAGGCATTGCCCTATTAGCCGCTGTGAAGTGGCGAGCCACGCAAGCAGGGAGTTTCCTGTTTTAATTGTGGTGGTTTGTATTTTACAAGCAAAGATCATGTCTCTTCCTTAGAATCAGAGAATAGCAGAGTTGGAAGGGGCCATGAAGGCCATTGCAGGACACCAAGTTACACCATCCCACTCAGAGGGCTGTCCAGTTCCTTTTTGAGTGTCTCCAGTGTGGGAGAGCCCACCACCTCCCGAGGCAGCTGGTCCCACTGTCGTGTTGCTCTGACAGTGAGGAAGCTTTTATGATGTTCAGCCTGAATCTGGGTTGTTATACCTTGCCTTGATTATTCCGTGTCCTGCACTCTGGTGTCAGCAAGAAGAGATCTTGACCTTCCTCTTTGTGACTGCCTTTGAAGTACTTCTAGAGGGATCTCATGTCCCCCCTCAGTCTTCTCTTCTCAAGGTTGAACATGCCCAGTTCTCTCCGTCTCTCCTCACAGGGCAGTGTTTCCAAACCCTGGATCATTTTTGTTGCCCTCCTCTGGACCTTTTCTAATTTTTCTGCATCTTTCTTAAATCTTGGTGTCCAGAACTGGACACAGTATTCCAGATGAGATCCAACTAGTGAGGAGTATAGAGGAATGACTACTTCTCATGATTTGGAAGTAAAACTTCTGTTTATGCATCCCAAAAGAGCATTTCCCCTTTTGGTGGCTGCATCGCATCATTGGCTCATGCTTGGCCTATTATCCACAATTATCTGTGATCTTTTTCTTCTTCAGTTCTGTTGAGCCACGTGTTCCCCATCTTGTATCGATGCCTTTGGTTTTTCTTTTTTCCTAGGTGGAGGACTTGGCACTTGTCCTTATGGAATCTCATTCTGTTGCTTTCAGCCCATCGTTCAAGTTATCAAGATCGCCCTCGATCTTCATTCTGTCTCCTAGGGTGTTTGCTAGTCCATCCAGTTTTGTGTCATTTGCAAATTTGATTATCTTTCCTTGTAGTTCCTCATTCAAATAATTAATAAATTTGTTGAAGAGGACTTGGTTTTTGGTCCTTGGTTTTCTTAACTTCATCTCAAGTTAATTGCTAAGCCCAGGTATATTCTTTAACTTTAAATCAATGATTTGCTCCTGGTGGGGTCAGAAACTTCAACCAGTGTTGATGAAAGTAGAGAAGTTTGAGGTTGCACCGGGCTTCTTCTTCAGGCAGAATGGAAAAGCTAAAGAGCACACTGACACTGCAAGCAAACCAAGGTCCGATCCAAAGCAGTATGTGGAGCCCGTAAGCAGCCTCATCACTGAAGGGCAGGCTTACCCCTCTTCCCCAGTGTATATCTGCTGTCATTCTTTCCCTTCTAATCTGCTCTTGTGATAGAGTAAGCACACTCTTTGGGTGGTTCTGCTGGGATGCGTTTTCCTAGAACTGGGTACTGCTTGACAGGTGTTCTCTGGAGCACACAAAGCAATGCACATGAAACAGACAGTTTGTTTCTTTTAAGTTAAATTATTAGAAACTCTCCTACCCCCCCCCCCCCAGTTGCAGAAGGTAAGCATTGTATTGTAGCTGCCCAGGTGGGTGCCAGCTGTGTCAGTCTGCAGCCATAAAATGAGAAGGAGTTATTTAGCAACCAGCCAATTAATTTGTTTGACTTGGGGCTGCCCCGGGACTCTTTACTGCCACAGCACAACAAATCTCCCCTCCCTACAGGCAGAGGAGACTCAACACTAAAACCCAGCACCTTAGCAAAAGCCTTCTGTTTGTTCTGGAGGAGTGTGATTAAGTGCATGTGGTTGCCCCAGCCTAGAGTGAAGCATGATAAATAGTCATTCTGGCCAAAAGGGAATTGAGATGCAGGAGGTATTTGCACCAAAGCACCGTTTCCAGCCAGTTAATTGGTCTTCCCACAGGAAAATTGCCTTAACAAATTCTAGACCATTTCAGTCCCTTGTCAGCAGTTTAAGCTGGCGTGTTTATGCAGCATTAATCCAGAAAGTCTCAGTTGTGGACAGTTTAATTGTGGCTCAAAAGAAATTCATTCTGATTGCAGGCAGAGGCATGATTTTCCTGCCAGGATTTCACAGTGTAGGTGTTTCCACAGGAGGAAAGTCTCTCTTGTGTGCTAGTAACAGTCCCTCCTTCACACGACCAATCCCTTAAAAAGTTACCTCTCACCTGTTCTCAAATACTTCTTGGAAAGCTCTTTTAGTGTCACCCAGGGAGACACTTAATTTACTCTGCAATCAGTCATGCCGGTTTCTGAAGCAGGAGAGGTACCAGGTAAACAACGAGGTTCCTATTTCAGGACTGTTGCAGCTCAGTCTGGCATTGCTTCAGAACGGCCTCAGCTCAAGCACATTCTGCTACATTTGCTTTGGAAAGCAGCTATTTGGGGAGGGGGTGGCATGGAAGCTAGTGGGTGTGAGTGCCCAGAATCACAGGCTGGGGTGGGGGGCAATGACTGAGCCTGATCCTGGTGTGTTGGGACCACGGGGGCAGGGCACAGTCTCCTGCACCTCTTGCCGTGTCCAGTGGCTCCTTGGGATGCCCTGAGGAAAAGGGCCTCAAGCCTCAGCCACCTCACAGCTGCTTCCTGCAACCAGCATCCCATTCCTTCTCTGCAGGAGGCCCGCTGTGCCTACGTGATCATCCTCATGGCCGTGTTCTGGTGCACAGAAGTGATCCCTTTGGCCATCACGGCGCTGCTACCTGTAGTTTTGTTCCCCATGTTCGGCATCCTGGAGTCCAAGAAGGTAAGAGACCCAGGCAATGCAGGAAAAACAGCCTTTTGAACATTTTTTTAAAATATACACTTTGTAAATCAGCTGCAACCAGTAAAATTTTCAGGGAAACAATCTGGGGGAAAGACAGAAACAAACTGAGGAATGGCTAGAACAGATGGATGGAGGAAGGGGGGAAGGAGAAGAGTGGAAGGGGCTGCAGTGTGACTTCTGCAGAGAAGAGTCTCCTTACCATGCTTTCCTTCTGATACTGGAGTTGCAAGTTGCAGCATTATGGATTAGGCAAAGACACTCTCCACATGTTCAGAGTTACATTGCTAAGGCTTCTGCTAAGGCATTCCAGACTGGGCTGAGCGTGGACCCCAGAGAAGGTCTTGCACCAGAGCAGGCAGAGAAGCAGGGAGAGATGGGGAGGGCCCTGCTAAGTCAGGGCCATGGGCTGGGAAGCGATGGAGAGGGAGAGGAGGTGTCTGCCGGAGAAGAGAGGGGACGGGAGGAGGGTGCAGCTTATTCCAGATCTTGTCGTTCGCGCACAACAGCCAAGGCTGAGTGATGGTGAGTTGGTCCTCTTCTCCCTCCCCAGGTATGCATGCAGTACCTGAAGGATACCAACATGCTCTTTGTGGGGGGGCTGATTGTGGCAGTTGCAGTGGAGCATTGGAACCTGCACAAGCGGATTGCACTGCGGGTGCTACTGATTGTTGGTGTAAAGCCTGCGCTGTAAGCAACTCTCCCCACTTCCTAGACTAGGTCAGGATGAGCTAGGGCGCACCTCTGGTCCAGAGGTAGGTGGTGGGCACCCCTGCAGTCTGAGGAGCCCCCCGGAGCCCCCCCCCCGCACTCCAGCAGGTGCACAGCCAGCTGTGCTGGAGCAGAAGGAGGCTGCAGATCCTTTGCTTGCTGCTTGGAGGGGATCCTGCCTGCTGCTGGGACGGGCAGCCCGCTGTTTCCCCTCCGCTGGCTCAGAGAACGCCGCTGTGTCTCCCGCAGCCTGATGCTGGGCTTCATGGGTGTCACAGCCTTCCTGTCTATGTGGATCAGCAACACGGCTACCACGGCCATGATGGTGCCGATCGTCCAGGCAGTTCTTGACCAGATGAACAGCTCAGACCAGGATCCGGCCTTCACAGATTTGGCTGCTGGACACATCAGCGCTGGGTCTGAACTGGAGGGCAAGAAGGTCTTCAGCGTCTCTGTGGTGCAAGGTAAAAGCCCCCCCCGCCCCACCCCCCCACACACACACAGCCATGCCTGGTAGGGTGTCAGTTGGGAAGTGTAAAGAGGAACACTTCTGGGGGAAATGGGATCCACACTAGTAGATGCTCGGGGGGAAAAAGAGGGCCAGACTCCTCAACCAGCCAAGATAGAGTGCTGGTAGTTCAGGAGGACAGGGAAGGGGCTTGTGGTGGGTTCAAGGCAGACAGAGTTCAACTCTCTCAGGTGCAGCCCCACTTGACGAAGTGGACGGGGAGTTCTCCTCCGCTGACAAAGGCATCTCTGCCAGCAGGGTTCAGATTGGGGCAGTCTTCCCTGGACATGCCGGACTGCATGGAAGGAAGCTGCTGCATAAAGTGACTAGAAGGCTCTAGGTGGGAAAGGCTGCGCCACAGAGAGACAAAATAGAGAAGAGCAGGTCCAGTGACTGCAGCATCGAGCGAATATTTCACACAATGGGGACTGTGTTTCCCTGGGTGTGTTTCCAGGGCTTTTGGCTGGCTGTTTACCTCCTTGTTTTTCAAACTTTCCTGCCTAGTGGTTACGACCCCTCATGCCTCTGACACTTCCGGTTGTGTCCCCCATGGGCCACTCAGCCTTTAAGCAGTCTTATCATTCCCTTTTGAGGAGTGCGGTGGTGGTAGGGAAGTCACACAGAAGTCCCACGAGGACTGAAAACTGCCTCCTGCAAGCAAGAATCCAGTTCTCTGGGCATGAGCCCCACTGGACTGGGTGAAATCTAGTTCTGAGAAGAAGGCAGACCATTAGCTCTTGGAAGATGTAGCAAGAGCTACCAGTTAGATGGCTTTTAAAAAGAAAAACTACTACTGCCCCGGATATCAGGTATCAGTTGTAGTAGGTGAGTGGCCCAGGCCAGGTACCTTTCAGTCCTGTCAAAGTAGCTTTCAGCTGAGGGAAGAGAGCCAACTCAGGAGATCTGGGTTTGAGTCCCCGCTTGGTCATTCAGCTTACAGGGAAACTTTGGGCCAGTCCCTCTCAGCCTAAGTGATTTCACAGTGTCGTTGTGAGGATAAGGTGGAGAGAGGAAGAGGACTGCAAAAGCCCCTTTGACTTCGTGGAGGAAAAAGGTGGGAAATGCACACGCAGCCAACAGAAACTGGCTGGCTGGGGCAGGAGGCCAGAGGGGGTGGGTCTGTCCGGACAGCCTGGCAGTGGTCTTCATGCAGCGCCATCTCTGCTGCTCCACACCCCACGTCCCTGCAAGATGCCAAGCTGTGCTTGTGTCCCTTCATTTCAGCCAACGGCCACCTTTCTGAAGACTGCAAGGAGCAAGAGAGGGAAGCCAAGAAGCGGATCAACAAGGGGATGACTCTGTGCGTCTGCTACGCTGCCAGCATTGGGGGAACGGCCACGCTGACTGGGACGGGGCCCAACCTGGTCCTGAAAGGCCAGATGAACCAGTAAGTCTCCCCTGAAGCACGGGGAGGGAGCTCCGGCTCTGCACTCTCCAGTCCTGCCCAGTGGAGGTCTGTGTGGTGGCAGGCCCCTTCCTCCAGCCCCCCAGGCAGCTGGCGTATCTTGCACAGGCTACGGTGAAAGCCCTTGAAATGCCTCCCCACCTGCCCTCCCCGCACAGGAAGGGCCTGCCCCAGACTGGGAGGCCCCCGGAGCAGCCTTTTGCCCCAGACGGACTCCCCCCCACCCCCGGGCTGTTGGGAGGGCATGGAGCACACGTCCCCTGCCTGTCGGCTGCCTCACACTGCCCCAACCTCCCTCCACAGGTTGTTCCCCGAGAATGGCGACATCCTGAACTTTGCCTCCTGGTTTGGCTTTGCCTTCCCCAACATGCTGCTGATGTTGGTGCTGGCCTGGCTGTGGCTCCAGTTCTCCTTCATGGGCTTCAAGTACGGACTCGTGCTGGCAGGGAGGGGGACGCGGGGGGAGGAAACCGCTTGGCGGCTGATTTTTGGCCACAGCGAGCTTGCCTCGGCTATCGCCTTCTCCAGTGCAAATGGGCTGGGAGACGAGCAGGATCTCCTGGCTGCTGCTGGGGCGGCTGTCGAGGCGCTCTGTGGGGCAGGAGCGTTTTGCAGGCCAATCCAGGCTGCCCTTTGAAGTGGGGCAACAAAAGCCATGTGGGGCCAGGAAGGCAAACGGGGGCTTCACAGGGAGTTTGACCAGAAATATCAGGAGGACCTTCCTCGACCACTTTGTCTTCTGCACCTGATGTGGCAGATGGTTCCCTGCCAGCCATGTGGAGCCATCAGCAAGACCCTGAGCAGAAGGCAGCCCCGTTCCCGGGAGGCCACCTGCTCATCTGGCTAGTGCTGTGGCTTCTGTCTGGCAGGGACCCTGCCCAGTGGCCACCGTGCGCTCGCTGTTCTGGCCACTTGCTGCCTCCACCCATGCAGCATGCTGGCCCCTGCCCTGGCCCCTCTCCAGGGCCCCCTTTCTGGATCTGCCTCCCTCCCTCTGCTTCCTCTTCCATTCCTCTGGACAGTTACTGCTCCTGCTTGAGTTCCACTTGGCCCAGGAGGCCCCAGGGCCTGGTCCAGCCCAGCTGCCCTTGCCCTGGGCCCCGTCCCCGGCTGCAGTGGGAGAGGCCGACCAGCCAGCCCCGACCTGCCCAAGACACAGCTTCGCAAAAAGGCAGGGCTGCAGCCGGGGTCCAACCCTCCTGCCCCTCTCTCTGCAGCTTCCGGAAGACGTGGGGCTGTGGGACCCAAAGGACCGAGAAGGAGAAGGCTGCCCTCAGCATGCTGAAGGAGGAGCACCGGAAGCTGGGCCCCGTGTCCTTTGCTGAGCTCAACGTGCTGCTTACCTTCATGCTGCTCGTCGTCCTCTGGTTCACCAGGGACCCCGGCTTCATCCCAGGCTGGGCCACCTTCCTCTTCAACAAAGACAAGGAGTGAGTGCTGCTGGCAGCTGTCCGGTGGCCTGCTGCCTCTGTGTGACCTCTCTCTTCTCACCAGGGCTGGGCCTGGGCCTTCTCCCTCCCGAATTTCTCTGGGCTTCCACGGGGTAAGGGCTCAGCTTCAGCAGGACGCAATCCAGGGAGGAGGGAAACGCAGCTAACCAGAAGCAGCCACCAGCACAACTTGGGGTGGGTTGGACCTGGGCTGTGGAGCATGGGGCATGAGTGCCACACTTGGTCCAGCCTGTTCTGAGTTCCAGTTGCTGCTCAGCTGTGGAAACGCAGCAGGGCAAGTCCAGTCTCCACCCTGAGGGGACTTCTGAGGGTAAGGAGGTGGGACCCTGTCCTGAGCAGTTTGCTGGCAGTGGCTGGCATCAGAGCAGTCCTCTGCCTTGGGTGCCCGTTGGCTCGAGTGGGCAGGAGATGCAGGCTGCAGGTGCCTCGAGGCAGCCCAGACTCTGGACCAGAGATGCCAAACCGCTTCCTGCCCGAGGGCCAGTTAATCTTTCCAAGCGGGCCCGTCCCCCACTGCTCCTCCTTTCTCCTGCCCCCAACCCAGGTATGTGACGGACGCCACGGTGGCCATCTTCGTAGCCCTGCTGCTATTCATCATTCCCGCCACCTGGCCCCGGTGCGGCTTCTGTGGCCAAGGCAGCTGCGATGTGGAGGCGGCCGGGGAAGGTAAAGGAAGGAGGGCTTCCCCCGGCACGGGGGCACTTCGGCCCTTGCCCCACGGGGCTCTGGGGAGAGCAGAACCGGCACCGGTGGTGGGGCTGTTGAGCGAAGGCACGTCAGGCCAAGCCGCCGCCGCCTCCCCCCGACGCACGTGGGGTTGGCTGTGGGAGGCCTTTCCTGCCGCCTCTGACCACCTGTGACCTTCTTGCAGCTGCAAGGGAACCATTTCTCCCAGCCCCACTGCTGGACTGGGCAGTGACCCAGAGAAAGATGCCGTGGAGCATCGTGCTGCTGCTCGGGGGAGGCTTTGCCCTGGCCAGCGGAAGCGACGTAAGTTTGGGGCGGGGGGGCTGGCCCCATTCTTGGAAGAGGGGAGGGGAGGGGAGGGGAGGGGAGGGAGGCTGGGGGTGCTGTGCAGGCCGGGGTGCCCTCCAGCCCCCATGAGGCTCAGTCCAGAGCTGGCGGTGGGGCAATGGCCCCCAAAGCGGCAGGCAGGTGCCCTCCCAAGGAGTGACCTCAAATGATTGGTGCGCATCCGAATGCAGCCGTGAGAGTGATGGGTGGCCACAGGCCACCCGTGACCTGTCTTCAGGGAATGGGGAGTCCCCACCCCCGACCCCAGGTAGTCCCACCTCTTATCTTCGTCAGGCTCAGCTGTTTTCAGAGAACAAGATGGCTGTGCTTCTGGGCATGTGCAAAGTACACTTTCCTTTTCAACTAAGTGAGCCCCAGGTCTTCTCTGCCATGAAATTGTGGGTGGCAGGGGAGCTTCTGAACTAGTAAGCACAGTTCCCAGGGAGCATTTAGTCTGGCTCTGTTTTGGAACCTGGAGGGCCTGTGCAGCAGCGTTCATCAGAGATGCTGACCCCGTTTTCAGGGAAACCCTCGAAGCAGCACGGGGTGGGAAAACCTCCCAGGACAGCACTTGTGGAATGGCTTCCCCAGGGTGGTTCCCAAGCCCACTGCAGAAGCTGGCATGAGAAGCTGGCCGCTGCCCCAGCCCGGGCCCCTTGCTCCACGCAAGCTGCAGCTTTGGCAGGTTTGGCTGCTCCCCATGGTGGGAGGCACCCATTGCTCAGTGCCGCCCCCCTTGCGTGAGTCACCCTGTCCAGCTTTTCCGGGGGCTGGCCTTTGCCATGCCTCCTGTGACTGCTGGAGAGGATGCATCCGGCGCTGTCCGTGTGCTGGGTCAGGGCAGCGCGCTCCACGTGGCTGCTGCCGGCCGTATAAGCTGCTGCTCTTTGCATTCAGGCGACATTAGGACAGGGAGAGGCTGGCCTGCAGGGAACTGGTTTGGAAAGTGAATCTCAGTACTAGGCTGCAAGCTGCCACTGTTCGTTCAGACAGGCCTGCCTGTCTTTCCCAGGCTTTACCTCACAGGTTTGGAGCGAAAAGATCAGGCATTCAGCTGGAAGAGTCTGTAAAACAGGCTCCCTTTGTCCTCCTCTAGGGCCTTGGCTAGATCAGAGAGATGCAGAGCCCAGACAAAGAGGATTCTGTGTGCTTCTGTCCCAGCTGGCCAGCCACCGCAGGGTCGGGAGGAAGCCTCTTTGGCCTGGCTGTGCGAGTGCCGGCACTCGGAGGGGGCCCTGCTGGGCCTGCCCGTCCTGGTGTGCTGGGAGCCATGGCTCAGCTGAGGCCGGGAGATGGAGGCCCTGCTTGGCAGCCCTCTTGTTGCCACCAGCAAGCCTGGCAAACCAACTTGGGCAGAGCAGCACCTGGCAGGCTTTGGTGGACTGCGGCTTTCCCCGCTGGGCTTCCTCCCGAGACACTGGGCTGCAACTCCTGCTGCGGTGATTCGACACAGCTAGTGGGCCCTGGGTTGGGGATCGCATTCATGATCAAGAGCTGTGCAGGATCACTCCAGCTTCAGCGTCTTCGTCCTACAAGGCATTTTTGAGTGGTGCCATCTAGCCTCCGCTTAGGTACTTCCAGCAAAGCAGAGCCTACCACCCCCAGAGGCAATCTGTCCTGCTAGGACATTTCTCCTAACGTTTCGCCAAAATTGGCTTCCCTGCAAAGTGCTGGTTCTAGACCTGCCCTCAGGAGCAACAGGGAAAGAGTCAGCTCCATCTCTGTCACGGCAAGCTCAACTTTTATAGCATCATAGAATAGTAGAGCTGGAAGGGGCCATCAGGTCCGCCCCCTGCTGTTGCAGGACCCCACGTCACACCATCCCATGCCGGTGGCTGTCCAGCTTCTTTCTGAATGTCTCCAGGCAGCTGCTTCCACTGTCGTATTGCTACAGCAGTAGGGAAGCTTTTGCAGATGCCCAGCCTGAACCTGGGTTGCCACAGAGCAGCAGCTGCCTCCTCCCTTAGCTTTTCTCTTCCAGGCTAAAGGCATCTAGTGCTTTCAGCTGTTCCTCAGGGGACGTGGCTTCCGGACCGCTTGCTGCTCTCACTGCCCTCTTCCAGGACCCTTTGGAAAGGCCTGTCCTTGTCGTGCGGCCCCAGCACTTTGTGCCCAGAGAGGTGCTCTGGCTGAGAGCATGGGAGTCCCTGCCAGTCCTGCTGGGAGCTGACCAGGTCTCTCCTGCCCCACTAGCCAGGAGCTGGCAGTCTGACAGCCAGTTCTGGGTGAACTGCCCCCTCCTCTCCTCCACGCAGCTGTGTTCCCCCAACAGGGAAGGGACTCTGTATGGACAGGTGGTGGCACTTTCTCTTTTGGGAGACTGCTTGTTAAGCCAGGAATTGTGTCTCTCCCTCTGCAGGTTTCAGGGCTGTCCAAGTGGCTCGGGGACCAGATGACCCCGCTGCACAGCATCCCCCCCTGGGCCATCGCCATCATCCTTTCCCTTGTCATCGCCGTCTTCACAGAGTGCACCAGCAACGTAGCCACGGCCACCCTCTTCCTCCCCGTATTCGCATCATTGGTAACGCTTTCCCTGTGTCATGGACGGCCCTTTCCATTCTCTGCTGCCCATCACTGCCCTCCAAGCAGTGCATAGTGAACTGAGCCAAGGGCCACAGCTGCTCCTGCCCCTCACTTGGGGATGACCCCTAGTGGCTCCTCCCTCACGGGGTTAAATTTGGTCCTTTGACTCCAGTTGCTAACCTTACATCTAAGAAGTCCTAAGAACCATCCCCAGCGTTTCTGAGTTGTTTCTTGGCCTATCCATGTATAAAACAAAAGAGGACGGCTTCTGTCCTGAGGGGCTTCCAACAGAGGGATGCACCTAACGACGGTGAGAGAGTGAGAGGAGGGAAACAGAGAGGGGGCAGCGGGTCTCTTTCAAAGACACCTTCCAAGGCCCGGTTGCAGAGAGAGCTGGCGGCATAGGCTTTTCAGAGAGGTCTGACCGGAGCAGGGTTAGCTTCGGGGAGGTGCCCCGGGAGGCAGCACGAGGGGCTGCGAAGGCTCCTTGGAAACTGCTCTGGAACCTGCCGTGATGGCCTTCTGGCGGATACGGTGGCAAGTGGAAGGGAGTAATCTCTCTTGTGTCTGTCCTCTGCTCCTTCTAGTCCCAATCCATCGAGGTCAACCCGCTGTACCTCATGATCCCGGGCACGCTCAGCGCATCGTTTGCTTTCATGCTTCCCGTGGCAACCCCTCCAAACGCCATAGTCTTCTCCTATGGCCACCTCCACGTCTCAGACATGGTAAGCGTGGTGAGGCCTGCTTTTGCCAGGCCTCCTTGGTGGCTACCAAAAGGCTGCCCTCTGCCGGCTCCCGCTTGCCCACTGCAGGCTTGGGTGGGCACCGCCGGCAGACTTTGCCGGGCCAGTGGGGATTTCTTTGGCTACCCAGCAGCCCGTGCAGGGCTACTGTGACTCCACGGTTCCCACACGGCAGTTTGTAGGGAGTCCAGGAAGCTCCTTGGACTGGTCCAGCGTGACGGTTGCCCAGGAGCACCCCAAGGGCCCCCCAGCCCAGCGCTCTGTCCACAGTGAGTCCATAAACCGGACAAGAGTGCAGCAGCTCTCTGGCCATGCTCATGAGCCACTGGTGTGCACGGCGTCCTGCCTCTGGTCCTGGAGGCAGCACAGCAGCATCCTGACTAGGAGCGACCGAAAGCCCTTTCCCCCTCCACAGATTTGTCCAATTTCCTTGGAAAGACATTGGAATTGGTGGCCACCACTGGAAGTGAATTCTATAGTTCAGCTCTGCACTGTGCAAAGTCCTTCCTTTGGCACGTCTTGAGCCTTTTTGCACACCTGTCTCTTCCCCACCTCCAGCTTAAACAATTCCAGCGCCGGGGCCTTTCCTCGTAAGCAGGTGCCCCAGCGCTTGCATCGTGCTACTTGTCCTTCTCCGCAAAGACCATAAATGCAGAAGCTTTGTTGGGGGCGGGGAGTCCTCCCTCCCTCATCCCATCACAGCTGCTACTCTTACACAGAGGCAATGTTCCCCTTGAGCACATTCAGACCTGGCCTGTTTTCCACGAGGTCACTAGAAGCAATGCGTCCCACAAGACTTGAGAATGGGAGTGAGGGACTGCAGGCGATAAGGGGATGAACTTTGCCGGCCACCTGATGTGAGGGGCCCGCAAAGAGGCATCGTGGGGTGGGACGCCTCGTCTGCATTTGGCGAGTCCCTTGGTTGAAGCGAAGCTCCGCTCGATCTGGAGTCTCCGGAGCGCCTTTGGCCACCTGCCCAGGGGGCGGGCAGGCACTGGCACTCTGGCTCCAGCTCCACCGGCAACAGAAACAAAGTGCCCCATGGGCACTTGAAGCAGAGTCTCTCCCTGGAAGTGTGGTGGCTGCCAGTGTTGTGCATTATCTTCTGGGGCTTCCAAGAACCCATCCAGGGAGAGCAAAGGCTGCTGCACAATTGTGCTCTTGGATGAGGGGAGAGACCTGGAGGGGCTTTCATGGGGACCTGCTCAGCCACACTGCCCCTTTTCCTGAACGGTTGCTCAATGACTCGGCTTGAGGACGGGCCCTCCAGTCCTTTGGACTTCACCTGGCTGTTTCCTTGTTTACATTCCCTTCAGGCTAAAACGGGAATAGTGATGAACATTATTGGCGTCCTATGCATAACCCTGGCGGTCAACAGCTGGGGACGAGCCATGTTCCACCTGGACAACTTTCCATCCTGGGCAAACACCACCCTGGGGAAGTGAAGAGAGAGGCCGGGGACTCCCTTCAGCTTGCTATTTTGTCCCAAACCTTTCCCTGGCATTAGCAAATCCCCCACCCTCTACCCTGGGGTCCACAGTTATCTGGGGCCAGGGCAAAGCAGCCAGAGACTTCTCCAGCGTCACCCAAGACAATGAGGCTGTTTTTGGATGAGACTAAGAGACCCTGGTTGCCACTCCTGTGGGGAAGACTCAGTCTGGCTGTGCCTCCAGAGAAACTATGGGTCACAATATGGGATATTTAAGGAAGCAGAACCTGACGGCAAGCTGCGTTTCCGTAATGGAGGCCAATGATACTGACAGGACTCGGAGGACTCAGCAAGAAGAAGGAAGCGGCAGCCGCTGGGAGTGCTGAGCAAGGGGAAACAGCCACTCCTGTCTGCCAGTTTCTGCGAGTTCACCACTGCATGGGGGCTCATGCCACCTGTAGGTCAAGAAGCACTTAGGATAGAAAAGCACTGGATGAGCCCGCTCACCTGGACCTCGTCCACTAGCCCAGTGCCCACGTGGCTGCTGACTGCAGAATAATGGCACAAGGCAACACAGGCAGCGCTGGGCGGAGTACTGTGATGCCCGAGGCTGCAGCCCCCAGGGAGGCAGAAGCCCAGCTCTTGAAATGCACCAGGAGGTGTTAGCAGTGTGTCTTTTTAGACATCTCCTGTGCAAGCTCCAAACCAAAAAGGCAGCAGTGAAGAGGCTGAAGGGGGACACTGATGGGGATGGGGGGAAGTATATTTGGAGCATCCAGATTCTGAAGACAGGAGCCAGAGAGGTTTGATGATGTTATTTAATTGCCTTCAATATTAATAAAAGACTATTTGCATTTTGTAAAACTGATTAGTGTAATTTTTCAATTATCCCAGAGCCTTTTCCATTCAGTGACCAGAATTCCAGAAAGGAGGGTGGATTGCTGAAGTGTGGATTCTGCTTTCAGCATTTTCATAGAAACATAGAAACAGAGTGAGTCAGAAGGGTCTCCCGGGCCATCTGGTCTGACCCCTGGCTCCAGCCGGCTCCGCTCACAACATGCCCACCACGCACATGTCCAGCCTATCTTTGAACACCCGCACCGATGGGGCCTCAACGACGATGGGGCCCCGATTTTCACACTTGGATTAATTGCCTCAGAGCTGACAGGGCTTATCTTTGCGTGCTGACACACACACGCTGGCAGGTGCCTTCATGCAAGCACATTGCAGTTTGCAACCTGCACTTAGGGCACTAGTGGACTGAGCAATCCAAGGGTCATTCTGGATGCATGCACAGTCCCTTGGGAAATGTTCCCACAGCCATCATGTCGGGAGCTGCCGAGCACGGTCCAGGAGCACAGTGCCACGGAAGCATGTGCCCCACTGCCACAGAATCCCACTCAAGGGAGCCCGTCCACTTGGAGGGCTCCAGCTCAATAGCTTATTTTGCACAATGGATCATCCTGCCCTAACTGGAGCAAAACAAACTCTTCCAGGCAGTTGAGACAAATGGTCTTTTCTTTCCTGCTGGGCGAGCACTTCAGGCTATTCCACCAGCCTGGACTGCAGCCATCCAAGGGCATCCTCCATTTTCCAGGGTTCAAAACAAGCTGCAGCACCTTTGAGAACTGTATAACAGTATAACTTTGACATATTCACCCATTGCAAAAGATCTTGACAGAAGGCCAAATGTCTTCCCTGAGAGATGGAGGGCCCCTCAAAAATAAAGTTTCTGTTGCCATGAAGAGACTTGAGGGTTATCACATTACAAAAGCTTCTTTAGCTTTTTCTCCATCTGTGTTTCTTAAAAGATCCACCAAATTAGCTTAAAAAGGGGGGGGGGTGGATGTACTGTTGCTGTTCCAGCCAAAATGGTGATTGGATGCAGGGCAGTGGAAGGCCAGTCTTCCCTCCTGCTGGCCGTGATGATTATTGCTGGAATTCTGATGGGTTGCCAAAAGGCTGGGACAAAAGGAGGTGAGGCAGCAGATACATGGAGGGGACAGCGGCTCAGCTGCACTCCAGCCCAGCGGCGGTATTCCTGCTTCTGGTTTAAGTCTTTGCTTAGACTGGGCCGGGCAGGTTGGGTGCCTCACATTAAGAGGTTGAATTTCACGAAAAGTCCATGCTGTGTGAGTGCGAGGAGAAGGCTGCCTACTCTGGCCTGGACAGCGCTAGAGCCTCTTACTGGCGGCTGAGTGGAAAGCCTGCGAGATGCAGTCACTGAAAAGCCAGAAAAAGACCCATAAGCTATGAGCTGAATGAAAAACAGCCTGGATGAGAGCCCCACTGCAGCACGTTCCTCTTGCAAACTCCGAAGAGGTGCGGCCGAGATGAGTCGCTTTCCCCTCCAGCGTTTGCCCTGACAGTGAGGAAGCTTTTCCTAATGCCCAGCCTGAATCTGGGTTGTCACAACTTGCCTTGATTATTCTGGGTCCTGCACTCCGGTGTCAGCAAGAAGAGATCTTGACCCTCCTCTTTGTGGCAGCATTTGAGGTCCTTATAGAGGGGTCTCATGTCCCCCCTCAGCCTTCTCTTCTCAAGGCTGAACAGGCCCAGTTCCTCAGTCTCTCCTCCCAGGGCAGTGGTTCCAAGCCCTGGGTCATTTTTGCCGCTCTCCCTTGGACTCTTTTCAACCACTTCTTTATCTTAGGCAGGAAAATATAGCAGAGTGGCACAGGCCTTCATACGGGCAGTGCTGGGTGTCCTCTGTTGGGAGAGGAGGGATCAATAGGAAAGAAGATCTGGCTTTCTGCCAGAAGGATGGGTGTGGGGGGGGGCAGTGTTCCGGAGAAAGCAGAGACAGAGGCTGCTGGGGGGCTGGTTACAAAGGGGGCTGGGACTGGAAAATGTCCTGTGGGACAAATCAGTGGGGTGGGGCAAGGCAGCTCTGACCTGCCCCATCCTTCTCTCTTTGAGCTCATCACCCCATATTTTGTTAATGATTAAAGGATTCGATCCCTGGGACATCATGTAACTAGGATAAAACCAAACCTGAATGTTCCTGAAGGAAGCAGTGTCTGGATTAAAGTCCAAAGACACTGACCGGCACGAGGAAGAGAGCGCCAGCCCCAGGCAGGCCACACAGATGTGGCAAGTAGTGAGTGGAAGGGTAAAGCAGTGATGGCAAACCTGTGGCACTCGTGCCACAGCGGGCACGCAGAGCCCTCTCTGTCGGCACGCGAGCCGAATCGCCCCGGCATCACCCCAGCAGCCATGCACATATTCGGAAAGAGTAAAGGCACCAGGCGACGTCACTCATTATTATTATTATTATTATTATTATTATTATTATTATTATTATAACATTTCTATGCCGCCCCTTGCCGAAACCTCGGGGCGGCTTACAACATGATAAAATACATTGAAATACAATAGTACATAATAAATTACCATTAAATATAACAATACAAAAAATACATTGATTTACAAATACAAAATTAAAATTATCAGTATAAAATAAAAATATAGGAGGAGAAAGAGAAGGAAGAAGAAGTTGCCCAGGCCAGATCATATGTTTTAACAATTGAAATGATGTTTAAATAAAAAGGTCTTTACCTGGCGCCGAAAAACCAGTAACGACGGTGCCAGGCGGACCTCTTTGGGGAGTGAATTCCATAGGTTGGGCGCCACCGCAGAGAAAGCCCTCCTCCGGGTACTTACTCTCCTAATTTCTTTCATGGAGGGTTCCCGGAGAAGGGACTCTCCCGCAGATCTCAAAGGGCGGTCGGGCATATACGGACGTAAGCGCTCGTTCAGGTAGCCAGGACCCAAGCCGTTTAGGGCTTTGTAGGTCATAATCAACACCTTGAATTGGGCCCGGGCTTCAATGGGAAGCCAGTGAAGCTGATGGAGGACTGGAGTCATGTGAGCATAACGCCCTGTCCCCGTCAGCAACCTGGCAGCTCTATTTTAGCCACGATTTGCTGCAAGAGGCATCATGGGGTGGGACGCCTCGTCTGCATTTGGCGAGTGCCTTGGTTGAAGCGAAGCTCCGCTCGATCTGGAGTCTCCGGAGCGTCTTTGGCCACCTGCCCAGGGGGCGGGCGGGCACTGGCACTCTGGCTCCAGCTCCACCGGCAACAGAAACAAAGTGCCCCATGGGCACTTGAAGCAGAGTCTCTCCCTGGAAGTGTGGTGGCTGCCAGTGTTGTGCATTATATGTGAGGATATGAGCTCCAGCAAAGACGCAAGTACTGTCAGGTCATCAAGGAAAGAAAGCATCTTAAGTGTGTGATGCGAGAGGCTCAGCCAGTGAAACAAGCTTTCTCTAAGGATGCATGGATTTTGTTAAACCTGCTCCATCCACGTTTCATTTCATCATTTGCTGAATAAGATGTTTCTTTCCCTAGGAAGCACTCGGGTCTCCTGGGACAGCCTGCCTATGTCACTGCACTCTGCCTGCAAGCCCTGGTCAGCCTCCGCATGCCCAAGCCAGGCTGACGTGTTCCAGGGTTCTCTGTGCCTTGGCTGACATGCAAAAGGTGTGAGCAAAAGGCACATCCTCCTGAACCCATTTGCAACTGGATCCGGCCAGAGGAGGCAGCCGGGCGTCAAAAACAGGTCAAAGGTAGGAGGGTGAAAGGAAAGACAACTTCTCTTGAAACTGTAGCTCTCCTGGTGCTGCTGGACTTCACTTCCCATCAGCCCCAACCAACAGTCAGGAATGACAGAAATTAGAGGCCGGCAAAATCTGAAGAGGCTTAGGCCTTCACCCATGCTTCGTAAGAAATCAAGTCTCGCTGCTGCTTTTCAAAGTGATCAGCTTTGTCACAGGACAGCAATGCTTCGCCTTGACCTGAATGAACCACTCGTGCCACACTGGACGATGCCCGCGCACAATGGAGCTTCTGTGGACTAAGCAGCATCACCAGCTGCTACCCTCTTCACTGGATGGACTGGCAAGTCAGCCAAACCTGTAATCAAGCATGCTTTCCACATCACACCAGGCAGCAATTGCTCCGCGATCCGGCTGCTGTCAGTGCGTAATGACAGAGCAAGAGGAAAGAAATTGCCGCTTGCAGCTCGAATGGTTATAAATAAGCATTTGCAAGCAGAGCATCTCTTTTGAGCAGCTGTAAAAATTCTGTTGGAAACAGCACATTTGCTGGAAAAGGGCTTTGAAGATTTCTAGGTAACTTTGAGAAGGCAGGCCATGCCCAAAGACCTTTCGATCCTACAGGGGATAACCGCGGTTGGTTTGACATCCTACTTGAGACAATCTGCTGCTGTTATCCCAGTCATATCTTAGAACATGGGGAGGCAGAAAGCAGATCTCCAGATGTGCTCAGTGTACCCAGCAATCCTGACCACTGGCCATGTTTCTGGGATTTCTGAAAGCTGAAGTCCCAGACTTCTGGAAATCTACCTTTCAAGTCCACCCATCACAGGAGAGCTCTTTTTATGGTTTTACCTTTCTGGGTTTTGTTGTTCAGTTTCTTCTTAGTAAGGATATTTTAGGTTCTGTGGTATCCTGTTTTGTTTTAAAACCATTCATGCTACTCGTATATTCCTTTTCTTTGCTACCCCGGAAACAAGTATGTAGATGGAATAATGAGTTAGCAGTGAGGAAGGCAAGTTTGCCAGTACTGTGGATAATTCAGGATGATCCGCATGGTAGGCATATCATGAGCGGAGTCAGCTGGAGCCGGGGGTCAGACTAGATGGGCCGGGAAGCCCCTTCTGACTTGCTCGGTTTCTGTGTTTCTATGATGAAAGGCTGCTGTATGAGGCAGCATGAGGCTGAAGGGTTTTAAGAAAGAAGATGTGACTAAGCAAATCTTTTAAAATTACAGTGTGGAGAAAGTGAGTAGAAAGGAAAACAGCAATATTTATAACACGAAGTAGTCTTCTGGCACATGTATTCATTCATTTAAAGAATGTTTGTCCCACTCTTTACCTGAAAAGGCTGAAATGAAAACAGGTCCAGCGCACAGGATTACCCTTTAAAAGACAAGATACAAGAGGGAAAAGGGATGGGAAAGCTGTTACTGTGGTCAACTGGAATGGAGAGTCGAGGGACAGGAAATGCCAAATGTGGCTGGTCTTCCAGCACAGCAGATGGAGCGGCTGCCTTTCCATTCCTCCCTGGGCTTCAGCTTGAAGGAAAGTGGGCTTTATGCTCACACTGCAAAAGACAGACAAGCAGATTCCTGAGCTGAAAGCGCCTTTGCTTGGTTTGAAGAATGGACCCAACTTTGCTAGCAGGTGCTGAACGTCCACATTCACACTGTTGCCAGCAGTGAAAAGAGCTCCTAATGCAAATGCAACTGCAGAGGGGCTTTCCCAAAAGCCTGGAGAGGGAAAATTTGCTTGTAGGGCTTTTCAGGGGCTGGATGGGCAAACCCTAGAACGGTCACTGGCTGCTCTTTGGCCTGGGATCGGCCGCACTGGCCCAGCACCATTTCTAGCTCCAGCTCCGCTGCCTGCCATGTCTCTGGAGCTGCAAAGAACAAACACACATTCAGGTTTCACGTAGAAGGCAAGGGAAGGCACAGGCTGGTCCCAGGGTCCAGGAGATAGCAAGGAGATCCAAAGGGCATTTGGCTTCATCAAGCTTTCAGGAAGCCAGGACTGGAAAATGATGGCAGGTGTGGAAAGCACATTCAGTAATGTGTGGAAGAAAACATTTGCCGCCCCAGCAGTCTCTGTTTTTCTGCAACAAAGGGTTCTGCAACCGTGCCTGCCTTGCTGAAGACACTGCAGTGTTCTTCACAACACAGTAACCCTAAACAGCTTACAAGGCAGGGCAGAGGAGAGGCAGACGGGTCGTACATGGCAAGGTCTCTGTATCAAGCCCTAATTCTCCTCGTTCCTGCAGAATCATGACCATGGTCTGATTCATCTTTTTCTCCCTCATTAACTGCTTTTTGGCTGGGCTGATTAAGAGCTGTCATTATGAGCTTCAGGGCTCGTCTCCCTCTTCCCTGACTGGGATTTCGTCTGAACTGGCAGCGCTCAACTCATGGCCCCCCAGATGCTCTTGAACTATGGGCCCAAGCCTGCCTAGCCAGTGGCTGGGAGCTGCAGGCAAAGGCAGCTGGAGAGCACAGGCAGGGAAGGCTGCTTTACCACCCATGTGCACAGAGCACATGCACTGACGATGTTGCTCTGCACTGCAGCAGCCAGGGAGTATTTCCACCTTCTGTGTGTAACTTATAGGACTCAGCCCCAAGAAAATGCACTCTCCGGACCTTCAGTCAGAGCAGGACAGCATCTCTCTGCGTAAATAAGTGCAGCACCTGGCAACAGAGGAGCATCTCAGCCGTGCACACTCCCGGGGTTGCACGGGAAAGGCTGGAGGATCTGCAGGGGCTCCCCACTCCGCCGATCGGCATCCTGAGCTAAATTTGTCAGGAAGAAGCCGTAGTCTCCATAAACTCAGTGTTCTGGGACATCCTTGTCCCCTCCCCTTTCAAAAACTGACTCCAGCTTTTGGTGGCCAGGAATAGAGATACTGATGTATATTTTGGCATCTGAACGTGATCATTCTTGACCAGGGCTGCTGAAGGAGTGCACCATCTTCTGAAGGAATCAGAATAGCAAGTGAATGTGTGGTTGCTCTCTGCTTTTAGCCCAAGGCTGTGTTTACTGGGGAGGGATTTGTTATAACCACTATGGCCTCTTTGAGTAAGAGATACCCTGTCATATTAAGAAAGACTAAGAATAAGTCAACGTTAGAAGCATTATAACTTAGTTCCTTAATGTACTCTTGGAATGGGTCAGATTATAGGATGCAGCTAAAAGGTTTACAACATCTCACTGTTTAAAAATAACAAAACCATAACTAAAAAAAAGTCAGAAAGACATTTTGAGGCTGCTATATAAATGGTAGCTTTAAAAATAAAGGAACGTCCAGTGAAATCTTGCTGGGATTGCTCTGTGGGTTACCACAGGGGTTATTTGAGCCTCCCTGTGCACTGAGGATCTGGGTCACTGGGCAAGACAGAGCTGGGACCAGCCTGCCAAAAATCAGCCTTGCACAGAGTCCTTTTTAGGACATTCTCATGCAGGGCATCAGGTTTGGCTTGAGCTCTCCTGGACAGAACTAGAGTCTTAGCCCTTTGTGGTGGTGGTGGTGATGCAGAAGGAGGAGGAAAAGAGGAGGAGGGCCTTGCAAACAATTTCAGTCAAATGAACTCAAGTGGGTTTGGCTGGCAACATCAGCCTGTTTCATGAATGAATGGAACTTACAATAGCAAACGTGACTGGTTTGGAAATAAGCCCCTTTGTAGGATCCAGGGATGCTGTGATCTGATGGATTTGTATGTCTGAAGGAAGCCAGGATGACAGAAGGGGCCTGCTTGAAATGCTCTGTGAAGACAGCCATCACTGGCACATTGGTGACTTGGAAACACTGCTTTTTTCAATGCAGCTCAAAATCGTATTAGCCTTTTCTTTGGAGCCACAACACATTTCTGACTAATGCTGCCACTGCTGCTATAAATGTCATTGTTGATGTTTTGTTGTTGTTGGATACAGACCACTTTTCTTCTTCTGGCAAGGAACCCAAGGTGGGTTGCACAGCTACAGTTTATCCTAGTCTAAAGTCACCCAGTTTGCTTCATGGCTGAGTGGAGACTAGACAATCCAGATCCCCAATCCGACATTAACCACCGCACCAGACTAGGTCTCAGCTTGGGATCAACCACACTGATCTCACCTGTACCATTGCCAAGCCAGATATCCTGATCTGTACATTTGAGTAAGAGATATTGTACAATTTTAAGGAAAAAATCCTTCTGCTTTTTTTAAAACCAGGAAAGGGACATGGTTCAGTGGTAAGGCACCTGCAAAATGTCTCAGGTTCAATCCCTGGCAGCATCTCCAGGTAGAATTCCTGCTTGAAATCCTGGAGGGAAAGCCCTTGGTTGCTCCAAGACCAGTGGAGCAGTGTATCCACTCCTGGTTTCAGTCTGAGCTTTTAAGCACTGTAGACAGCCCTTTTAAAATGCAGACTAAACCGTGAAGTAGATATACTGCCCCACAGGCATTGCCCCCACAAAACTTTACAGAGTCAGACTAGGCTGAAGGTAGACAGAACAGCATGCCCCAGGTAAAAAAGGGGTTAGTCCAGCAGGTGGAGGGAAGAGCAGGCGGCCTTTGGCTAGCAAGGCTGAAAATCAGAGGCGGTGACGGTGTCACTACAACTAGAGCCCCACATCTTTCACTGGAGCCCCAGATCTCTGCACAGCCCTCTGTCCCGCCATCCTAATCCTCTTCCCCACCAAAAAGCGCAACGTGAGTTGAACGGTTCGCGTCCCCATATTGTAACCTCACAACAACCCTGTGAGGTTTGTTTGTTACATTTATAGCCCGTCCTTCTGCCAAGCGCTCAAGACGGCTTACAAAATTAATGGAAGCCATTATGGATTTATCAAAAATAAATCCTAGCAGACTAATTTAACCTCATTTTTTTTTAACTGGGTAACCTCTCAAATGGACAAAGGGAACACTGTGGACATAATCTACCTAGACTTTACCAAAGCTTTCGACATGAGATTCTGAAAAGCAAATTAGCAAAAACTGGACCAGATAGAAAACTATTAGGTGAATCCAAAATTGGCTGCTGAATCGGACACAAAGAGTGCTCATCAATGGCACCTTCTCAAATTGGTTGGTGGTAATTAGTGGGTAATAAGGTTCTAGGTAATAAGGTTCGTCAGCCTGAAATGATTATTTATGTTAATACAACTGAAGGCTAACAGGCCGGCCAGAGCTGGGGAGCAGCGCAGAGAGCGAGAGGGCGGGGCCAGGCGCGACCATCGCGGTTGCCCCGGCAACGACAACACGGTCGCCTCGCAGCGGCTTCCCGGCGTGCACCGGGCTGCGCCTCAAGGGCGCAGGCGCGGGCGCAGGCGCCTTGCCCGGTTGCCTGGCCGAGCGCCGCAGCAGCGGAGGTCGAGGCGGCCGTCGCATCATGGAGAGCGGTGAGTGCGGTCCAGGATGGGGCCTCCATCGAGGCGTGTCAGTGTGGCCCCCTGCCCTCGCCGCCGCTGCAGTAGGCGCTGCTCAGTTTAGAGCAGCTCGAAAGGGGTCCGTGGGACTCGCGGCTACAAGGTGCGGGCTGTTCCGGGAGGCCTGCTCGGGCAGGGAGCGCCAGAGGCCGCGGAACAAAAGGGAGCCTGTTCTGAGTGGGCAGCAGGGCAGGGACGAGTGCGAGGGCCGCTGGAGCAGCCTCTTGCGTGACCACCCGGCTCCGAGCGGTGCCGGCTCTTCCGGGCGTTTGGCCTCGGCGCTGCAGTCGCAGGGAAACAGTCGCCTACGCCGGTCCCCGCTGGCTCGGGGAACCTCCTGTGCTGAGGGGGTGTTACGTTTGCGGAGTACGGAGGCAGATACTCTAACGGAACGGAATGGGAACCATTTAAATGGATTAATGGACCCCACTGCATTCGCCGGACGATGTCGGTGCCTAATAATTCGAAGCTTGCCCGTTTTCTGTGCAGGCGAGGGCCTGCTATTCCTAAATGCTTACAGCTCTGTCTCAAGTGGTTTTAAAAGTAAACAAAAACAGCCAGCACATTATATCAGCCCATGCCATGTTGCATACTGTAATTTTTTTGTTTCTTTTTGTGGCTTCAGATGATACTGGGAATCGGCTGAGGTTTCAGCTGGAGCTGGAATTTGTGCAGTGCCTGGCGAACCCCAATTACCTCAATTGTAAGTACCTGGGACAGATATGTGAGTCAAATCCAAAACTGAATTAGGTGAATCCAAAATTGGAGAGTGCTTATCAATGGCACCTTCTCAAATTGGATGGTGGTAATTAGTGGGGTGCCACAGGGTTCAGTCTTGGGCCCAATGCTCTTAAATATCTTTATTGATGATTTGGATGAGGAAATACAAGGAAAGATAGACCAATTTGGACCAATTTGCAGATGATACAAAACTAGGTGGAATAACAAACATCCTAGAAGACAGAACGAAGATCCAGGGCAATCTTGATAAGCTTGAATGCTGGGCTGAAAGCAGCAGAATGAGATTCAATAAGGACAAGTGCCAAGTCCTCCACCTAGGAAAAAGAAACCAAATGCATTGATACAAGATGGGGAACACGTGGCTCAGCAGAACTAAAAAAGATCTCAGAGTAATTGTGGATAATGGGCTAAATATGAGCCAACAATGCGATGCAGCTGCTAAAAGGGCTAATGCCATTTTAGGATGCATTAACAGAAGTATTGCTTCCAAATCACTAGAAATAGCAGTTCCCCTATACTCCTCACTAGCCAGACCTCATCCAGAATACTGTGTCCAGTTCTGGCACAAAGATTTAAGAAAGATGCAGGTAAATTAGAAAGGGTTCAGAGAAGTGCAATGAAAATGATCCAGGGTTTGGGAATACTGCCCTGTGAGGAGAGACTGAGGGAACTGGGCATGTTCAGCCTTGAGAAGAGAGGACTGAGGGGGGACATGAGATCCCTCTATAAGTACCTCAAAGGCTGTTACAAAGAGGAGGGTCAAGATCTCTTCTTGCTGACACCAGAGTATGGACATGGAATAATTGATTCAAGCTGTGACAACATAGAGCAATATGACAGTGGAACAAGCTGCCTAGAGAGGTGGTGGGCTCTCCCACACTGTGTTTAGTTGCAAAGTCGTGCCTGACCCATCATGACCCCATGGACAACATTCCTCCAGGCTCTCCTGTCCTCCACCATCCCTTGGGGTCCACACAAGCCCACACCCACTGCCCCAGTGACTCCATCTAGTCCCCTCATCCTCTGCCATCCCCTTCTTCAGGGTTCTCCCACACTAGAGACATTCAAAAAGAAACCGGACAACCACCTGAATGGGATGGTGTAAACTGGTATCCTGCAACAGCAGGAAGTTGGACCTGATGGCCTTCTTGGCCCCTCCCAACTCTGCTATTCTAGGATTCTGTGAAAGGCAGTTGGGCTACAGGGCGGATTGGACAAAAAAGGAAACACCCCAGGGACTGAGAAAACAAACCAGTTCATTCAACTGTCTGCCCAACAAAACTATATGGACCAGCTCTCACTTTCCGAATTGCTCTGTAGCAACTTCTTTCCTTTGGATAAAATGTGGGATTAAAGATTTAAAGGGGGGGGGGGCGGTGATTGACCTTTGTCCTGGACTCTTAGTCTGTGTTTCTCTAAAGTGGGAGAAATTTATAAACAAACTGGGAAAAGCCACTTTAATATTTTTTTTTCAGTTCTTGCCCAGAGAGGATATTTCAAAGACAAAGCATTTGTAAACTACCTAAAATATTTGCTGTACTGGAAGGAACCAGAATATGCCAAATATCTAAAGTAAGTGTTATCATTGTGTTGACATTGCCTTGAGCTCCAGAAGCACATGGCACACAGCCCTCCTGGAAGCACACTAAATAGGAATGGTGGAACTGAATGTAGAGAAGGCCAAACTGTGATTCTTTATTTTCCCAACTGTTTCTTTGAGAAAATATACACTGGCCTGGTTCACATAACATGGCGAGTCCGAGTATAGGTTGAGTGTAGCTTGTTGTTAAACTGGGTTGCTGTGGTGTTCATCTAGCTGCCCTAACAAACCATGGTTTGTTAATTGCAAACAAGACATAGTTCAAAGCCCAACAGCAAATGATGGGTTCTCTTTCTGGGTTGTGTGTGGTCAGCAAACCATGATTTAGCAATGTGGCTGGTTTCACACAACAGAACAACCCTTGATTCAGTGACAACCCACACGTAAGTCATTCTCTAGCTTGTCATATTGTTTGGCTCCGGCTACTCTATGGTCAAGCAAAAGGCTTATGCCTCATGTAACCTGAGATCCTGGATAGGCCATAGATTCTGTAGATACAAAACAATCTTTTAATTCTTCTAATCACCAATTAATATGCATGCTTGTTTGCTCAACATAGTATTTCGAAACATGATTTAGATTAAGTGCCTTGGGAATTTAGATTGCTTTGATTTAAATCAATCTCACCGGTGTGCAGAATTGAGTGTTTGTTTGTTAGTTTGGGGATGGCCAGAGGGAAAGGTATTCCAAAAAGACATTGCCCTAAAGCACAAGTGGTCCTTCTGTCGTAAAGGTACCCTCAGTGTCTACATATGCTGGAGCTGCTCCAGTACGAACACTTTCGCAAAGAGCTGGTGAACGCACAGTGCGCCAAGTTCATCGATGAGCAGCAGATCCTCCACTGGCAACACTACTCCCGTAAACGGATGCGCCTCCAGCAGGCTCTGGCAGAGCAGCAGCAGCAGCAGAACAGCACTTCGGTCAAGTGAGCCGTTTGGCACCCCAAGAACACTGCTCGCACACGCAGGACTTTGTGGCCTCAACCCGGGATGCAGCTACCTGATCTGAGCAACTGCACTGGTGAAATGTTGTTGTCTGTGAAAGCTTGGCAGCTTGCTCGGTTGGCTTTGGTTTTCCAGAGACTGTAGAAGTTACTTCTGAAATGTGTAAGATGAAATTGCCAGCTCTTGTCCCAGCTGAATTGAAGGGAGTAATTGCGTTACTGAGGGACTGGAGCAAAATGGTAGTTTGGGAGCATGTGGTAATCTCTTGTGAAGTAGAAGTGTGTGGTTATTTTTCTTAGTACACTGGTTGTGGTTGGGGATAGCGAATAGAAATGCCAAGTTGGCAGAAGGTCCCGACTTTCTCTTCCTTAGGAGGAGTCTTGTGTCTGTAGTATGCTTTTTCCTTCTAGAATAACCTGGGCAGTTTCTGCAGTACTTGCCTGCCAGATTGCTAAGGTGATGAAAGCCACAGGTGTAAAAGAAGTGGCGACAGAGAACCACTTCTTGCTGGGCAATACAGAATGTAGAATGTTACGCAATTTTTAATCTCGAAATATTATTTACTCATTGGTGAGTCTTTGCTGCAATGTGGCACTAACTTTTGGAAAACCTTCTGGAAAAAGGCAGCTTCTGTCAAATTAGATGTTTTACCATAGTAGCTAAGCAGTCACTTAGACCATTGCCTCACAACCATCCATTCCTGTTGATTTTGATGCATGAACTTAAACAATAGCTCAACCCTCTCCACATACTTAGTTTTCCTGTGAGGAACTGTAATTTTCATGTATTCAAACTTACACATAAGTTTGCTTTAAGTCCTCCTCAAACTCTGCACCCATTTTCTGCTGCTTTGGTCTGGAAGAATAACTGCATTAGCTCTGGCTCATTCCTACCTTCTTCCTATTGTCTCTTTGACTCTGAGGGCAGGGAACTGTCTGTCTTTATAAAACCCTGTAAATTAACATGTGTTACATAATAGGATTTGCTTCTTTCTCATACAGTATTCTAAGAGGGAATATTGTATTTTTCTTTTGGCCTTTGAGAATGGCTTGATGAATAACCACCAGTGCACTGAGGCAGGGTTAAGAGACTTCTACACTGGCAATTCAGTTGGTTATCAGTTTCTCCAGATATACCCATAAGTGGGCGAACCAAGTTGTACTTCATAAGATACAATGGGAAAAATTATTCTGATAAATTGATTTGTAGGCCACAAACCCCTTTACTTGTACTTTAAGACATGATCATGGTCCCCTTCCAAATTAAAGCACATTGTACAGCTATTCAGCTGGTAGCAGCATCCAGATTAAAGCAGAAATAGCTCAGTCTTCTGTGAACAGCATCCTTACAAGCTCTGCTTTAAAGCACTCTTCTTCCACCAACTTTTGCATCTGGAATAGAAATTATAAACCTTAGAGAAGTTAAAAATACCATATGGGGCAAAGTCCTTGCTTTGGCATCCTCTGCTGTTTTGCCACACTTCAATAGTTTTGCACTTGTGGGTTTTGCAGTTTTCAAAATAAAATAGAAATATTGCCTAATTGTATTCCCAATCATATGCTTACTAAAGTTTATTTGAATGTAATGGAACTTAATTTTGAGTAAATATATGTATAGGGGAAGTGAAGCTTGCAGCTTCAGGGCTGTATTTCGTTTTGGAGATGCTCTCAGGAGCAGCATTGCAGTGCTAAGTGGAATCACAGACAAAATGGACAGTGTTGAAAAATTTACCTACTCTCCACCTCAAATTCTGTTCCTTACTACTTTTGTAGTGGGGGGCCGATCAACTCAAAAATAAGTAGGATAAATCTGCATGTATATTCAGAAGCAAGCAGAAATTCATCACTCCGCAGACTTTCAAATAGCTTCCCACGCACCAAGCCTCAGAATGTCCACTCTTGTAATGTACACTCAGAATGTAAGAGCAGACAGCATGCCTACTAAGAGGTAACAAGGACACAGCTCAGAAGGATTGAACTTCTCAGCATTTTCTAATGTTAAGTGGGGAAAGCATTTCTTTTCAATTGTGGAAATAAGAACTTTTCCCTTTATGGCAAAGGAGCAAGGGAAACTACTGCTGGATTCCTCAAACCTGATGGATCGGGCCACATTTCTTAGAATCAGCTGAATTGCTCTGCAGATGTGCATAGTTTTCAGAAGACTTTAGAATACCTTAGGGGTCCAAAAAGCCCATTTTAAGAATATGGAGGATCTTTTTGGACAATTCTTGAGAGAGAAGCACAGAGCCCCCTAACCACATAATGTCCATTCCAAACCATTCTTCATAAACTGCAAATATACTTACAGTTCCATATTTAAGTAGTGTAGGTACTCCAGTTAGTTTAAGTTTCTTTCTGAATTCATTATTGGGATCTTTCCAGCTATAGAAAAATAAAAATCAGCCTTTGAAGCTTTAAAAAGAATTAGATGCATTTATGCAAGTGTGCAGAAAGCTGTGTTCAGTATTCTGTGAGGACAATCTCCCATGATGGGACTGCTCTCCCCATCAAGGCTTGCCACAGAGTACAGAATCAAAATGCACCTTACCTGATTGAGCTTAGAAGGGCACTTTTGTTTTCTTCCCTCACGGCCTTTCATCTCAAAATGATTGGGAAGGCACAAGTATATGCCTGCAATCACTATTCACTCTCCCCACAACTTCCCACCCAAGATCAGTGTGATATTTATTTAAACTGATTAAACTTGATATCTGCAAGCACTGTTGCACTTCAAAGGAACTCGCATGATCAGCTAAGAGCATGTCTGTGTGTGGGGAATTCACATGCTATACAAAGAGAAATCTAGGACTTGTACCAAGCAGAGCAAGAAGCTGTAACAAATCACACTTGCAAATACAGTGTTACACTTTGAAGTGTATACCTAAAAACCATAAAGCATTAAATGGCCTTTATCTCCTGGGGCCATCTCCTAGATGCACTCCAAGTTTGACCTGAAGACTTTTGCTTCAGATGACAAGGCAAAGTCCAGCTGATAAGCGCAGAAACCTGCAGAGAGGTAGCTCTCACTAAAGCATAGCATTCTCTGAATATACCCTAAAAGGCAGCAGGGCATACTTTAGTCACATTGACACTGGTAAAGCATTGTGCTGCTTGCTGATCAGGAATAACACTGCATAGGCCTAACTACTTTGCTCAGTTCACCATACTCACTAAGTTCGATCTCCTACTTGGCAGTAAATGAACACAGACCCCTCTGGCAGATGTGGGAGTTCAGCCCTCACAATGGGTTCCGCTGGAATAAAGAAAAAGGAAATGTGCTGTGAGACCTCACAGGCAACACGAGCATTTGATCTTTGAACCTAACGCAACCCCTGCCACATACGAGGGGTGGGCAAGAAGATCTCCAGATGCCTTCCGGCTCCCGGTATTCTTGATCACGGGCCGTGCGGGTTGCCAGAGGCCTCAGAGAGAGAGCCCCCCTCTGCCCTCAGGACGCCGCTTTCTGCCTCGAGCAGCTTGCGTGCATGCGACCAGCCAAGGAGAGCAGCTTCTCTCCGGTCCCCCCCCGCCGCCATTTTCAGCCACAGTGGTCAACGACGGGAGATGCGCCGCAACAAAGCCAGAGAGCCCCAGGCGAGGCTTCGTCGTAGTGGCGGCGGCGGCCCCTTTCGCAGAAGGGCCGGCAGAGACCTGGCCAGGAGCCGCTCGCTGGAGAGGCCGGATCGGGCCGCCGCTTAGTCAAGCGAATGCCGTACCCTTGACGCAGTCCGGGCACCAGCTGGCGCCGCTGGCAGGGTCCTTGTTGCCGCTGAAGTAAGCGAAGACGCGGCCCTCTCCGCGGCGCTGGAGCTCCTGACGGGCGACGCGGTCGAAGTCGGCGAAGCCCCGAACAGGCACCTCCTCCCAGCCCATGGCGGCGGCGGCGGCGGCGGCGGCGGCGGCAGCGCGGAGACGAGACGATGGCGGCGGGAAGGCGAGCCGGAAGCGGCCGCGGGCAGGTCCCGCCCACCGGGCGACGGCGGCTGCGCGGAGCCAAAAGGCCTCGGGCGGCGTGTGGGGAGTGTCCGCTCCTGGCGCCGCTCGTTGGCGCCTCCCGGGGCCCGCCCGCCGCGGAGGGCCGGTTCCGGCCGCTGTTGGTTGCGAGGGGACGGAGGCGGCGCCGGTGGCCTGGCCGAGCGCTTGGCGAGCCTCGGGCCGCGGCTCCTGCTCCCCGCAGCCCTCGCGGTGCAGCCCTCCCGGAGGCCGCCCGGCGCTCAGACCCGCTGTGCGAGAGCGCCGAGGGTCCGCGGGCCGCGCTCCGAGGCGGGGTCACGAAACGGCGCGGCTGCGGCTGTTCGCGGGCCTCGCCGGCTCCGCATCGGCTCCCGGTGCGGGAGCGGAGTGGAGCGAAGCGGCTGAGCTGGGTGAGCGCCGGAAGCCGCGGCGCTGGCGGGAGCGGGTGCCCGGTGCCCGCTGCGGCCTAACGGCGTTTGGGCTTCCACTGGACCGAGAGCAGCGATGCGCCCGGAGAGCGGTTGCCTCCCGTCTGGCTCGTCTCGGCATCCTGCCGGTCGAAAAGCGGGTGCAGCGGCGCGGCAGCTGGCCGCGTGCTGCTTGCTTTGCCCACCTGGCCCAAGGATCTGTGGCTGAAGCCCTGGGGCTCAGCTAGCCCCGTGGGAGGACTTTCCTCTCCCGACTGCCAGTCGTCAAGGCACAAAGGCCTCGTGGGGGGATCCGTTGCCCCTTGCCGCCGGCTTCCCAGCCTCCACGTCACCTTTGCGCATCGCAAGAGCAGACCCTGGGGCGTGAAGAGCGGCGGGGCTTCTGGCCTGGCTCTGCAAGCAGCCCAAGTTCTTCATCCCTGTAGAAAGTACACAAACCAACTTTCTCTTGGAATGCCAGGCACAGGGGCAAGCCACAAGGGAAGGGAAGGACTTTCAGCCTTGGAGCCTGTCATTTGGTCTTTTTCAGAGGCTGAGGTCAGGGGGGCAAACTGTGGACTCTGGTTTATTTAAAACATTTCTGTGCCATGCCTATAGGGACTGTTCTCTTTTTCGCTCATCAGCTCTGCTCCTGCCCTGCCCTGATATAATAGTTAGCGGGTTGGAGTGTGCTGTGGTTTTTGGCACACTCTGGAAAGAAATTAGGTTCTTATCTGTTTGGTTGTGAGAGAAGAGTCTTTAGGGACTAAGTAGAGAATATGTTCCTATTAGCAGTTCTAATACTGGTTGGATCTTCATATTTTAGCAACATCCTAGGAGCTGGCAGGAGATCTGCACTCTCAGAGGCACCTGCCTGCTGTGATGGAACTCAGGAAAGAAGGGGCAGTCGCTGGTTCTTTGACATCCCATCACCTGCAGGCAAACAAAAGTGCCACGGGCCCCTCACAAACCCAGGTACTGGCCTCAAACTGCTTCCTTTGTGGGCTTGGTTTGCAGACATTTTGAAAGGCCAACTTGAGCTGATAAACTGGCCATTTTCACACTGCTAGCTCTGGCCTAATGTACGTTGCATGTTTCTTAGAGATGTACTGACAAACTTTAACCAGGGTGAGGAATGACCTGTTGTCAATCTTGCAATGACTTACAATCCAGTCACATAATTAAGTGTGTGTGTGAAGGGGAGTGAACCTACTTCCTGCTGCTAGTCCTGCTGCACTCCAAAGGGCTATAGAAACCTGGTTTAAATGCAGTTAGGATGCATGTTCAGCCAAAAAAAAGTTCAGTAATGCGTAGCATGCCCCAGTTAACATACCGGGCATTATGGGACTTCTTTGTTTTCTGCCAAAGCATGAGTAGGATCACTCCCATAGAGAAATTGTGATGGTGGGTGTCTTCTGACCAGGCTCGGATAATCCACTAATCCACAGTTGGTTCCCTTGTTTCCCTTCCAAGAGGTGCTGACAACATCAAAGGGGAGACACTGGGTGGGGGAGGTGGCAAGGATGGTCAGCTTTACTTGCCATTGTCTCTTGGGTATTCTGGCTCTGATGAGCTAAAGTTGATTAGCTTGCAATCACCCCCTTGGGGGTTTCAAGGTAAGCTAGTGGACATCTTTTATGTTTCTTTACAATAAGCTGCCTTGCCTTGAGACAGTGGGCCTTGTGGTCCAGCAAGATCTTGCTTAATGGTTGAGAGCAGATTGAAAGTTTGATCTCTTTGATCTCAGTGCGTTGCTCTCTCTGCTCCAGCACTGTAACTGTGGATGTTGATGTTTGGTACAGCTCCAGTTCAGCCTGAAGGTGCCTGCCCTGCTTGAGAACATGCCTGCCCGCTACACCACCCCCTGTCCCATTATCATAGAGAAGTTGCCGCAGTCGGAGGGCTGGCAGGATCAAGGGGCCGGCAGTAGACTGGGTCCCTCCAACTCTGTGGAGTTTTCTGTTGTCTCTGAAGAGGAGCTCAATCGGGCTATGCTGCTGGCCAGGAGGGATGTCAAGCGAAAGCATCTGAAGGAGCAAGTGAAGCTGCACCAGCTCAAGAGAGAAGAGTCCAGGCCAGCTGCAGGGCGAAACAGCTCCCGGGCCCTTCTGAGCACTGAGTGCCAGCTTGACGACTATTCCCAGATGGAGACGATGGGCTCTGGAGCCAAAGTCTTCCTCTACGCACCCACTCAGGTCAAGTCAGACCTTTCTCTATCTGATTCACCCCCCACACGTGATCCGGGCCTTGGGCCGCCCACACAAGTCCCCAGAAAGGAGGAGGACCAAAGCAGCCTGGAAGTCAGGCGACTGCAGAAAGAACTTCAGAAGTACATCCAGAAAATCGAACAGCTGGCAAGGAAAGGTGAGGGAGAGAAGGGTGAACTGTTGCCGTGGGGCAAAAGCTTAGTCCTGAGTTCCTTCCATTGGAATATCGGACTGCAAGGGCTGGTGGAGTAGGCTGGCACGTGAGAAAGGTTGTGGTGCAGTGCCAGAAAAAGGCAGGAGTCCTTACCCAGCCAAGATAGATGCATTGTGGGGAGGAGGATTGGGGCCTCCTCCGATGCCCTTGGCTCTCTCCCTACTGGCTTGGCTGTTTTTTCACAGATGTTTCCATGGCAGTCAAGGCTGTTGCTGTGCGTTGCAAGCCCAGATGTGGCCCACCCCTGTTCTGGAGGGGAGGGCAATGTGAGGAGCCAGTTGGCTGGTGTCAGAGCCCCCGCTGTGGTCACGGATGTGGAGGTCTCTGGAGTGGCTTTTGCCTGTTGTGGACAGGCCGGCCTCAGAAAGATGATTTGAGGCAGGGACACCTTTCTGTTTGCTCTGCACCTGCTGGGGCTGATCCCCAGCACCCCCTGTCTCCTCCACCGCCATTTGCCTTCAGTGGGTGTGCGGGGGCGGGGGGCTGCCAAGTCCAGAGATTTCTCTTTCTTCTCTCTGGGGTCTTAGGAGGCATCTTTGTCCCCTGCCTGCAGCAGAGCCCATTGGTTTGAATGGGTAGCCCTGTGGGAAGGGGCCTGTTTCCAGCCGTGGCTGATCATCTCTTAAGGCTGGCGGTGAAGGATTCATTCAGGGTAGGCAGATACTTCCTCCCTCCACGTGGGAAAAGACAGGTTAATGAGCTGACTTGTTTTAATTAGAGATCAGCAAAGAGCTTGAACTGAGAGAATCTTTGGGAGTATTGGTTGACTGACTCATCAACAGCAAGACTCCCTGCTGCTAACACTGGGACTGGGGTGGAGACAGGAAGGGGGCATTTGGAGCATCTTTTGGAAGCAATGCAGTTTTGCATGCATCCTGGCTGGGCTCTGTATCATCTGGGGCCCTCTTAACTTGGGGTATGTGTGTGCCAGTCATTCATGGTTTTAGTGCCAAAGGGTCTGCTTTTTTCTAACTGAGCACAGCCTCCTGTATTTCCTTGCCCTCAGAGAGAAGCGAGACAGTGTTGGATCCGGATGAAGAGCACCGCATCCGTGTCCGGAGGCAGGAACAAGCCGTACGCTCTGCCCGCATGCTCTATGTGCTTCAACAACAGGTCTGAGTGAGCCCTGGGCAAGTTGACTGCTCGAGTTCTGTGCACAACTTGGATTTTGGCTCTGCCCTGCTTGGAGGCTTCTCTGGGCTTTGGGGTAGTTCCGACCCCACCTCAACTCTGGTTCCAGATCTGTAGCTTGGCAGCCAAAACCAGGCAGCTGTGAACTGGAAGGCATACAAAGGACTTAACGTGTTTGTCTGTAATCTGGCTAATTTTGCTGTGTGATTAACCAGGTCAAAGAAATCCAGGAAGATCTGGAAAAGCTAAGTCCTCATAAAATCAAGCACACAAAGAAGGTGAGACTGAGTTGCTATGGAGACATGTGGAAGCAAAATCACAGTGAGGGAACAGCCTTCCCACCCATGCCGGAGTCTCCCTGAATGACTCCTGGTGAAGGGGACTAGAGCGTATTGGGGTGGGAAGGCTGGGAGCGCTTTGCTTGGCACAGTGCCCAGGGTGCCCTTCCGTCTCCCTGAAGTGAGAAATGGGTTGCCTTCAATTCTGGCTGGACATCTAGCCCTGCATCCTGCCATCTGCCACTGCTGTAGCTCCTGCCAGAGTGCACTGAGGGTGTTTCCTCACAGTTGGCAGAGGTGCCTGGCTACAGGACTGCTGTTTCAAGCCAGCCCCTTCCTCCTCTTGTGATGCAGTCGCGAGCCATGGCCAGACTGGCAGCAGCCCACAGAGGGGCCGTCCGGGCCCTGCAGACATTTGTCACCCACTGTGCTGACCAGCCGGAGCAGCAGCCGGCTCTTGGCCACTGCAGGGAACTGGGCAACCTTGTCCGGCAGCTCTCGCTCTGCTCCGCCCGCCTTGAGATGGACTCCTGCATGCCCGACATCATCATGGACCTGCTGCTGCAAATAGAGGTCAGTCTGGAATGCGACTGGGAAGAGAGCAGCTTGCTTGGTTCCTGCGGGTGCGTGCTGAGCTTTGCGCTCCACGGATAAGAGCCAGCCGGCACAAATAGGCCTTGGAGGAGGAGGATGTGCTGGGTGACACTTTGGTTTGGGCTTTGGAGGGCTGGCTGGACCGTTTGGTTTCTGGGCACTCTGGCTTCACAATTAACTGAAGATGCCGTGCAGCAACTGAGTTTGCCGCGTGTTTGCTTCAGCTGTTTTCTAAACTCCTTGTGTGGATGAGATGCTGCTTAAATATGCGAATGGGCTTTTGCAAATGGGGCAGCATATAAGTGTTCCAAATAAAGAAAAAAACAAATATTTTTATGGGCTGCTGCATGTGGGGCACCTGCAAATCAGATCATTTCATTCCTGCAGCTTGTCCAGGGGCTTCCTGATTGTTTGTTAGGCAGGAAAGGAAATCGCACATGAACTGATGGGGGTGTCAAGTTGCAGAGGTTTATCTGTTTCAACTGTTTTGTATTGTGGCAGGACCTGGACTGTCTGCTGGCCCAGAAGACATCTAAGAGAGGGCCAAAATGGCTGTCTCCCTCTCAGGCTGACCTGGTGAAGGGCCCTGCCAGGCTGCCAAGGAGAGAGAAGAAAACGTCTGCCTCAGAGCTGAGGAAGCCACCAGTGGCCAGGAAGCTTCTCCCTGGTGGGTCAAGAGAGATTTCATTGGCTTGTGCGCTGCACAGCAGGATATGTCCTTTAGGGGCCTCGCTTTGCACAAGCATGATACTGTGGGTAGAAGTAAGAGCTGCTTGCTCATGTGTCACCGTGGCTGACAGTCTGTTGAGTGCGGTCCCCCTTGAAGAGGCGCCATGTGCGTGGGGAGGGCAGTGGTGACTTGGAGGCTCTCTCTGTCGAGGGTGTCTTGCTTTGCGGGCACCAGGAGGCGAAAAGAGGCTTCTGGTTCTGAGGTTTATCACCACTTTACTTTGTTTAGGAGAAAAGCTCTTGCTCTGTTCAAAGCTGAAAAAGGCTTAATATATTCTACATGATGAAGTGAAAACTGACACAACCCAAATTAAGCTTGTCTAGGGCTGGATCCAGGGAGACTTTGCACCTTCAGCCTGAGAAGGTGTCTCTTGTGTACCTTATGTAGTAATGACAAAGCCACTAGTCACAAAGTCATTTCAGTTTCAAGTTGTAATGTTACAAAATATTGAGAAGTGAGGGGGGGGGGGGAATGGCTGAATAGATTTGTGAAGTGCTGAAGGACCTTTAAGTTACTTGATAAATAATAGCATTTTGATCCTTGGCTTTAGATCCACTTGTGGAACCTGACGAGATCCTGGTGCCACAGAGGAGAAGTGGTTCCAGTTGCACCAGGGGCAGGGAGGGGCCGTCTCCTCTGGACCGCAGCGCAGCTGCACAAGCCAGGAGCAAGGCCGTGGCGCGAACCCAGCCCACGAAGCAAGGCGCAGGCCTCGAGAGCGGCCCCCTGCAGAAGCGTGGCGTCCAGCTTTCCACCAGACCACAGGTACTCTGGTGTATGCTTGGTGGTCTCTCTTCTGCCTACTTGTCTCTGAACTTAATTTCAGGTGCTGCCAGATAGACTCTCTCTTCCTGTAATAATATGTTGCTTTTCTGAGTTGCATTTGTTGGAAACAAGGCACTGGGCATTATTTTGGAGGAAAATGTCTTAAGCGGTTATAAATGCACCTTATTTGTATGTGTTTCCGTTTCTCCAGGGGAGTGGTCAGCCTCACAGGACAAAAGTGGCTCAGCCTTTAGTCAAGCAGGCCCGGTTCCAAGAGCCCACCATTGCTTTCCAGCTCAAGGAGATGAAGCCACCTGTCCGAGAGAGCCAGTCCCCTTGGGTGCCTCCCGGCCTTACTTCTCCCCTGGCCTTGCCTCAGCGGTAGGTCAGCAGCTGCTAGGGCGGTGTGCAGGGGAGATGGGGCCAGATGGTCTGAGCGGGTCGGAAGAGCCACCTTGCAGTCCTGTCCAGAGGCTCGCATGTTGGAAGCGGCTTTCTCTTGTCAGTACGTAAGACTCAGCGATGGACCGGTTGCGGTGGCTCCCCAGGGCCACAGGCGAAGCGTCTTCCTGTGCAGAGATGCTAAGAGCTGGACCTGAGACGTGCTGTTTGCAGAGGCTCCTTGGGAGGCCCTTCCCTGTGGCAGAAGTGAGCGTTGGCACTGCAGTTGCAAGCTCCTTTGAAGGGCGGCGCTCACTTTTCCTCTTTTCCCCAAAAGCCTTGGCAGTCCTCTACCTTTATGCCCTGGCTGATGTTTCCAGCAGGTCGTTCTCAATCGTGCTCATTAGTTCCTTTACAGAGTGTAAATCCTGCTGAGGTAGAATCCAAACTTTCTGCAATTGGTGACGCAAGGCCACCATTTACTGCTTCTGCCAATTGTCTTTTTCCCAAGGGACTGCATGAGTTACAATCTCCTTCTGTCTCTTTCTTGTAGGCACACAGAGAAAGGCTGCAGAAGCAGAAATCCTTCTCAAGGGCAAGAGGCATTGGGAGAGGGAGCCCCAGGCACCATGAAAAAGGAAGTGCTCAGGTTGGCAGTGGCGAGCAGGGATTGGGAGCAGTGTGGCTGTGCCTTTTTGGCACATTCCAGGACTCCTCATTTCCGTTACCCAGACACATGAATTATTTTGTCAACTTAAATTGGCATGGAAGTGTAAACAGGAAGGAATTTCTCTTCTGAGTATATCTGAGTTGGGCGTGACTTCTAAGGCTAGCATGGACCAGAAAATAACTGGGAAATGGAAAAATAACTGGCAAAAAGCTGAAACATGGCCATGCCTCAGATTGAACATTCTGATTCCAAGGAAAAGCAGTTAGTGACTGTTCTCGCCAGATGCCTGGGGCCATTTGGCACTTGCTGGGAGACCTGGATCAGTCGGCCCCAGCTATCTCTTGTCAGGAGCCAGGCTGGACAGGCACTTCCAGTGCTCTTGTTTGTTTATTTAGAATTTTTGTATGCCGTCCCATTTGCATGAGCCTTGGGATGGCATACATACAATAAACAAACACAATACAAATAGTGCACATAAAATCCAGATTGCTTGCAGCAGAAGCCGCTGTCCCACGGCTTCTTGGGCTTCCTGAGGTCCAAGAAGGCTATGCAGCTGCTCACCAGTCTGACTTGATGACCTTCGCCTGCATAGTGTGCATCTTCCGCATATAATCTCTGAAGCAAGCAGGCAGCAGTGCAGGCAGGGGGTGCAGGCCTTGGTCCTTGCCGTTTGCGAAGGACTTTGAGCTCTGGAGCTGCTCAGTATTGAGGTGCCGCTTCCCTTCCTTCTTCCTCCTGCATGTGGAGGGAGCAGGAGTGAGCCCCGGGTGGCTGGGGCTGTTTTCATCCTGGTCCCCGGTGGTGACATCACAACCATGCAAAAGACGGGTGCCACCAGAGCAAGCCTGTGAGTTCAGGCCTGGGTGCACGCCGACCTGAGGGTTTATTTTGGAGGGCAGTTGACCATCTTCCTTGCATCTCAAGCATGGTTCTTCTCTACGGGTTGGAAATTGCGGAGCACTTATCCTTGTTCCGTAGATGTGTGCTCAATCATCACACGTCATCTTAGAGTGAAGGTGTTAAGGATCAGACTTTCACTGTGGGGCATGTTTGTACACCTCTAGAGCTGAGGGTACCTCGCCGACCCAGAGACTGGAGAAGAGTAGACAAGCTGTTCAGGAATTCCTGGAGCCTCTCTTGGCAAAAGCTCAGGTACAGCAAGGGAAAGCATCTCCCTTCCACACCCCTGGCAAGTATTTTGACATAGCTTTGCACTCGAGGATATTCTGCAACTCTGTTCCCCAAGAATTGCTGTGTTGCTCACAAGACGCATCATCCCATTCTTCTCACTGCCATCCCTACCTCTTGCCTTTTGCAAGCATGGATGAGGAATTTCTCACCTGCGAGCTTACGGGAGCCCGTGGAAGCTTTGCTGTGGCCTCAGAGGCTTGTGCAATCACCACCTCGAGTCCCACCTTGACTGAAAGTACGGGTCCCTTTGCTGTGCATATCTGGCTTTGCCTCTTGTCTTCCCCCCTCCCCCATTTCTTATGTTTCCAACTTCACTGTGCTTGCTGGCTGCATCCCATAAATATCCATCAACCTTTTCTAGAAGGCTGCAGAGACCTTTGGTCTCAAAACTGTCTGCTTTTCTTCAGTATGGCCATCTTTCCCCTTCCTACAGGCTGCTCTGAGTGTGTTTCAGCTGGGCATCTTCCTTGTAGTGGGTGCACAGCGAGATCTGAAGCTGCATGGTGTTATACCTTGATTTTTGTATTTATTTATTTGATTCCTGTCCTGCCTTTTTTCTTACAAAGACTGAACGTGGCTAACATCATTCTCCTCCTGCTCTCAACCTTATCCCCACAACAACAACCCTGTGAGTTAGGCTGGGTTGAGAGTCTGGCCTGGAGTCACCCAGCTGGCTCCGTGGCTAGGCGGGAGTCAGAACCAAGATCACGCTCTGGCTTTTCGACACCCCCTCCCCACCACTCTGACCTTGTGACAGGCAGGCTGCTTTCCCTTCCTTCAGAAGCTGAAGCCACTTCAGAAGCCGGGGCTGCTCTGGCTGTGCAGGACGCATCGTGGGTCTTCTTGGTTCTCTCATTTAGACTTGAGATGGGGTAGGGAGACCCAGCTAATCCTCTGGTATACTTTTCTCTCTTAAAAGGCGAATCTCTCCTTGAAGCCTCTGCTGGACAATTCACAGGAACCCCAGGATGCTGGAAAGGTATGCCCTGGCTCTGGGGACGGAGGAAACCTTGCCTCACCCCGCAACTCTAGGAAGCCTTTGCGGTCTGGCCCAGTTAGGAAGGAGTTTCCCAGTGGTCCCCAGCAGTGCTGCTCTTTGTGAAATGCTTCCATGTCAAGATCAGAGTGTGTAAAGAAGCCACTGAGCAGAGGATCCGTTCCAGCACTCTCCCCATAGCAACCAGCTGTCTCGGCAGAAGTGTCCTGACCCACACCTGTACAGGGCAAGCGGGACCTTTGTGACCAGCTCTGGCTAGTCAGTGGCGACTGCTTTGGCAAGTGGTGCGAAGCCCAGCCAGAGTTTTTCAGGGACAAGTGAGCTCCTCCACCAGCTTTAAGGGGTGAACCCAAGTCAGTGCTTGGCTATAGAACTGCTTCTTGCAAAGCCTGTTCAGGATTCAGATGCATCTGCCAAATATTTTGTCAAGCAGACAAGAGTGGAGGATGAGTGGAGGGCAGGAGCTGGAAGTTGGCTAGTCCTGTGTGAACGAGATCACCAGGGCCTCAAGCGGGCAACCCTCCTCTGCCCCCCAGGACTCTTTGTGGGGAGGAAATCCTGTCCTGAATGAGTCATCCGTTATGGGGTCACACATAGCAAAACCTCTTTTCTGTGTCTCCTGTCAGACTGCTGATGGTTTGAACTGTGATGAGAATGCAGAATTCGAAGCTGTTCCTGTGCTCAGCTCCTCTGATCTGGAGTTGATGCTGCAAAGGATGGAGGAAATTGAGGTGCATTCAGGTTCTGACATCTGACCCTTGCTGAATTTCTCTCAGGAGAGGCCTCACTGCAGGCAACTTGCAATTTGCAGTGATTTCAAGATGGGGGCTCTTCAAAGGAACTCTTTTGGTGCTGCATCCTGTCCCAAGGTCCCTTCTGAGGTGCTCCTGGAAGTCCCTTGTGTTCACACCAGGAGGAGCTCCATGCCATGACAAAGAACATGGCCCAGCTGCATGCAGAGGGACCCACTGGCTTCAGGATTCTTTCCAGGCCCCTGTCCCTACTCAGAGTTTCTAGATCTGTTTGTCTGGGTGCTCCAAGATGGATGAGGGCACGGTTGACGGGCTGCAAGCAGAGGGGGACTATCATTTGGATTTTAAAATTTTTAGCCAAGAATGCACTGGGGGTTTTTAAACGATTTTTAAAAAATTGTTATATTATCATTATTTATATATGTATTTATGTATTCTTTGTGAGCCACCCCGAGGCTTTGTTGCGATGGGGGCGGCATAGAAATGTCTTAAATAAATAAATATCAGTGGGGAATCATCAGGATGGCAGCCAGTGACAAGTGGGATCCCCCAGGGCTCAGTTCTGGGGCCAATTCTGTTTGACTTTTTTATCAGTGACCTGGAGGAAGGGATAACCAGCCTGCTGGCTAAATTCACAGATGATACCATGGTGGGGACAGTGGTCGCAACTGAGGAGCAGGAGATCCAGATCTGGAAGGACACTTTGAGATGGAGCTCACGGGGTTCTTGGGCTAGTCCTTGACTTAGACTTGCCTACCTCGCAGGATCGTTGTGAGGATAAAAAGGGGAGGGGAGAGGGACCGTGTGCAATGCAGTGGGCCCCCTTAGCCGTCCTCCTGCTGCACAGGCTCTGGCCTTTCAGTCCACAGGGCGGGCTTTCCTTAGACAGGCCACGGTGGTTGTGCCTCCTTCGTGCCACCAGCATTCATTTCCCTGCCTGGAATGACCTGTGAAGTAACGCTGGGTTTGTGTGTCTTGCAGCGCTCCCAAGAGGCCGTGCACAGGCGCTACACCCAGGTGGCTTACTCAGACCCTGAATTCTGGACTCGGGACAAGAGGAAGGGTGAGTTTCTGGTCCTTTGGCATTTTGAGGTGGAGGAGGAGCTGCCAGGTAATGAGCAAACAGCTTGTCAAGGGGGTGTGGTAAGAGTGAGGACGTACCTGGTTGGTGCCTTGCCCCTATTTGCATGAGCCTGTCGGGTTGGGATTAGGGTTTTTGAGACAAGTTCCCTGTAGATTCCTCTCTAGATGATGCCTCTTTCCGGAAGAAGGTGCTTGGGAAGGAGGATTTGTTAGGGGATGTGTTCCCTGTCTAGGAACGGGGCTGATGAAATGTGGTGGAAGGTCCCTGCACCCAGCCCGGTAGTAGGAATCCAGGCAGTTATTTCTCTGGCTGTTGCTCCTCAACTGCCTCAAGATTCCACCTGTTTTCCTTTCTCTTGTCATACTTGAACTCAAAGGGACACATGTTAAGCTGATGCGTAGGAGATTCAGGACAGATAAACAGAAATCCACCACTCAGTGTGGAATCACACTATGAAATGCATAATGCTGATCACCGAGTTGGATGGATTCAAAAGGAGATTAGACAAATTTAGGAAGGAGGAGGCTAGCAACAGTGCAAGAACTACTAGTCCTGATGATCATTTATTTGTTCATTTATTTCATTTTTAATCCACCCAACAGCTAACTTTCTCTGAATAGATTACAAACAGTTAAACATTCTAAGATGCTAAAGAATGAAATGCAAAATTTATTTATTTAGCAAACTTATATGCCTCCCCCTTCGCATAAGCCTCGGGGTGGCTTACAAACATAAATAAATACTACCAATACAATAATATAAAATTGGAGACATACTGGCCAAAGTTGTTAAAATCAATAAATAAAATCAACAATTAAAATGACATATAAATAAAAGGTCTTGGCCTGGCGCCGAAAAGCGAATAACGACGGAATGCAAATAATATGCATTCAGCTCTCCCTATTTGCAAGGTTCGGGAACAGGAGCTCTGCCAGTGGAAAAATGTGAATATCTTTTAGGCCCTCCCGCAAGCCCTGAACTCTTAATACCATACATGTCCTGGTAGCTGCATTACAATTTCCTCTTTTGCAATTTGAATAACCTTTGACCTAAAACGAGTCCTGAGGCATGGCCTGCTGGGTGCTTGTCCTGCATTGCATCCTGAGCCTTGCCTGTGATCGCACACCCTGTCCTGAGTCCAGTGCCTGCCCTGCCCTGGCTGGAGGTGGTGCACCATTCGGGGCTGGGAAAGGGAGCACTCCCTGCGTGACTGTCTGTGGCGTAGTGGTCCGTTGGCCACAGTAGACCACAAAACTCCAAAATATTCCCATTTAATGGCACACTCATGAATAATAAAATCCATCGAATTTAAGCCGTGAAAGTCAAGGTTTGAGTGTAACACAAAACAATAAACAGTACAGGTACCAAGTACAGTGCAGGCAGACATAAAAATCTAGAACTGGGTCTCTAAAATGACCTGGAGAAGAGAATGGGCTTTGCCTGGCACCCAAAAGAGGTAACAATGTAGGAACTAGGTCCACATTTTGGGGAGTTTCTTGTATATGTAAGATGCTAGCACCAGAACGCCCCTGCCTGAGAAGGTTTTATGGAACCCCCATGGAGGCTGCATTTCTGGGCAACCTGGGTGGGAGGTCCGCCTGGCACCGTCGTTATTTGTTTTTCGGCACCAGGCTAAGACCTCTTTATTCAAACAATATTTTAACAACTTATAATATTTATAGGTTTTAATGGTGCAGCCAGGGTGCTTCCGGGTTTTATCTGTATTTGTATTATATTTATTTATTTGTGTGAGCCGTCCCGAGGCTATATAGCAAGGGGACGATATACAAAAACTTTAAATAAATAAATAAATGCTGTGGCGGGTTTCCTGTGAGCAGGAGGGTTGGCCACATTGTGAGCTGGTTGAGATGGACATTAGGCTGCACAGTTTTCTTACTTTCCTCCTCTACCTAGGGAGAGAGTGTGCAGTGGGAGGCCAAGAGCTGGCACTTCCTCCTCCCATCCAGATAAAGAAGCTGGATAGTCTCAAAGAACTGCAAGTGGATATTGTTCTAGAAAGACCCTTGGACACCAAGTGAGTCGGAAGTACAGGAGCACAGCCTGCTTGTTTCTGCAGCGTCCTGATCACTTATCAGCCTCCTTGCCGCTTGTGCTGAGAGCTTGCCCAGCAGCTCTGGTGCTCTCCCAGCAGTCTGACCTCCCACAGTTTATGTGATGGCAGTGCTGCTGTTTCTGTGAGGAAGCAAAACTGGATGGAGGCACCCTTTGCCTGCTGGAGCTCAGGGATGGAAGGGCCTGCGTGGTGCTGATGGCCACCAGGAAGGGCCCCACTGGATCACAGCAGTGTGGCTCCCTCAGACTTCCCTAGACTGGCCAGTCCAGGGAAGTCACTTACCTTTTGAAAAACAAGCAAGGAAGCTCGGGCAGGTGCTCCTGCTTTTTGCAGTGCGGTGGGCGGGTGGACCTTGTCAGGAGCCAGTTCACTGAACCTCTGTGGTGCCTTCACTCTCCTTGAGGGAAGGGCCCTGAGTGAGGTCTGGGTGGGAAGGGCTGTATGTTCTGGACCCAAAGGGAGCCTGCACAGCCTTGGAGGCAGGGGGCCTTGGGTGGCAGTCTCTGGCGTGAGGCTTCTGGGAGCATCCATCTTGGAGGGAGGGAGGGATCCATCCATCTCTCACTGTGTTGTGCTTTCAGTGCTGTGGAGGGAGACATGGAAACAGTGGAGGAGCCCCGGCCTGGGACTCCGCTTCCTTCCACATGGCACCTTCGCCCCCAGAAGTGGGCTGGCACCTTCCTCTCCGTCCCCAAGAATATGCTTCAGAGCATCTGCGATTACCAGGCGTGCTACATGCAGCACCTGAAGGGCATCTCTCACGAGGCAGTGGAGAACTTCAACCCGTGGCTGATCGCAGAAAGGTGCGGTGTCAAGGGCCATGCAGGGGCCTGGACTAGAGAGGCATTTGTTGGCTGGAAGGATGGCAGGCTGATGGCACGGAATGTGGCCAATTGGCTTCCTGGTGATCCCACCAGGCGGGGCCCATGCCTTGCCCTCAAATGCTGAACACGCAAGAGGAGGGACCCTCCCCTCCCCTAGAATGCAGAAACAAAGTGAGTCGGAAGGGGCACCCCAGGCCATCTAGTCTGACCCCTGGCTCCAGTCAGCTCCACTCCTGTAATCCCCAGCCCTCCCTCTTCCTTTCTTCCCAGTGCTGCTTCCCAGCCTGGTCAAGGTACCTGAGCGTGAGCAGTCGTCGTCGTCATCATCGCAGCCTTTGCCCATCAGTGGCTGGAATCCCGTTCCCAGCCCCTTCCACTTTCCTCCACAGGTTGTGCCTGAGTGGGCAAGCAACCTCCCCTCCCCTCTCCAGGCCCCCCTGCGAGGCTTCGCGCACCCCCCCCCCACCTCGCCGGGACCAGAAAGGCTGCCTGCCCTTTTGCAGCCCCTTGCTGTGAGAAAGAGACTCTCTTGGGGCCTTCCTTCCCACCTGGGCAGATCTCTTAGCGACAGCGGAGAGGAAGCCCCCTCTTTGCCATCCCCTCTGAGTTGTGGGGTGGCGGGAAGACAGTCATGCCCAGAGCAGGCAAGGCCCCTGACCCCTTGTTCACAGAGGGCCTCAGTGGGTCAGTGAGAGAGTCCTGGAGTGCGAGACCTGGCCATTCACCTCTGCCCTGTGGGCCTCTTTCCCTTCAGCCTGGCAGAGCAGCTGACAGAGGAGGCTGTGCAAGACGTGGCGGCTGAGTTGCACGGGCTGTGCGAGGACTATGCGGAGACCGTTTTCACGGCCGAGTTCTTGTGAGCTGCTGCACACGCAGTGCTTTTTCTCTACCCATGCCGGGGAGCTGCCAGCCTGAAGAACTGGCCATGGCCGCGGTTCCAGTGGAAGAGACTCTGTCTTCTGTGTCTAATCTTCACACAAGAAGCATCTCAGGGAGGGGATTTGAATGCTCTCAAGTGGCTTCCCATGAGCCTTTGGGAGAGAAGCAGCAGAAACATGGCCGTCCCCATCTGGCAGCTGTGGCTCCAAGCAGCCATTCCAGCCAGCAGCTGCCCAGGGTGCTGCCACCATCATTCTGGTCTCTGGCTTTGCGACTGTACCCCTAAGTGACCGGGGCTTCCTTGAGACAGGGGCCTGCTCTCCCTTCTCTGTGCTGGATTCAGCCTGCTGGAGCAGCCCGGTTCTGCCGTGGGCAGCAGGCCCTGGCGCCCACTGGGGAGCCCCTTCTGGGCAAGAGGAGCCCCCTCCCATCACATGGCTAGTGGCCTGTGAGCCTCTGGGACAAGCCCAGGGTGCGCATCCAGGGGGCCTGGCATGTGTTGTCTTGGGGTCTGTGCTGGAAGGCCGCTCTTTGCCCTGCAGTACCACTACACGCTTCCCCCCTGCTGCGCCTGGGTTCCTCCTGCCTCGTGTCCTTTCCTGCAGGAGGGAAGGGAGGTCCTGTGGAAGCCGCTGCTGAACCGCCCCTCTGAGCACTGTGTGGTTTCTGAGGTGATGATGCTGAGCATTTTCCTGAAGGTCAATACTTTTAAAATAAACAGTAGAGCGTTCTTTTTAATTGCATGATTTTAGAACCTCTTTTTGTATCAAGGTAATATTTTTGACATGGTGGAAAGTTTTGTACAGTAAATCAGTAAATTTAATGAGTTGTTTTCTAAAGATGAAAGAACCTCAATTTATTAAATAAGTTTCTTTCGATACTCACATGTATATGTTTTTCTGCAATAATGTTTCCATATTCATTAGGTTTTTAAGACCTTTTTCACCACCTGCTGTGCTGCACAGCATTCAAGGAATCAACTCTGAGGGAAAGATAAGGGTGTTTAATTATGGGGGTAGCACAGGAGACATTTCAGTATCTGTTGTGTCTGGTAAATGGAAAGGAAAGAGACTTGTGTCATTTTCAACCCACAGAAGTTCAGAGAATCGTACAGTGGTAGAGTTGGACGGGGCCAGAAGACCATCAGGTCCAGCCCCCTGCTCGGTGTGGCCACTAAGCTCATCATACTGTATTTTTGTGCAGAAATATGTATCTTTAACAATATTGTGTAACTCTGCCTCACTTCCTGTTCTCCTTGAACAGCTTATATCCTTCAGTGGTTGAATTCCAGTCAGAAGAGTCATCCTACCAAGTTTCTGTTAAACTTACAGGTTCTAATCACCTTCCTGTTGTCGTGCGTGCGTGCGTACGTGCTCTGGCAAGATTCCCAGGCATACGCAAGAAACAGCCTGTTTGGTGGGGCTGATAGCTCAGACTCTGAGGATGATGTAGAGCTGGCTGAGCCAGAGGTGGCTCAGAACTCTCGCACTGGTAACGCAATTGTTGGTGTAACGGACAGGCCCGGACCCGCAGACTCCCTCCTGCAGTACCCACCCAAGCCTGCTCTGGATGGAAGCAGCTCAAGGACACCCACGGCCCAGTCTCCCTCCCGCCTGGGGAATGAAGCAGACGAAGGGCATGAGGGGGGAGATTTGGAATTGGGGAGATTAGTCTCTCGGATGGAGAGCACTGGCCGCCTGAAGATGCGGACCCCGTGGCCAGCCGGCACAGCCGCAGGCCGGGCCACTTGGGGGCTCAGAGTGCAGAGCGGAGGGTCGCCTGGTCCCACAGTGCCCCTCCTTCCAGAGGCAGGGGTCATAAGAAAAGTTTTGGGTAAACGGGGGTAGAGAGGGGTCAACACAGCTTGTGCATACTCGGGCTTGCGAGTGCTTAGAGTCTTCTACGTGCGTAGAATAAAGACGCTTAAAAGAAGTGCTGGAGAGACTGTCTTGCTTGGGAGGGGATGACACCTGTATTAAGTTCATGCTGTTTGTTTCCCATCATTGGTATATAGGCATTGAAGACCACGTGCATATTTTGGAAGAATGTTTTTGGGCACTATTGGAGCTGTTTCCTCTGTTGTGGGACATAAACCTTTGTCTGTTGATGCACCCAAATACACTTCTCCCTCCCCTATAGGACTCAGTTGAAACCCTCCTGATAAACTACTTCATGCTTCAAACTTTAGTTATTTAATTTCTGTTCCATCTTCCATCGTCTCAGAATCCAACTCGCATCAGCACCACTTTCATAGTCAGGCACTGGGGTTGGCTTCTGGCTCCTTACATCATCTAATAGAGTGTTTATTATTGCCAGCTTGAATTGTATAAATTGGCACTTCCTGTGTGAATTTCCCTCTTTTCTTTGGCATTGAAAAACTGCAGAAAATGTAGCAGGGGTGTGGCTCAAAATCACCTGTTTCTTCTCTGCAGTGGGAATAACAATATGAGTGTTGATTAATGCCAATGCAGAGCCATGATCAGTTTGTTTCTTTAATATTAGCTTTTATATCCCACCCTCCTCAGTGTCTCACGAGGAGCTTGGGCAGCAGTGGAAGACCTCAGGCCCATGGGACAAATACTGCTCTGCAAGGTTCATAGAAGCAGTGCAAGTCAGAAGGGGTCTCCCGGGCCATCTAGTCTGACCCCCGGCTCCAGCTGGCTCCACTCAGGATGTGCCTACCATGTGCATTTCCAGCCTATCCTTGAACACCCGCACCGATGGGGCCTCAACCACCTCCCGTGGAAGCCCGTTCCACACCCTCAGGGTCCTAACTGTCAGGAAGTACTTCCTGGCATCCAAATTGAACCTCGGTTCCCTGAGCTTTGATCCTTCATAATCCATTCCAAACATTTTCAAAAAATTCATAGCGGATTGGCTGGTCTGTAGATCCCAAATCCCTCCTTTTTTCTTGGTTGGATATTGGGATACCCTCCTCCAGTCATCTGGCAGTTCACCCTCCATTATTTCTTAAAGATGGTAGTGTTTCTGAGAGTTCTCCTGCCAGTTCCTCTGTTCCTTTAGGTTCCAGCTCATCAGGCCTTGGAGATTTGAACTTGTTCCAAGTAAGGGGGTGTTCCTGGACCCTCAGTTTGTATTTTGCCTTTACTAAGGAGATGATAGACCCTCTTGAGAGAAGACTGAGCCTCTCCTGCAGTTGAATTACAGGCATGAAGAGCTTTCAGCCTACAGTATGTTGGTGGTCTCCCAAGTTTTTGGCCCCAGCCATCATGAGAATGGGGCCCCTGGGCACTTCTCCAGACTGAATGTAGCTGAAAGAGACTCCAAGGCCCTGAACTCCAACCTCAAAGAAATGGGGCTGTGAGCAGAGATGTTACAAGGCACTGAGCTCGCTTCCTGGCCATGCTCTGCATTTAGCACCAGTATGAGCTGCATCGCTGGACTTGGAGGAGCTGAGGATACTGCAGAAGGATTCATTCTTCCAGAATCTGACTCTTGCAGCTTTAATTTGACTAAATTCAGCTTGAAACTGCACATGTCTCCAGCAGGAAAGAAGAAACTCACGGGAGAGGGGAGATGACTGCATTCCAGAGGTGGGTGAGTGTTGAAGGCAAAGGAAACACGACACTGTGGAAAATGGCCTCCTCCTAGCCCTTTCCCTCTTGTTCTCATTAGCAGGGGTATCTGGAGGAGGACTTCCGAGGAAGATTGAAGTGAGGAGGTAGGTCTATATGGAGAGACTGAGCATACTAATACCCAAATGCCAGTATACAGTAACTTCAAAGTTCTTACTGCTAGTGATTAAGCCTTAGGAGAAGTGCTTTAACCTTCTAAAACTGCTGTGCAGGGAGAGCTGCATCAAAGCTGGAAAACACCAAATGATCAGTGGCGGCCACACGTCTGGGGTTTTGGCCACAGACCCAGAGTTCCCCACTCCAGACATAAATGGTGTCAGACATGGACCTGCGACCTACAGAATCGGCAGACGTAGACCCTGGAGCTGCGCTGTGGAAGAGCCCACAGTGACTGTCTGATGGCTGTGATGTGGAGAGATGGAGATACACAGCTGGGACATCATTCTTCTTTTAGCTGTAGCCCCCGCCTGCCGCACTTCAAAATGTAGCCTGCTCTGAAGGTGTCCCCCGCAGGTCTCCTCAGGCAGTTGTCACCAGGGGCTGCAAACAAACCCACGCCTGCTGCTTCAAAATGGCTTTGGCCTGCCTGGATGAGAGACCCAAGAAAGTGTGAGGCAGTGTGGGGGGGCGGGGGTCCGGGGGGGGGGCTCTCCCCTTCTCCACCCCAGCAGCTCTCCTTTGAGTGGCCCTTTCATAGGATCCTGCTCAAGCAGGCACTTTTTCTGGCCTTTCTGCTGCTTTGAGGGCCTCCTCTTGATGGTCTGGAGGTGAGGCTGCTGCTCTGCTTCTGCTCCCAGAGCCCAGACAGCCAGTCCAGAGAAGGCCCCCTGCACTAGCACGCGAGTGGACGCCCTCCTGCTCACTGACCATGTGGGAATGGACGGGTCTTGCATCCCTTTGCTTGCACCCCTGAAATGAGGGAAGTTGAGAAGAACAGAGAGGGCCCAGGCAGGCTTTTGGGGAGTTAACCCTTCACACCTCTCCCGTGCTTGGGCGCATTTCCAGCTCCAGGGGCAGAAGACTGGGAGACCCCCAGGGAGCGAGTGGCAAAGGGCGGCCGGCTGAGGGTGACTGCCATCTGCCAATGCCCACAATGGACAGGAGGGGCTCCCGAGGAAAAGACGGTGGTGCCTTTGGGAATGAAAACATCCTCCTCTCCGATGGCAAATGGAAAGAGCCTCCAAGGGCCCTCTGCTCTCTGAACATGTGCAGAGGGCTTCTGGCAACGGGAGAGAGGTCGTGTCCCTCAGTTCCTAGTGAGGCAAGTAGGGCTGACTTCCCCCAGCACGACTGTATGAGCTCGAGAGACATTTCACTCCATCCAAGCAGCGCGGGCGGGCGGGCGGGCGGGCGTCCTCTGGAATCGCACCCCCGATCTGCGGTTCCCTCTGGCATCACAGGGGCTTCGCCTTGCGATCCTCCGAGCGCGGGGGACGCGCTTCAGCCGGGCGAGGTGGCGGCGCTTCGCACATGCACGGGCGCTTTTCGCCGCCCCGGTGCCGCGCTCGGCGCCCGGAGTCACGGGAAGGCGCAGAGCCGCCTCCCCTCCGCACGGGTTTCGCCCCCTTGCGCTGCCTGCGGGGCTGCCTCCGCCGTCGCCGCGGCCCCGCGTCCGGCGCCGCTGCGGGAAGGAAGCCGGGCCGCCCGCGCCCTGGACGCGTCCCCCGCGCGCGGCGGTGGCGGCGCCGCCTTTAACGGAGGAAGGCGGCGGCGGCGGCGGCGGCGGCGCCTGGGCAGGCCGAGCAGAAGACGCAGTGCCGCCGCCGGAGCCGGAGCGCCGAGCTCGACGGAGCCGCCGCTCGAGGGCGATGGCGACCCAGCTGCCGCCGCGGCCAGGTAAGCCCCTCCGCCGCCGCCGCCGCCGCGCCTCCTCCCGGCCGGCCCTCCCGGCAGCCGTGCCCGCAGGGGGGCTGGCGGCGGCCCCCCGGGAGGGATCCTGCGCAGCCCGGCGGCCCGGAGCCGGTCCCGGGGTCGCGTCGGGCCAGGGCGGGGCTCGGGCTGCGGCTCCGCGGCGGAGAGAGGACTCCGAGCATGTGCCGATGCGCTTTCCCCGGCTGGTCGTGCTGCGCCCCCTTCCCGCCCCGCTCGCCTCGTCCCGAAAGGGGAGGCGCTGCTCCGTCCCCCGGGGCCTCATCCCGAGCGCGGGAAGGGCCCCGCGCCCGACTTGGGCTCCCCCTTCCCGGCGCGTGCAAGAGGCAGGAGGTTCCAAAGGTGCACCTGTTGGGGGGCCTGTGCGTTGGCCCGGGGTCCTTGTATTCCGAAAAGGAGACGCCCCTTGAAGCAA